GTACCTACTTGGGTGTCCCACTTCTTTTGCATAAGGTCTTTGATATAGCATCTAGTTTGCATAAAGGTTTGCAGTACGCTACAAAAAGTGGTGTCACAGAATTGTTGAGAGCTGCCTTTGCTGCAGCATCAGCCATAGTGTTACCCATGATTCCAACATGAATGAGCAGCCAGCAAAAGACGATGTCATATTGGCCAGTAGCAAGGTCATTGTACAGTTCTAAAATATCTAAAATGAATGGATGACTTGAAGAGCTAGATTTTATTGCTTGTAGACATGATAATGTGGGGTTTAATCCGGAACCAGCTTTGGCTTACTGTGAAAAAGATCTTCGTAAAGGGGTTGAAAAACACAGTTGTATGCAAGGTGTAATGGGTTAGCATGTGATCTATTAATGTATTGTAGCGATAATTTGATACGGCATTGCTTTAATGATGGTTCATCAGTTTCTACATATAAGCTATCCACAGGAGATGATCGAAATGCACCAAGACATAGTCGTTGGCCCTGATGATGAATTGAACCTAATTTAGAGTGGATCAGAGACCTATACTAATGGAGGAGGTTTGTCTGATCACCTCCCCATTTTGTATTAGCAGCAACTTTCAAAAAATCTAGAGCCTTCAGGCTTTTAGTTTTGAGATAGTTAATATGTGGCTTAAATGTCAAATGCTGATCGAAAATGAGACCCAGGAACTTGGCCTCTTCTACAACCTTAATAGGAGTGCCATGTAAAAATAGCTCTGGATCTTTCTGATGCTTGTATTTCCAACAAAAAATGAATACAATTGGTCTAAGCTTTTGAATAAAAATCATTTTCGAGACACCATTTTTGGATTTTGTTGAGACATAGCTGCAACTGTCTCTTGGTGGTATGCATATTTTTGCCACGACATGAAATATTAAAATCGTCCACAAATGGAATGATCCATCAATGGGATCATATAAAACCTTTGACAGACAGTCAATCTTTATACTTAACAGAATTACAGACAAAATACTGCCTTGTGGGACACCCTGATCCTGATTATAACGGTCAGACAGGGTGGAACCACACGAACCTGAAATTGTTGGTCTGTTAAAAATTGGGATATAAATTGAGGCAATCGACGTCTTAACCCCAAATCATGTAGATCTTTGAAATTATCATGCTTCCTTGCGGTATCATATGCTTTTTCTAACTAAAACAAGATTGGTACTGCATGCTGATTATTGACAATTTCATTTTTGACCAAATATTCTAAACGTACCAGATGGTCAATGGTACTTCTATTCTGACGGAAACCACATTGTATGTTACTTATGAGATTGTTTGTTTCCAAGTACCACACCAGTCGATTATTTACAATTCGCTCCATGGCTTTGCACACACAGCTGGTTAGTGATATTGGTCTACAATTAGATGCATCGGTATGGTCCCTACCAGGTTTAGGTATGGAAACAACAATTGCATTATGCCATGAGGAGGAAAATTTTCCTCATGTCCAGATCTGATCAAATATATCAAGAAGTGTCTCTAAACATGAATCAGGCAAATGATTCAGGAGCCGACAGTGAATATTATCAGCTACCGCTGCAGTATTTTCCTGGAGGAGTGAAAATACTTCATTATAATCTTGAGGATCTTTGAGAAGTAAAATCAACTTTGTTTCCTGTTGTTTCTGTTATTTTTGAAACTTAGGATCATAGTTCAATGATGAAGAGTGTTTGGCCTGCGTTTCACCCAATGTATTGGCAATGTCTAATTTATCTGTTAACACATGGATACCGTCCTGGAGATGGTGGACACTCAATTTTGAACCTTTGCCTTGAATTTTTGCTATCGTGTTCCACACTTTGGATATTGGCGTGCGGTAATTAATTTTAGAAACATAATTCCTCCAAGGCTTACGCTTATTTTGCTTTTAGGTACGGCATGCCTGACATTTGTGATTTTAACACGATTCAAATTATGTACCATTGGATGTCGGCGGAAATTTTTCACAGCCCTTTTCCTGCACTTCCTAGCCTGTTTGCACTCATTGTCAAACCATGGTTTTCGAATGTGTGGATTTGCAAAGGACTTTGGAATGGTCATGTCATGTCAACACCTGAATAGGGTCAGTAACATTCCTGAACACATCAGGCTCCAACCTATCAATACAAAGTTCCTGAAAAGAAGGCCAGTTGACTTTGGTAAAGTTCCCTTGATGTGGGTTGAACATCAGAAGGATTATTTGCTGTTAAGATTGAAAGAAAATGATCACTTCCACACAAGTCATCGTGAACCGCCCACATAATTTCGTTTAAGAGATTGGAATCTGTAAGTGACAAATCTAAAGCCGAATAGATTCCAGTAGCAGGATGTCAATATGTACTTGATCCATTATTGAAAATGCACAAGTGGTTATCGGAAATGAAATCTTCCAGGACTTTATCTTTAGGATTAACGGCAACACTTCCCCATAATGGGTTATGGCCGTTTAACTCACCCATGATCATCCAGGCCTTAGGTAGCTGGTCATATAGTGATTACAGGTCTGATCGCCGAACGCAGGAGAAGGGGAAATTTATTGAGAGCACAGTGTAAATATTATGTGCAAAGACAGGCGTACTGCGACAGCTTGGAGATTGGTTTGAAGCGCTGCAGATCTGTGGATCACACCCTGTCTCACCAAAACAGACAATCCTCCAGTAGCTTTAACACCTGGTGGTGGTAAAGAATGGTAGGAACTAAACCGACGCAAAATTAAAGTTGTCAGTCTGTTTGAGATATGTCTCCTGGAGACAGATTGTCGACGGGTTAAAATCTTGTATCATTAAGTGTCATTCATTAAATCAGTACCGAGACCTCTGCAATTCCACTGAATCAGCAGATTCATAATGCTCAAGTAACAGGTGGATGAACTGGAGATCTACGTCTCCGATTTCGAGTCAACTTACTTCTGTTGCACCCATTTTGATGAGTAGAGACATCCATGTCCTCCAAGGTTTTTAACCTATGATTTATTTGTTCGGGTCATGGTGACCCTTCGGTACACGATATGATTTTTTTAGAATAATCAACTTTCTTGCAATAGGTGATCTTTTTGGTGCTGGAAAAGTTATCGGTGTTAACCCAAGTAATTTCTGGCATTGAAAAGAGGTAACTGATTTGGAAGTTGCGTTGCATGTCACAGCTGCTGAGTTTGACACATCTGTGGAGGTAGGGACAGTAGACATGACCAAATGCTTTGCTTCAGGGAAGGTTATGTTTCTCTTATGTTTCACTTTGACTATCTGAAGCTGGACTGTGTATTTGGGAAGCCACATGATCTCCAGAACAGTTTACACAGAGAGCGTTTTTGCTATATTTATCATCTGCATTGTGGCCACCTTCTCCACATTAATGGCAGATCTTGTAATTGTGGCATGATTGTGCCCTATACCCAAACAGATGGCATTTGTAGCATCGAAGTGGCTTAGGAATATATTTATCCACTTCTATGTTAAAGTAGTCAGCTTTAATATTTCTTGGAGCAGTTGGTTTAGAAAAAAGTCATGAGATAAGTATTTGATTTCAGGATTGCATCATCTCGTTTGTAGGTGAAACGTCTGACGTTTGTAACTCCTTGGTCTTTCAATTCATCAGCTATTTAAATTTCGGACATGTCAGAGTGACAGCGGTCTCTATCTCTGATAATGATAAGTAGAAATCAAGATTGTAGCAGCTTGTAGGGTTGTTGTTGTTTAACAGCTTTGCATTTAACAAACCACAAACCAGAACAGAACTTTTAAACATCCTGCACATCTCCAACCATGCCATAAAGTGCTTTAGAAATGGCAAATGGGTTCAACTTTAGTGGAGTACTATCAGTGGCAGAAACCACTAAAATTGAGACCAACAAGTAAACAAAGTCGCAAGTAAACAACAGTAGGGTTGCATTCTCCTCATCTGAGGAATCCTCTAATGCACGTTGTTGTTTTTTTGCATGTGCCGTGGTTAGTGTATTTACGGTTCATCATCCCAGCTCCCCACCCATCATGGAGTGTCATAAAGACAATGCTAAATACCAGTGGATCTCCATCTGGCAGGATACCAAGGATACTTTGGTGATATACTGAAGCAGAAGAATCAATTGACAAGTATCCACCAGAGTGGCACATGAGCCACCGCCTTCTGGGCATACGACTCTAGGCGAAATTACATAGTGACCCATCCCCAGATTCTTGCATCAGACAGGACACATACCTAGGAGAGCGTACACCCCAGCAAAAAAGGACACTGCATTTATGGACAATTTGTTACGTGCCCTGGCACCTGTTTTGCACTACTTTTCCCTATCTAGGCAAGCTGGGTGGCTATGGTATTTCCATGTATCGTTTGGCCGTGGGTGTAGGGTAGCACTTTTGTGCTTTTTAGCTTGGTTCTTGCTAGTTTTACTTAACTTGCTTCCAAATTACTCCTCACGTTTAAGGCTACCAGCTTTCAGGGTAATCTGCTTCTCAGTGAGAACCTGGCCATCCCCGACTTTTCAGCCATGGAATCGTAAAATAGTTTACATTGGGCAACCAATTGTATATTTTGGTAGTTGTCACGTCAGCGGTAGTTGACATTTTGGCCATTGGCGGTACCTGCCACAATGGTTTTTCTCACTGGTCGAGGCAGTGGTAGTTGCTTTTGGACCGAAATGGTAGTTGCCATCTATACTATCAGGGGCCGGCAGCGCGGTAGTTTCCAAGCAATTGTAGTGTTTCTTATAATAAAATATGTTGTCAGAGCCAGAGGCGGCAGCGGCCCTGAGCCAGCAGTGGCAACTGCTACTCACCCTTGGCAATGGTAGCTTTTCATGTACAAGAACCTGCACACCCTCGGCCATTTAATCGACTCTCATGTTGTGTTGTTATTATAGGCACGAGCGTCCACAATATGGTATCCAGTACCTCACCCTTGTCACATCACGCGATAATTGGTGGTTTATGAGAAGACTACACTGCAGAAGACATTTTGTCTCTATTATTATATGCAATCCATTTTTCAGCAACATCTACCACCCACGTACCAACGGCAAACGTGTCAATCTCAGGAGGCGTCACATCAGACTACACGTTTCGTGACAAAGATTCAAATGCCAGTGTAAGCTGTGACCTTACGAGTTCACCGCCGACAGATCTCACGATACAATGGTTCAGGAACGGATTTCGGCTTCAGAATACTGCCCTCCGTGTTCATATGTCTCAACATGAACTCGCTCATGGTCACTTCGTTGGAACACTTCATTTCTCAATAATTTATCGTCGGGATGCGGGTATGTGTTGACTGAACTCGGAATACGTTCATCTCTCCTCTAACAAACACGTGTGAGTGAGTGAGAATTATTTTACGCCGATTTTAGCAATATTCCAGCAATATCACGACGGGACTAGAAATGGGACTTCATACATTGAACCATGTGGGGAATCGAACCCGAGTCTTCGTGTTGACAGACACGAAGGGGCCTATTGATATGAATAGCTAGGATAATTACCATCCACCAGGGCTTAGGATTTAACGAATGATTTGCATTATTGGATTTTCATGTATCTGTAGTTAATGTACTGCAAAAATCGTTTTCTTGTCCTTCGAGTTAAATTTGATATGCGAATTACTTTGGGTCTGTATTTACATACATGTAAAAATAAAACATCAACCCAGTTTAGATTAACAACTGAAACAGATTCAATCGGGCGCAAAAGGCAAAATAGTGGTTAAAAGTATTTAAATGGATCACTGAAATTGCACACCAACGACCATATCAACTTTTGTAAATACTGCTGCCAAGACACACCCCGTGGTGTATGTGTATCACGCATACATAATGACCAGGGATGTGTATAAATAATGAAAATTCCAACCTACATCAGATAACATTACTTTTTAATACAATTATTATACTCTTATTTCAGATTTATATTCTTGCAAAACATCAAAATCTGCAAGAGAATGGACCTCAACAATACACGTGTATTCTCACCCGATATTACAGTTGATATCGGACCCACCATTTGTCGACGACGGCTCTAACGCCACACTCACATGTAATTTATCTAACAAGGACTCTTCGGAACCTGGTGCATTTGCAAACATCACATGGTTTGAAAATGGAAAACCCCTGCAAGGTAGGTCCTGGAATAACGATATTCGGGTCGATTAACAATTACAAATCGTGGTACCTATATAGTGTTTCCTAACTACAGGATATCCTCTTTTGTAATCATTGTAGAACCCACATATAAGATTATGGAATTTTTTTGGTAGGACTGTTTTTCTTATGCGGATGTTGTTTTCTGATATGGAAATGTATTATTTTGATCATATGTATTTTAATTTGTCACTTTCATCATGTATTGGATAGCGTTGGATTGCTATGCCCTGCACATAAACCAGCAGGCCTCGAAAGTTCTTTCGTTAAAGAAGAATTTCTTCCTGTTTCAAGATATATGTTTGATGGCAACATTCCCGCAATATGCCGCCCTTGCATTATGTGAATGTATGTATTGGACTGTCTCAATTCAATAACAGCACCTCAGTCACTTCCGGACTTATTTCCCCATTGTGTTCTGGCTGAAATAATGCCGACGCGACGTTAAATGTTAACTCACTTTATATACACGTTCGTAGACTTACAATCGTAAGGATGTGAAGGGTGTTCAATGTAACATATATAGTTTATTGATTCAGAAACTGGAAGGAACATAACGAAAACTGGACTCGGCTCAGAGAAGCTGTACATTGACAAAGTCTCAGAAGACACCGTTTTCTGCTGTTGCCTAAATATCACATGTTCTCGAAAAGCGAAACTTACAATACTCAAGAAAGGTATATTATCTTATTTTGGACCAAGCTGAGTTTTATTAATGATTACTTTCTTAAATGTTTGCAATTTTGATGATTGTATTTATGATTTGTTTTTGTTGTTTTACGCAGCACTCAGCCATATTCCAGCTATATGAAGCCAGGCTGTAAATAATAGAGTCTGGACAAGACAATCCAGTGATTGACATGAGCATCGATCCACACAATTTGGATCGATGACATGCTTCAACCAAGTCAGCGAGCCTGACCGATCCTGTTAGTGGCCTCTTACGACAAGCGTAGTCGCCTTTTACGGCAAGCAGAGGTTGCTGAAGACCTACTTTACCCCAGATCTGCATGGGTCTTTGTTTATGAAGCATACATTAAGATGTAATATGGGAATCAATATTCGCGACATTTTTACGTTAAGAAATATTGGCCAGATTCATATATAACATCTGGTTTATGCTATACAAACTGTCATCTTTCTAACTAAATTTGTATATTCTTGTATTTATGCCATGCATAACTTACTTTGAACATCTTCTAGATTCAGCAGTTTGTAAACCAGAGCCGGATAGTAAAGGAAGAAACTGGACAAAGGCAAAAGCTGGAGGAACCATGGTAAACGTGTGTCCAGTGGCCTATGATGGTAACTGTCTTTCCAGATTCCACACTTTATGGCGGATTTCAAGTAAACATTAGAGTGTTTTTAGACAAGTATATAAACGTAGACCAACATACATATTTGGGTCTGTGATTTTCTTTGAAGGTACCATATCCCGTAGATGCAATGAACGTGAACAGTGGGAGGATCCCAAGGATTTCTCTTGTGTCAATCAAACATTGCTTGGTCTGATCGATAAGGTAATGTATTATTTTGTTTTTGGATACCTGTGTGTCAACCATACGCCCTGAAATGTTTTGTTTTATACAATTTTCGGACCCATATAGATGGGGGTCAACCATACCAGATTATTATAAGGAGAACGGGGACACGGTCGGCCCAGTCGTACAACGCGCAGCTCGCTGTGCAGAAACAAATAGGCGTGGGTTTTGAATCCCGGTTCGCCCCAATTATGGTTCTCGATTTGTCAGCGTCATACCCTTGCTCGTTGGTTTCAATGGAGTGGTCAACGTCTAAGACCTGCATCGCTTGGGCTTTACTCCAAGAAGAGGCTGACATGCCGTGATATAACTCACTTACTTTCTATACTTTGTATATACTTTATATAAATGAGTAAGTAGGATCGTGAAATATTAATGTTATGATCGGCGGTCAGACGGACGAAATATATCTGCTTTATAAAACACTGCTACAGATAGAACGGTTTCGGAAGCAAAACCTAACGCCCCAACCCATCCGAATCATTACACGTTGGCCATGCGACTCTACTGTGCACCTGGTTAGGGGGTCACTCTTGGTTTTGACACTTTAGTAAAATAGCCCTGAATATTCAGTAATTTTATTTTCATTATCAACAGTAAGACGTAAGCTCCCTGCTCTTGTTAAATTACAGTATTTGTGATCAGATTGGGAATGCGTCGTCTACAACGTGATAGACGCCTGAGCTAAGGCTATTGACCTGATTCGAACTATTCGAACTATTAGACAATATGTTCAAAGTGTCTCAGTTGGTGATTTACAGACTTTGGGAAAAGGATCTTGCAGATAAAAAATGTTAACAATTGGCCCCGCACCGGCGACCACGTATTGTACCTACGTGATCAAATCGACACACTCTAGCCAGATGCTAATGGTGTCAAGAGCGTAGAAATTTGTTGAATCGCCGATGGTCTCGTGTTAAGTTTTCAGATTACTACAGTTTCAGCCTGGACTTTGCAGATATGAGAATGGCAATGTTAGGCAACTTGACATAGTTTGGGATGGGTCTGTAATGATATTTCGAGGGATCACTATGACTGTCAGAACATCGCTCCATGTTTTCCATGGAAGGGTCACTGGACAGTACAACGAGACAACATACTGGCGCCAATAGTGTGCAGTGATGGGATATTTAAAAACGATAATGCTCTTGACCCCAGTGCCCATATCGTGACGGACTACCTCCATTCGCAAGACATCGCCAGAATACAATGGCAGCCATGAGTCCTGACGTTTCCCCATTCAACATGTCTAGGATATGATAAAAGGCCACCCGCTACGTTGGCTATACTGGGCGCGGCGCACCGCGGCAAGAGCAGTGGACAAGACTCCAAAAAATGTCATTGAGAGATTGATTCGGACCATGCCATACCGTATAGAGTAATGTTTGATCAATCGCATAACCCAGAATTGATCAAGTCATCTCAAACGTTCATTATGTGACCACACATATGTCGTTTACATCCGCCAACATGTCCTGTTGATTGTCATGCTACACCTTGTTCTTTCGTTTTCTTATCCGTCTATTGCCTTCATTCGATACCTTTTTCTGTTTCTGTAATCATCTGTTATTGTCGAATATTCCCTACTTCTATTGGAGAGTACGCACATGTTAGATGCATGTTGTGGATCAGAATGTTTGTTTCTACCACCAATAATACTTCTTTTAAATTTGCAAGCTGGAAAACATAGAAGAAAGACTTGAGCCTAAAGACAATATCAGAAATTTACTTCTCAACTTCCGGAATATAACGTCGAACAAAGAGCTTCCCCTAACTGCCGGTGACCTTAACACAAGTATTACCCTCCTGGAGGACATCGCCACATTTTTTAACAGCTCTGAATACATACTTAAAGATGTTACAAAGGTAAGTCAATTGTTATACATGTAGATAAATGACACACAATCAAGCACAAAATTGCTCAACTACTTTTGTTCTTTACACAGATGGTCCAAATGACACGATGAAAGTACCCATACTATAAACCGATACTGCGTTGAATACTATGTTATTATCAAACATCACAGATCTTCCTCGACATTGTTGATGAGATCCTTTCGTTGGAGAAGAAGAAAGACTGGGACTTGGTAACAGAGATGGTATGTATCTTTTGGAAAGTCTTAATCGCACATGCATATACAGTAAAGATACAAAGTAAAATATAAACGTTTGCACATATATATCCGACTATGATATATAACAAAGGAAACAATGATTATTTGGTACTTGCTGAGCAAATGATAAGAGCCCAACACTGAAACTATCTCATTAACACAAACTCAGAGTTTACTTAATTTCAACATGTTTCAAGATGTCAAGATGACTTTTCTTGAGTAGTTTATTCATGACAAAAGATGAAATCAAACTGTAGTTTATGAAATTTTAGATGAGATCTCTGGGGCACACAAGAAACCTATAATAGTTGGTTCGATTCCCGGTTCGCCACGATTATTTTTCTAGGTTTGTCAGCAACATACTCGTGCTCGTGGGTTTTCGCCGAAGTAGTAAACGTCTAAGACCTGTATCACTTCGGGCTTTCCTCCCACATTAAGCTGAAAGCCGCGATATAACTGGAATACTTTTAAAAGCGGCGTTGAACTGAAATCACTCACTCATTCACTCTTGCCTTGCCTATCACCTACGGTTCCAATGTGTTTGATGTGTGCAGTTAGTTTGCTTCTTTCCTCAGACAGAAGTTCCAAGAGCATCGTCTCTCTTAGATATACTTAAACTTCTCGGCGAAGCCAGTGGTCACCATCAAACAGATCAGGTGATTGATGTCACCGGACGTAATTTAAGTAAGTGTTAGACGTGCATACGATACTATTGTTTATAACCTTTTTAATGGTAAATATTAAATGGTTAAATATCAATGACACCAGTTCATGGTGTTTCATGTCAAACGAAACATTCACTGGAACTGAGCGTTACTCTATAGAATCTCATCAACGACCTGTCACTTAAAACCAACATCAGTGTGGTAGCTGGTAGTGACGTTCAATCACGTTTAGTCTTTCAGGTGACGAACACAACGAAGCCTGTTGACATCATATTCCCATCCAAATATAATGCTAATGGCACAGCAACACTGAAGCTTAATCAGATTACACTGCAGAACATAGCAACTGGTAAGAAGACATTTTTTGCTGTTTTATTTTCGTTAAACCTAATTTGTTTCGTCCGCACTAATCGGTTATTTTTATTGTTATACATTCTGATATTCCAAAGGTTCGTATATGTCCATGTTGGATACACAATGTCAGTTTTAGTTCATTGGCACTTGTACCATTATATGTCTATTCTAATATACATTATTGTTTTGCAGAACCTAGAGGCCATTTCATAATTGTTTTGGTATACTTCAGTACACTATCGCAGTTTATATCAACGGCGCACACATCGGCGAGCAGGTAAACGTTTTAGCTGAAACTGATTAGATATATTGTTTCCTGCCACTTATCGCTAAGTGACTTTCTCGAGTAGATGAATTGGTGACTATTTATATAGGAGTGAACTTCATTCGAATTATTATCACATAGAATATGAACCACCTTGTCATTATTATCTTGCCAAGTTAAATGTAATAACTATTTCTTCATGTTACCAGAGCCGACTGTGTCAACAGAGCGACGTTTGATTTCATTGAGGACTCTGCAATCGTTTCTCTGCACATTTACAGGAATAATCCAGGAGAAAGACGCACTTACATTCTCGACTTAAATCCAGGAATTGAAGTGCATAATCCACACAATACGGTTATACACATTTTAGTGTAGTAATATGAATGTATGTGTTTATGTACCACCTACGTGAATACTCAAGCATAATAGACCCTCGAACAATAATATACGTTTGTAGAAGGCACAAAATGACGGCATTAATTAAATTATGATACATCGCGTTGTAATTACCTTTCTAGGGCTGGGGATTCGGAAAAAAATAATTCTATCACAATGATAAGTTTGTTAAGACCGACAGTTTTGTTTGTTTGTTAATCCTGGGACTGTCCTTAATTTTTTTACAAATCCGATTATTTATGTGATCACCACAATTAATTCATATGCTGGATAACTTTACAGGTTCCAGTCGATAAACAGCTGTGTGTGGAAATGGATCATACTGAAATGTAAGCATACAAGGCGCATTTGTATTCATGCATATTTGCAAACGCAGAGTTAAAGATGTGTTATGACTTCCCGCTACATTTTTAGTTTGAAAAATTAATTAGCAATGGGACACGTTTCTCATTACGCCGTAACATCAGTCAAATCAAAGGTAATCCAAGTGATTGAATATTACCACGATTCGGGAGTTTTCTTCACCTGGCATATATCATTCATAATTACTAGATCAGATAATTTGCAAATATAAATATGTTTTGAGATATAACATATCTTGATTCTAGGGGATGGTCAACTTGTTCTGCCACGAAAAAGTCTGGAAATGAAACCATCACTTTCTGCACATATCAACAGACAGGGAACTATGGTGTTGCTGAGGTATCCCGCATCTCCTGTAAAACACCCGTGATGATGCCTATACAAATTCATATTTCACATTTAGTATTAATCTATATTCAAAGAATAATACCATACCCCCCTCTTTAAATGTATTTGTGTTGACTACTTCATGCTATGCACACCACAAAAATTGACCCGTGAAGAATAGGTAGTCAGCAACCTATGCTTGCCGTAAAGAGCGACTATGCTCGCTGACTTGGTTGATGTATGTCATCATATCCAAATTGCGTGGATCGATGTTCATAATGTCAATCACTGGATTGCTGAGGGCAACCATCCAACCAACTCAGCATATTGTGCTGTTTTTTTTACTTCTCTTATCCTTAAAAAGACGTTAATCTCATCTTATTTTGTAACATCCGCAATATATGCAAACATTTGAGTGAGGCATGGAGTTTACAAACCACAACAATTATACCTGTTCAGCACTCTCAGCATAATAATTGTGAAGGTATTGCCATGGAATAATGCCCAGTCGCTGAATACATAAGTATACTCTTAAAAAAAAGAAACGCAAAACGGATATTTGTGGACATAAAAGCAAAATTAGCGGACCAAGAGGTGCAAAATGAAGGGGTGTAATTAGGAGATAAACATACTGTGTTTTCAAGGTAGAGCTAGGTTACCTGTAGATTTAACCCCGCTAAATTGAATTTGGAACCGAACGCGCAGCGTGAGGTTTCAAATGTTAAATTTAGCGGGGTTAAATCTACAGGTAACCTAGCTTTACCTTGAAAACACAGTATGTTTATCTCCATTCTACCATGACTAAATAAAACGCGAACTCTTTGGTGTTAGCAAACATACTGAGTGAAGCGGCAAGGGATGAATCCAGTGTTTTGAGTGGGTTATCGATCTGAATTACGGAATCACCGAACAAAATATGGCGCTGTATATACTCAAGCAGTTTGTTGACACCGTAATACTTCACTCGAACATATGACAGGCATTGAAAGCATATAAGCACGGCAACTTGGTAAGCTAACATGCGGTGGGCATCCCTAAAGAAAACAAGGCAAGCTTTGCAAGGTTTTCGCTCTACATCGCATGTCACCATTATGACGTCATATCGCTCATTGTGACGCAAAAGATATGACGTCACAGTCGTATACAGAAAAGCCCCAAAATTCCAAGCTTTCTGTTGTCTCCAAAACGTAAATACATTCCCTTTGTAGATTTCTAACGTGTTTTCTGCATGAAATGTATTGCCACACATCCTTTGAATACTGTAGTAACCGCATCTGTGCATTTTGTAACCTGTAATTGTAGATATAATTATTTAAATATGCCTACCGACAATGACTGAAAATAGTACTATTCTATGAATATTAGCTTCCGCGGTGATGCGGCCGTCAAACCAGCTGTTTCAATCAGAGGGGGGTTATTGTGATTTAATAGCCTCTGATTGACCAATCAGAATCGAGTAAATTCCAAATTCATGGTAGAATGTGTTATTGTCTCAGTGACAAATTTCCCGGATCACAGTGATCACAACCAGGACATACAAACCATTAGTAAGGAAACACGCACGATTCGGAAAAACGCACCCAGTGCATTAACAAAAGCAATGGAGCTGACATGCAGCAGCACTATAAACGGTATTTAAGTGCAGGGTTTTTGATTGCCTGGCATCTGCGTCAATCGAACAGTGACAGTGCTAGAAACCAACGTCATAGGCCGCTTGCAGGCAGGGCAATCCCGATGAGCTGTAGCCAGGGTTTTCAATGTAGCGCCCTGCACCATTACAAGGCTATGGGATCGGTTTCAACAGCATGGGTCAACACGTGACAGGCCAAGGTCGGGACGACCAAGAGAAGTGAGTGAGTGAGTTAATATTTAACGTCACATCGGCAATATTTCAGCCATCTCGTAACGAGAAGTTATACATTAATTATTCATATATTTAGGCTTTATAAAAACCTGTCATCGTAGGGCAGTACGATAACGAGAATATGACAGATTAGATTTAAAACTAGTTGAGGAACATTTAATAGCAGAAAGAATGAGTTGACAACACAATATAAAAATGGGCTAGAGATCGTCAGAAACTAAAGGGAGATCACCATACCATGGGAACTTACAGTGCCTTTGTTTTCTGCATGGACACGATCAAGATTAACCACCCCCGCCCAAAGATCCGACTGGGCCACCTACGTGAAAAGGCGACCGCAGCCACCTCAACCGCATCCCAAATACCCAGACTGCGCAGAATCCCCGACCAGACCGTACGAAACCGTTTACGAGCAGCAGGTCTACGAGCAAGACGTCCTGTTCGACGCGGCCTATTGAGTCGACAACATCGTCAACAACGACTGCATTTGTGTCTTCAGCACAGGGTATGGCCTCAACTGCGAGGAAGAGATGTCTGGTTCAGCGTCGAATCAAGATTTCTCCTCCGTCGAGGGGATGGAAGAGTCCGGGTCTACAGACGTCGGGGAGAACGTTACGCCGGAAACACATTAAGTGGACAGGTTTGTTTGGGGTAGCGTTATGATCTCTCATCATGGCAGGACAGGTTTGGTCCATATCCAGGGCAATCTTACGGCTCAACGGTAATCAACGATATTATCCTACCCCACTTCCTCCCAAATGCAGCCAAAGGCAATTGTGTATTCCAGCAGGACAACGCTCGACCGCATACAGCACGGATCACAAGAGCCTGTCTTCACAACAACGTTAATGTTCTCCCTGGCCCTCCAGATCACCGGATTTGAACCCGATAGACGCATGTGGGGTGAATTGGATAGAAGGCTACGCGAACGTCAACTACCACCCCAGACGTTGCAGCAGTTAGCGTTGCAGATTGACTGAGCTACCATTTCCCAGGATGTGATTCGCATACTCGTCTCTTCCTTAGGCAGGAGATGTCAGGCCGCTATCGATTCCAACGGGGGACCTACGCATTATTGATGGTAGCTGACTTTCGCTTTGGACTTTTCGTATGTACCGATAACTGAGACGACGACAATCACCAAGCGTTCTCTCCACAACATTTTGGCTCAATACCATGTACGGTTCCTTGTATAAATGTATGTTCCTACCTCACACAAATCTGGCTCTGCGTTTCTATTTTTGAAGAAAAAAAATAATATATATATCTACTCAACAACACAAGTTCCTGTGACACCAATATTAAAGTGTATTTTTCAAACAAGTAAAGTTTGGTTTTCAATATTGTAGAGTCCGTTTGATTCCAATGAGAACGATGAATTGCAAAATAACTCGAAATCCAGAAAAGTGTATGAAACATCAATACGGTACTTGACCATGAATACCCTGTACCCAACAAAATCTGAATTTTGTTTATTTATTCTTTAAGAAACTATCATGTAATTTTGTATAGAAATGTGTACATGACACGTAGGGGAGACAAACCGTGGAAGGCAAAGGGCAAGCACGCAGTCACTGCATGTTCTGTGGTAGGGGAAATGACAGAGCGTTAGAGGGGCCGTCTCATGATAATTTCAGTCGCAATCTGACTCGCTCATGCCATAGATCTCGTCGTCGGAACTGCTGGTGCCTGAACCGACTGCCACTATTATAGGTTGGACTGTTGCTGGCCGTAGTCCATCTAGTGACAAATAACGTGGCTCTATCTCGTCAACGACCGTGGCCACACAACGCCTCCATGTTTCTACTGTTACCCGACCAAGGGATTCCTTTACGAGTTGTTCAACGTAATTTGAACGTTGTGTTCGATCGTCCAACGTCACCCTTGACGATGCCCCATACCAACTCGATTGGATTCAGGTCGCAGTGATAGGTGGCAGTCGTAAGACAGCGTGACCCTGACCCTTGATGTAACTGTCAACTTTATACACGGGGTCAGGTTTCATAGTTTTGATGATTTCATAGAGCTGTGGTTTTGTCGCTCGAGAAGGAAAGGTAATGTTCCTCCGTTGCAGCCAAGTAACCATGTCTCCTTTACGGTTATTAGAGGTTGGAGTCTTGCTTTCTGGATCCTGCACACTATGATACGGTGCATTGTCCTTGACAATGAGGGACTTGGTAGGCAAAGCAGGGACTAATTTATCTTTCACCCACTCCAGAAATACATTGCCGTTCATTTCTGTGTGGTAGTCCCTGTTGTCTTTGAGCTTGGCTCTAAAGACGAGGTCACAGTCTGGGAGAAAACCCTGACTAGCAGAACCAGCATGGCGAACTATGAGTCTTTCACCCTTTCCCATTGGTAACTTTCTACCAGACTCCTTACAGTCACCACTGGGTGCCCACTGACTGCTGGCTGTGTGTGACGCATTTACCCATGTCTAATCTAAGAAGGGCTCATATCCTTCTTCACGTTTCTGCTTGATGGTACGAAAGTAATGATTTCGGAGACGAACAACGTCAGACCGTTCACACAACACAGCCCTATTTTCTCCAGTTATCTTTTTGTATTTGTAACCAAATGTATGCAACAGCTGCCATAGTCTGTACTTTGTAACACGTAAATCATGGTCAGTTTCAAGGTGTTTCTTCAAAATTCTTAGGGACAGGTACTTATTTTCTGAGTGCAGTTTAACAGTTGCACGTCTGACTTGATCCCTCTGAAAACTGTCTAATTTATCAATCTTGCGTGGTTTTGACATGTTCCCTACCTCCTTGGCCTGACTTTTTGTACCTCGTCGACTAACAACATTTTTAAGTTTCTGAGGGGACATACCAAGAGCTTTTGAAGCTCGTTTCAAGAATTTATTAATTGCATAAAAAGGCTTTACTCTTTCTGCTTCACTTCTAAAGAAATCATACACATTTAACATCAACTGTTTAACATCTGCTGAGTAGCGCATCTTGTCATTGAATGAACATGGTCAAAATGTAGCACGTGCAGACCATGCTTGCGCTGTTCCTTCCACGGTTTGTCCCCCTACGTGTATTGGAGACATTTCTATACAAAATTACATGATAGTTTCTTAAAGAACTTCATCCGTCATGGGTCTTAAAATAAACAAAATTCAGATTTTGTTGGGTACAGGGTATTCATGGTCAAGTACCGTATTGATGTTTCATACACTTTTCTGGATTTCGAGTTATTTTGCAATTCATCGTTCTGACTTTTATGCAAGCCCCATGCATTTCACTACCCAAGAATGGGTATAAAATTTTTTGCGTTAACGGGATTCCATATGCGTTGTTCAGCATCGTGCTGACAACAAAAACAAACAAGATTACCAATTATTCAACATTACGAAATGCCACGCCTGTCCGAAAATGAGCGTCTGCGAGCCATTGGTATGCTTGAAGCAGGATCGAGTCAACTTGATTTTGTAAGACAATTTAACGTCCACAGAAACACCATTTGGTGTTTATGGCAACGTTGACAACAGACGAATGCAGTCAGAGACCACCCTCGAAGTGGCAGGCCACGCGTAACCAATAATCGACAAGACAACTACGAAATCGATTCCAGCCAGCAACAGTGACTGCAAGAAGCATCCCTGGCCTTCGACGAATATCTTCACAAACAGTACGTCGCCGCCTCAGATGTGCAGGGATTGTCGCCAGAAGACCCGCCAGACGTCCCAGTTTGACAGGAAACCACCGTCAAGCACGTCTACAGTGGTGCAGAAAGAGTCTACGCTGGACTTTGCAGTGAGGACAAGTTCTATTCACTGACGAGTCTCGTTTTCACCTCAGCCACAGCGATGGACGGATTCGAGTGTACCGACGTCGAGGTGAACGTTACGTCAATCATTGTGTCATGGAAGAAGATCGGTTCGGGAGCGGCAGCGTTATGGTATGGGGTGGAATTACAGCAAGACAGAGGACCCGTTTGATAGTGGTAGAGGTACCGCGTCGAAATTATCGGCCCTGTTGTTTTACCGTTTTTGCGTCGTCATGGCCCAGGCATTACCTTTCAACATGACAACGCCCGGCCTCATATTGCTCGACTTGTTCAGTATTCTCTTCAACAAAACAACGTGAATGTTATCCCCTGACCGGCTCGCTCCCCTGGTCTCTCACCAATCGAGCACATGGGATGAGATGGATCGGCGCCTTCGACGTCAACCACTTGTTCCACAGACACTCAAGGAACTTCGAAACATGCTCCAGCATATGGATATGGACAGATATCCCACAGGACTTTGTGCGACGCCTAGTCCATTCCACGAGACGGAGATGTGTTGCTTGCATCGCAACCAGAGGTGGACACACATGCTATTGATTTGTAAATTGACATTTTGGCATGTTCAAGTTTTTGTTATCAAATCACGCATTTTCAGAAGTCAGTATGGCCAATTAAACCATTTGAACACTTACAGGAGTCTTTTATCTGTTGCAAACCGAAATTGTTTCAGATTTGGTTAAAAACGTAACTTTGCATTAAATCTTATTCATTGTCACAGGAACTTTTGTTGTTCAGTATACTTCAGTTGAAAAGTAGGCCCAGGGAGATGGGAGATTCAGTATCTGTGGACAATGCAGACTTGCTTTAGTTATGACTATAGAATTACGGTAAGGACTTTGCGGGAGTAAATAGTAAGGACTGTGAGGCAGACTAGTGCTCTATATTCGCATATGTTTTAACTGTATTTTTTGTTTTTTTAATACATCGTTACAATGTGTAATATTTCAACAATTATACATTATTCAATCCACTCCCTTTACATCAAACATTCAAGACATATTGCAAATATAGACAATCATAAAATATGATATCATACTAATATTCGTTGCTAGGATTGAAAAGTGTGTGGAAGGAAGACCAGAACGGAAAGAAAGCTGTATAATTGCAATTTGAGAATGCAGTTAGTTTGGTCATATTAAAGTATCTAATAACTTCACGTTGAATATATTTCAACTTCAGCTGAAAACCCTTTCGTGATTGTTTAAAAACAATAAATTTGATAAGTAATATAACTACATTCAGAGAGTTGTTATTCATCCCCTTAAATCAAAATAAAGTATTCTCTTTCCGAAATCAAGTCTTCCTTCCACAGATGTCGTTAACCAGTTGAGAACAAACTCCCACATCTGAGCAACATATTCACAATCATAAAATGCATGTACAAAAGTTTCACTATATTTACCACAGAAGTTGCAACTTGGTGAATCTTTGTAACCAATATTATGTAAGTATTTATTTGAAAGTAATATGTAATGGATATTCCCAAACTGCAACCATCTCCTTGTTGCCATGCAATTGCATCCCACCCACTATCGGTAAATACTTTCTGTAACGTTTTTCCCCATTTAAGCATTCCATGACATTTTATAACCGCTGGTTGTAAGAGTGTGTTATAAAAGAGTTTACGGCCTTGATTACACATTGTGAGTAGTGAAACATTGTATGTCTAAATAGGTTAAATTGCATTATTGATCGAACTATGCCCTGATATGTTAGAAAATTTGTTGTTATTCCATATATATCAATAAAAGATTCATAAGAATATATTTCACCTGTTTCATCCAAAAGAAAGTAGTTGTTTACAGCAGGAATAATTTCATCAGTGACATACTTAGCATCTACCATCCATAATCTGTTAATGTTTTGGATAGAATTCAATGACGGTAATAGCCATTTTGAGTAACTAGAACAGCGCTGATAACACAGGATATAATTTTGATAACAAAAGTGATTTTAAAACTGTATTTCTACCTACTGGAGTCAATAATCTTGCTCTCCATACATTCATTTCTCTTTCATTTTTTTCAAATAGATCTGTATAGTTTAAGTAAATAAGTTTTTCCAGAGCTTATATCGTGATCTCTTTTTTGAACCATTCCATATCAGTGAGGATTTGTCAGTATTAACGTTTGATCCTGAAAACCTATAGCAAAAACGTTTAGTGTATTTAACACATTGTAGAGGCCTTTTGCAGATCCATTTAACATCAAAGCTGTACCATATGCAAATTGTGCTAGTAAATGTTCAATACTGTCAGTCATTATTCCCTTAATACTTTTGTTTTTTCTTATCATTATTGCAAGTATCTCTGCACATATAATAAATGTATAAGGTGACACTGGATTACCCTGGCGACAACCTCTTGTTATCTTACAAAAAGGCTAGCAAAACCATTGACTAATACACTTGATTGAATATCGCTTAAAAATGTGATCCATTTTACTATGCTTGGACCAAAGTTGAAAAATTTAAATGTATTCAAAATGAAATGTCTATCAACAGAATCAAAAACTTTTTCAAAGTCAATCAGCATAAGTAATCCAGGTATTTGTTATATTTATTATATTCCATCAAGTCATATATTAATCTTGTAACTTCCCCTATATATCTTCCCGGGACAAAACTTTCTGATCTTCACTAACACTTATACTTAAAAATTCTATTTGCAATTAATGCTGACGCTATGTTATACGAGGTATTGAAGAGAGTGATTGGGCGCCATTTTTAAGGAAATGTTTCGACTTATTTTCCCCAGGAATACATGTTATTTATCCATGTTTTGTGTTACCGATTGAGATTCATTTCTGTATGCATGATCAACAGACTTAAGCCATATGTTTTAACTGTTGTTCTTTTCAGAACACCGTGAAGATCCCAGAGATAATGATTCTGGCTATAAAGATCGTGGCTGGAATCCTTCTCCTGGCAGTGGTAGTAATGGCGATCATGAATTTCTTGGCGGAACAAAAGTGAGCTATTTATAGATTAATTCGCACCAACGTTGTTTTGAGTACCAAGAGAGTGAGTTGTTTGTTTGTTTGTTTTACGGCGCACTCAACAGTATTCTAGTTATGTGACACTGACCTGTAAGTAAGGAACAGGGAACAATCCAGTGATTGATATTGTGAACACCGGGGACGATGACACACCATTAACCAAGTCACAGACCCTGGCCACCCGATCCATGTAAGGGTGCCAACCACCACAAGTCTGAATTCCAAATACCATCTATTTTTACACTCGGTGTCTCAGCTCACCCCTGAATCCCAATTACCTTTTAACACAAATCTCAAAAGCACATGTCTGATTTACAAGGTGAGGTGAGGTGAGGTGAGGTGAGGTGAGGTGAGGTGAGGTGAGGTGAGGTGAGGTGAGGTGAGGTGAGGTGAGGTGAGGTGAGGTGAGGTGAGGTGAGGTGAGGTGAGGTGAGGTGAGGTGAGGTGAGGTGAGGTGAGGTGAGGTGAGGTGAGGTGAGGTGAGGTGAGGTGAGGTGAGGTGAGGTGAGGTGAGGTGAGGTGAGGTGAGGTGAGGTGAGGTGAGGTGAGGTGAGGTGAGGTGAGGTGGAGTCGCATTCTGGATGATTGCTGGAAAAATAGCGACGTGCATGCACGTGTATGTGTGTGGCCACATGGGGACTCTAACATGGGCCTTCTGTGTGACATGCGAAGGCTTTAACCTCTAGGCTACATCATCGCCTCAAGAGCCGAGAGAAGCTGATTTTGAGTGTGGGCCCGTCAGCAATTAGTCTGCTACAAGATTGTGATCAAGTCCCCCGCTGCATATTACATGTGGAAGATGCATAGCCCCTGCATTCTGTCACTCATACGTCTGGTTATAAGTGTTTAACTTCCATACATCAATGCTCTTTGTTTCGTAATGAAGGTTGATACTGCAGAAAGTATATGAACATTTATTGGTTTCATTAGCCCTAACTCACTTATTATTCTGCAATATGATCAATCCAAACAACAATTTTACTCTGTTCATGTCAGCAACAACTTCATAAATGCAACTTTTGAGTTTCAGTCGAACGGAGCATTTAATTGCGTTAAGTATGCACAGTTCAGTGGCCATTTCGTACGGCCTGTTGGTGTTTGGTGGGACGTCGTCAGAAAATAAGGTACTTATGAATAAGATACACATCACCTGACTTTTCGTATGTACATTAGGGATTCGGAAATGTTTGTTCTGGACAATAAGCGTCAAATTAGTTAAAATGTTCTCTCATACAGATTCGTGTTTTTTTCTCTAATAATGAGCAAAAATATTATTTACTTTGCCTGACCAAACTGTTTTACTTCCGAAAATATCTAGCTGACAAAATGGAGAAATATTGAACTGCAATATCATGTACATTATTCAAAATCGTTACATCATCGTCATAAATCAGTGATTGTCATTTACCAACAAAGCAGGTCGGTACATGGCCAATGTTTGTAGAAGTTCGTTGTAAACCTTTGTGGCAGATTTAATTACGTTACACCGTCTCCTCGTATGATGTATGCTAGCTGTCTCATCATGGTCCAAACTAAGATCTTAATTCCAGGATATCTGTTCTAACATCGCCATTTGCATCAACTTTTTCTTTCTGACGACGTCGTTTCTGACACTTTCGTTGAGTCTTTCAACTGTAGAACAGGCAAAACGATTCGCCATCGGTATGCTTATCGCATCACTGGGTAAAGTATTATATATACTTTTCGATTATTGCCTTTCATCGATACTCATTGATTGAAACACATGATAAGACATTATCCATTGTTCATGAAGACACAACTTGTTCACGTTACGTCAGCAGAATGATAGGTAATCTGTGAAATGTCAACGGACATACATTGTCGTCCTTAATTGACAATGGTTACAATTAACTTGAAACTTGTAGCATATTTACTTCATAACTTTTCAAAGCTTAATGATTCATACGGATGTTTTTAACAAAATAAGATATCAATTTATCATATATTATACAAATATTTCTGTAACTTAATCTCAATGTTATATTTATATGTCAAGAGGGATTGGGTTGGGTGTTGACATGTCAGGTGTCCGGTATAATGTATGACACAGCTGATATACTGTCCCCACATTTCATTATTAGTATTATCTTTCTAAATCGATCAGGAACATTATCCATGAGTCCTATCTTTTCAGCTCTGCCGTTAATAATCATCATTATATACTTATCAGTAAAAGGCAAGTCAGGCTACGGGTCCAACGACGTGTAAGTACGAATATCTAGCATCACGGTATCAACGCACACTTTTCTGTATAATCTCAGGGATATAGGTAATTATTAAGCCAACTGACATGAACAGGCGTTTTTGATAACATAAACGAATTAATGACACACACACACACACACACACACACACACACACACACACACACACACACACACACACACACACACACACACACACACACACACACACACACACACACACACACACACACACACGTATATGGATCGGGCAGTTGATCACTGAGACGGCGTGGATCAGTGCTCACAATATCAATCAGAGTGGATCATTGCTCACAGTGCCTGGTCCAGACTCGATGATTTATAGGTTGCGGCGTTAAGCAACAAGTAAACAAACAAAACCAAATACAATCTCAATGTACATTAATGTCCCGCATAATGTTCATCACATTGTTGTAATTCCAGGCAATTTTTCAATGTTTCTAGGTGTGTTCCATCAACAACAAACAATGCTCTATATCTTCTTATCATTCCTCTACTAGCAGTGGCCGTGGTGAGGATTGTTTCATAATAATCGATTGAATTAAATAAAAAAAGCGACGAAGCTCTTTTCCATATCATAACACATCTTTAAACGATATCGATTATCTTTATACGATATCGACTATATCGTAAGCATGTGTTTGAATCATTATCAAATAGTGATGATACCAGGTGTTGAACAGGTGAACGTATCACCCAATGGTGGTATCCGCCACAAACACTTGCAAATTTGGAAAACAGGCTCCACATCTCCACCATACAGCGTTTTGAAATCTTTACTGAGGCCTTCAATGTTGTAAACCTCATCACAGACCCTTTGAGCAATAGTATATAAAGCTCATTGATTTTACCTCAAAAGCCGTGAAATGTAGACACCAGAGGCTGTAGATACAAGAGTGTTGCTCGACAGTTATGGGACAGTTGACTAGGGAAAGGTTGAAGTCTATCCTCTTGTCTTTCATTGTCACTCTGAATCTGTATGCATTCACCTCAATACGAAAATGATGAGGTGAATGCACTGGTCTCTTTTATTTTCAGGTCACGTGTGTAAATAATTAGAAGGCTTATTATAGAGTGTTCATGAAACCCAATATCTATATCTGTTCCATATACGTTTCAGGTACAGGTTATATTGTGTATCATTGTGGGCATAACAGGCAAAGAAGGCAAAAGATGTAAATGCGTTAACAAATACAGGTACGGCGGCATTTGACACTGTGTATGTGTGTGTGCGTATGTGTGTGTGTGTGTGTGTGTGTGTGTGTGTGTGTGTGTGTGTGTGTGTGTGCGTGCGTGCGTGCGTGCGTGCGTGCGTGTGTGTGTGTTTGTGTGTGTGTGTGTGTGCGTATGCCTTACCAAGACTTACGGCTACTCAGTGACAATGATTTTATTATAATGACATGTAATGATATAATTTGCTATTCATGTAGGTGAATCAAGACACGCCCAATTGCTTTGATATGACTGCTTACGAAACAGGTCCCTTACATTCACTTTAAAAAACAAAGCAATTGCAAAGAGTAGACGAAACGAACAAAATTGAGGCATATGCATTCGTGTCTAGACTGTTCTAAAGATTGTTCTTCCGTAACGTTTCGTACAGAACTAACTACATGCCATCGTACATAAGATTATCTACCGACAGATACATGTCTGTGCAGATCGTAATAAAAACATAAGAATGAATGTTTTGGAGAAGTTGTTTAAACACAAAACTGTTATTTCTAAACAAAGAACTAAACATAAGGCGTAAACCCTCTAATGTAGGTGACGTTGACATTGTAGTACAAATGCTTTTGTTGGGGATTACAAAATAACACTGAACACTAGATTTAACTGGTCCATACTTTGCAGTTTGTCATGATACCAAGTAGAATCAATTTATCTCTTTACAAGGTTACCTTATGAATGAGTTCCCTTCGTTGATTGGTTGTTTAAATGTGGCAAAACCAACAAACTCTACTATTGAAAAAGGACTTTCATTTTTCTAATGCACTATGTCTTGGGTCCTTCTGGTTTAAAGTTCTAATGCAGTAAGAAAGAATTTTCCGAAAATGAAAGTGGCATAATCCTTACTAGAATACTAATAATGTTACATTCTGAAAAAAATATTTGTTTTGAAGTTCTAGATAAAAGGGACAAACCACTTTTCACAATCATACAGATTAAAAGCGCCAAGACCCTCTCCATATTGATAAGAAATATCTGCTAAAAGCAGTCGATTGCATGATTCCGACTACATCATTAACATGTGTTTATGAATACCCATCAAATAGAGATGAAACCAGGTGTTAGTATCATGAGCATACCCCAAACCCCACCCCTAAATCGATGGCATCCGCCACAAAGACATTCAAAAGCAAATCAATTTGCCACTTATGCGTCAAATTTGGACATGTCCTCAACATGTCTACCATAAAACACGTATATTAAAAATACGATTCACTTGTGTACATATATAAAGAATTTCACAATATGACACAACTCGAAATCGTATTAAGTATGTTTTGTATGTCAGTCATGTCATTATATCAGTAACAAAAATATGCTTATTGCAGGTCAGTTTATTGCAGGTCAGTTTTTCGTTCACTGAGGCTTGGTACGGAAACTGGAATTGGAATTCTTTTGTCATTGCTTACAGTATATTCTCAAGAAACTATCGATGTCCTATTTTCCATTGTTGGCGTGGTCCAGGTTTGTATACATTTCATACACATTTACTTGAGGTTGTTATCGTACGGAAGCGTAGTAGGGCCACGGTGATTTTTTTGTCTAATTATCTCCTATGTAGGACTTAGTATCTTCTACGTAGGACTTACTATCTCCTACGTAAGACTTAGTATCTTCTACGTAGGAGATATTAAGTCCTACGTAGGTGATATTAAGTCCTACATAGGAGAAAGTAAGTCCTACGTACTAGATACTAAGTCCTACGTAGGAGATACTTAGTGCTACATAGGAGATAGTAAGTCCCACGTAGGAGATAGTAAGTCCTACGTAGGAGATAGTAAGTCCTACGTAAGAGATAGTAAGTCCTACGTAGGAGATACTTAGACAAAAAAATGTTCACCGTGGCCCTACTACGCTTCCGTGGGGGGGGGGGGGGGGGTTACATCTGGTTAACATTGTGTAAACGTGATCATATACGTGACAATGCCTTCCTGGTTGTGATTATATACTTACTCTTATTTTAGTATATCTGCTTGTCTTCTTTCATTCCCGGTTTGAAAGCAACACCAGGTGCACAAAAATGTGGTTTAAAAAGCCAAATATTTTTTTTGGTCTCTATGCCATTTTTAAAACCTGGAATTGATGAGAATATTTTTATATGTTTTGTATTTTAAAATCTGCCAGGATTATACAAAGTAAAACAAGAAGTGATATGGAACATTTGTCTTCTGAATTCGTCCTGTTTATTTCTCAATAACATGTATACATATCTATAATATCCAGTTAGTTAGTTTTAGATATCCTGTTCGGGTAAAACATATTGAACGTGTACTTCTTCTTTTCAGACATCTTTGTATGTTTTAGCCGAGTTGGAATTGGTAAGTCTGATTAAACTTTAACCGGGGATGATAATCTTGTTAGGATGATATTTTGAATGAGGCATGTGATCTAATTAACGTCACGCGGTGCACATTTCATCTTGTTGTTGTAGCGAGGCGAAGTTATTGATTGCGAGTCGTAGTACCCCGACGAGACGGGGTTGTTCATAATATCAGTCACTGGTTTGTCTGACCTAGACACGATAATGTATGGTCTTCCATCATATAGCCGAAATGTTGCTGACAGCGGAATAAAATAGAATCCCGGTACGCCCCGATTATGTTTCTAGGTTTGTCAGCACCATACCCGTGCTCGTGAGTTTCACCGAAGTGGTAAACCTGCATCACTTCGGGTTTGCCTCCCACATTAAGCTGACACACCGTGATATAACTGGAATACTGTTAAAAGCGGCAATAAACCCAACTCACTCACTTACTCGTAACTTCGCAGCGTTTCAGGTTTAGGTAAGAACTAATCAGCAGTGAAATATAATCAAATCCCCAATAATTGTTAGTGTTGTATGTTATCTGATAACTAATGCAATGATATTGTTACAGCCACGGGAAAATGCTGTTTGGCCTTCTCCCAGTTTGCAATCAAAGATCGACGCTAAATATGTATGACGTTTTTTCTTAATATCCTTTTTACCCCATGATTCAATTGTGTGCAATCCATGGCGAGTTTGCTGCAACCGTCAATGCAATGTTTATCTTCACTTTTTAGGGTTGGTTGCCCATAACCGCCTCCTGTATATCCATGGGGGGCCAGGCTCGCTGAGTTGGTTGATGCATGTCATCGATTCCAATTGGGTGAAACGATGCTCATGATATTAATCAATGGATTGTCTGGTCCAGACTCGATTATTTACAGGCCGCCGTCATATAGCTGGAATATTAAAAAGCGGCTTTAAAAAAACAACCAACCAACTTACCAACATGGTTATACAATGTACATGAACTGAATGAAAGTATACCGTAGACTCGTGTGGGTATAATGGAATCCCACTTCCTTCGTTCTCACAAAAGGCGACTATGCTTGACGTAAGAGGCGACTAACAGGATCGGGTGGTCAGGCTCGCTGACATTGTTGATGCATGTCATCGATCCCTATTTCGTGGATCGATATGTATGATGTCAATCACTGGATTGTCTCCAGACTCGATTATTATCAGACCGCCGTCACATAGCTGGAGTATTGCTGAGTTCGGCGTTACACAACAAACCAACCAACCAGTCGTTCTCACCACTTGGGATTTCCATGGTTAGAGATGGTACCCAGCAACCAACATGTATCATAGCTGTGAGGGGCGATAACATGGATCGAACAATCAAACTGTTGTTGACTAGGTACTTCACTGAACATTCAAACTAAATCTTTGTTCCAATATCACCTCATGCGCCTTCTTCCAACATACATCACATGTTCGCTGCCGTATCTTTACAGCGTTGCAGGTTCAGGTAAAAGGAATTAACAGTGAAATAAAAGCAGATCCTCTTTAAATGTTAGTGTTGTATGGCACCTGATAACTAATACGCAGACATACTTTTACAGCCACCGGAAAATGCTACTGGGAATATTCTGGCGACGCTTTCACCAGAGGAAGCTAAACAAACGTACGATTCTTTCTATCCTATACAAATTTGTACAAAATAAAGGGTTTGGATATAGTTGTGCCTCTACTGAAGGAAATTATCTAGTTGAACCACTTCATAAGAATCAACATAAACTAAAAATAATATATTTGTAGGAAGAAACAATCTGAAAATAATAAATTGATATTTCAGGGCTCCAAAAAAACACCGACAGTCTGCCTCAAACCAGTGAATATTTGTTGGGCTCTACATTTGGAACTACCATCTACTGAGTATTATTTGGATTTTGTGAATCGGTTTAATTCATAATTAGATTACATTTTAGTTTTGTTATTTTCAAGGTAAGAATATAACTCCACAGCAGTCTGTGCGTGGCGTAAAAGGCGACCAAATGGATCGTGTGGTTAGGATGTGACTTGGTTTGTTTCATGTCACCGTATCCCATTGTCGTGGATCGATGCCCATAATATCAAACACTGGATGTCTGGTTCAGACATTAATTACAGACCACCGCCATGTAGGTGGAATATCTCTATCTGTGGTGTTTAACAAACAAACATACTTTTCTGGCTTATATTATAATGCAAAACAATCAGTATATCACACTGACATCATATAGGTATCCAAGAACAGGAAAACTAAGAACAGGAAAACCATGAACATAGGAAAACTAAGAACAGGAAAACCTAGGACAACCAAACCCTACCCACAAGATCAAATGCAGATGTGACGAAACATACATCGGAGAAACATAAAGATATCCGACCACAAACACCAAAGATTAACTGACAAAAAGAGACTCCAAATCCGCCATTTGAGATCACATTCAACAAAGCCCCTGTCACCAGCTCCATTGGACCAGCCCCATGTGCCTTGCCGCCAACCACTAAACAACATCACAAAACCTGCCATCCACATCAAACGATTAAAGCCTGCTTCGTCATGCCATCAGCCTATCATCATCTTAGATTTAAGAGGGGATTCCATGAGATCCTAGATCTTGTCTCCTCATGTGAAGAAGTTGCTGTTGATGAATTGGGTGCTGCTGTCTGTGATCATTTTGGTGTAGATGTGTTATTCCGTGTTGTAAAGTCTGGAACGGATAGCCTGCAGGGCTTCGTCTATTAGTACTCAATTCTAATATATTTATCATCTGGCCCAATCTCTTTAAAATGTGCGAAATAGTTTTGTAACTTTATGGACTTTATGTGACCAGATTTATTGTATAACTTTTCAGTAAAATTGAAAAAATTAAATAGAACATTTTGCATACATTATATATCTGCCATCTTGTATGTTTATAAATTGTATCATGTACATGTATGTACTCATGTAAAGGACTGTGTTGTAAAGTACTGTCGGAAATGCTAGAACACTGCTTTTCTGGCTTCATTTAATAAATACAAGTCATAGGGCTATGAAAATAGCATATATCAAAGTTAAGCAAATTGACCTTATCTAGCCTTTCCTAACTGACACTGACACATAAAGTGTACGTTTATTGGTTAAATGATGGTAAACTCAGAAAATATTCGTGTGTTGTCATGCATGTATGAAACGGCCTATAGCATGAGGTATTACCTAACACCTGTCCCGAGGTGATGACCTCACACCGGCCCGTGCATTCTCACAGGTGCAAATGTCACCCGACATCGGCTCACAGTGAACGTTTTGTCCGAGATTTTATGCGTACTTCACTTCACTTCGAACATGATGAACCACCAGTGAGTATAGACAGATCTCACAGATTACGCTCTAAATCCGGACAGAGACCAGTTATTGTGAAATTGAAAAGATAAATGCCAGGTTCTTGATGCTGCTCGGAAATATCTGAAAGGTAAAAAAAGACTTTGGGGTCAATTAAGATTTCACTGAGTGAGAAAGACACGTTCTCAATTGGTTCCTTTGATGATGAAGGCACGCGAGAAAAACAAGATATCTTATCTCAGCTATGACAAACTGATAATTGACGGCACTGTATATACGTGGGATGGGGAGGCTTCAGATATACAGCAGGTTTGGAACTGGGGTTCTAAATCAGCTGGAACATCTGAACCGAGGGACAGCACCCAGACAGAGGCCCCAATGTCTTACTTTCTAATAGTGTAAGTGTAAACAACACCATCAGTGTCGGCAGCTTCATCGCTACAGATGGCAATCCTCTACCAGTGAGTCCGCACACCGGAATAGACGATGTAATTCGTTTGTCAAATACAGCACACGGTGTCAGTTCTCCAAACACTTATAACAGGCATATTGTTATTGTTATAGACTACTACTACTACTACTACTACTACTACTACTACTACTACCACCACTACTACTACTACTACTACTACTACTACTAGAATATTGTGAATACTACTACTACAACTACTAGTAATAATAATACACAGTATAATGTAAGCACTGTTATTAATGTGTGTACATGGAACATTTATGGACTTGTGTCTAAAGAAGAGTCAGCTGACTTCATTTCATTCTGTGAAAATTTAGATATATCTATATTCTGTTTTATAGAAACCATGTGTATTGATCCCAAGACCGTTTTGAACAAACTATTATGTAACTTTGGTACCTTTGTTTGTAACCTAAAGCGGTTTTCCAGTCGAGGTAGATTGTCTGGAGGGTTAGCAGTATGTGTGAGAAAGACGTTGACACATCTTTTTGAAAGAGTTTACAGCCACTGGAATACTAACTTTTTTTCAGAATTAAGGATAAGTTGTCTCCATTTACCATTTTCTTGGTGTTTGTTTATATCCCCCCTGAACGCTCACCGATGTACAGTAACAGTGAAGAAAACGGCATTGATCACTTGGACCAACAACTGATGCACATTATGTATGACTATGGAGAAACATGTACATTTATCCTGTCTGGCGATTTTTACGTTAGAACCGGGTGTGAATTAGATTATTTTTTGGATGATGGTTTGAATACTTACCCCACTGATGAAGATTACAAGGCAGATTATGTTAGTTGTTTTAGAAATTCTCTTGATGCAAATGTTAATAATTCTGGTAGAAGTCTATTGGACTTCTGTAAGCTATTTGGTGTACATATTGTAAATGGGAGTTCTGTACTAGATAGTTCTGGTAACTTTACCTTCATCTCCCATACAGGTTGCAGTGTTGTAGATTATTTTATTGTATCTACTGTGTTTTTTCCAAATGTATTAGAAATGTCAGTTTCACCACACACAGAGTCTGATCACTTACCTATGTTATGCAGTTTCAAGGATATTGTTACTGGTGGAGTCTACAAGGAAAGCACTGCCTCTGTTAATTTATCCTATGTTCCTAAATATAAAGTATCTTCAGAAGTTTTCATCTTATGCTAAGTATCTCCGCGAAGATATGTGTAAAGTGATGTTTTAAGAATATATATTGTTGGTAGATCAAAATGTAAATGCTGCAGTATGTAAGCTCACAGATATCATACTGCACAGTGCAAATACAGGTTCAGGTAGACAAAGATATCAGCCTCAGTGGTTTGATAAGGAGTGCGAGTTTTAAAAGTCCGAGAAATAGAGACTTTTGAATAAATTTAGAAATAAGTTGTAAGTGTGATTCAAAAGTAAAGCAGTACATAACAGTTTGGGAAGACAGGGAAAAAGGCCATACAGAGAAGTCCACTGAGAAGTTATATATCTCCAAGTGACTGGCTGATTTACTTAAGAGATCTTCGTAATCCCTTACATGGAATTGATAATAATAAGTTTGATTGTGTTGTGGAGGAGTTTCTGCTCTCTCATACATGTGATAACTGTAATGATTTACCCTTTTCGGATGAACTCTTGTCAGGTGAGATCACTGAAAGAGAGGTCGCGGACGCTATCAATAATCTGAGTACGGACAAGTCCGCAGGTGAAGATGGGATATCCCCTGATTTCTTTAAACTACCATCGGATCTCTTTTCACCGTACTTGAAATTATTGTTCAATAAGATTTTAGACATGGGTGTTTTCCCAGAATCGTGGAATATAAGTATGATTTTTTCATTATATAAATCTTGGTCAGTTTTTGAACCAACTAATTATAGAGGCATTTCACTATTAAATGTTATGGGAAACATCTTCAAGTCAATCAAAGAAAAACGTTTGAGAATATGGATGGAAGTAAATGATTTACTGTCCGAGTCTCACGCAGGGTTCCGACCAAACTATTCTACTGTTGATAATTTGTTTGTTTTACAAGCTCTTTCATCTAAATATATCTGCAAAACCAGAGGTCGCTTTTATTGTGTATTTATTGACTTTAAAAAAGCTTTTGACTTTGTTAATAGGAAAAACATTGATGTATTTACTTATTACTAAGGGATGTCATAGTAAATGTCTGTACTTTTTAAAAACATGTATGCATCAGTCAGCGCATGTATTAAGGTCAATAATGAACGTACGGACTGCTGATTTACAACATCCTCCGGTGTACGACAAGGTTGTGTTTTAAGTCCGTTGTTGTTTATATTTTTTATATGAGATATTTGTAACCCAAGAAATAATGGACACTATGCTCCTTCTCTTTGCTGATGTTGTTGTAAATTTTCCTATTCTGTAAATGGCTTGCAAAAACAGATAAATGAGTCTTGAAGTAAATCTGAATAAAACCAATGTTGTAGTTTTTAGAAAAGGTGGTATTGTTGCAAAACATGACAAGTGCTTGGTTCGTCTGCCTTGAGTGTAGTCCCTTGCTATAAATATTTAAGTCTTATGTTTTCCTGTAGATTGTCATGGTCTATGGCATGTAAGCAATTAGCTGTTCAGGCGTCGAAAGCCATTATGCCGCTTTATGATTTATCCAGGAAAAATAGTTGTGTCTTTTTTCACAGAATGTACCATTTTTTAATGCAAAATTATGCCTATACTATTGTATGGTTCTGAAATATGGGGTGCAAAGTATTACGCTGCAATTGAAAAAGTTCACACTACATATTTTAAATGTTTTCTAGGTGTTGGTAAGTTTGCCACAAACAAGGTAATCCTTGGTGAAACAGGCCCTAGTAATATTTTTGTAGCCAGCCAATTAAGGGTAATTAAGTATTGGATTAAGTTACTTAGAATGATGCCTGATAGATACCCATATCAGTGTTACAAAATGTTAAAGGTACTTGAGGATAGTGGTAAAAATAATTGGGTTTCAGATGTGAGAAATCTATTATTTGTTATTATTTCATTTCATAAATGTAATGTAAATATATGTCGCAGGTCCAAAAACGGTGATATTGTGAACTCTATTTGTACAAACTGTACATCCGGAGAAGTAGAGGATAAATACCATGTCTTACTTATGTGTGAAACGTATTCCCATTTAAGGTATAAATTTCTCCATATGTTGCAATGTATTTTAAATGATAAATCTGCTGAAACTCTGAAAATCCTGGTATGATCCATGCTGTTTCCATATTCTTAAAACATGTCTTTATAAAGCGGAATGTGTAACTTGATTTAAAATCTAATCATGTTCATCAAGAGACAAATGTTAATATCCAATCTGCATTGTATCATGGGCCCTGATGCCTAAATTACTGAATAAACTGTCTGTCTGTCTGCCTGTCTGTCTGATATCTGGTTCAACAAGGCTGATATCTTGCAAAGACTGCGTTGATCCTCCCTTTGACAGGTGTGGGTTTGAATGTTGAGGTATGGCTTGCCACGAACCCTTCACAGTTAGCCAAGATACGCTCAAAAGGGTTGAGCTCACAATGTCTGACTGGCGTACGTAAGACAACGTGACCGTGTTGTGCCGCCAGCAAATATGTCTTGTACTTTACTGGTTTCTTATTCAGCTGAATTTTCTCCATGAGTTGGAGTTTCGTTTCAGATGGTCTGAAGTCGACAATGACATATATTCCTGTATGGTCGCCTTCAGACTACTCATGGTTGGCGCGACAGTATCTGATTCCCGGACGTTATATTAACTTGCGTTATCCATGACAATAACACTGAGTATATTTCAAATTTCCTCTCTGAACACATCACCATTCATCCCTTATGATAATCACCAGTTTCTTTTTCGCCTCGAAAACTAGCCATCTTTTTTGCCATCTGACAGTACCCACATGCCGTCACATGTAGTCGTCAAGGTAAATGATCTTGAAGCCCTGACTGCAATAATTATGAATGGTGCGGAGATAATGACCTCATGGACAGGATGGAATAATGTTTTCTTAAAAACTGCTCGGTCATCGCCACGCACAGTGTATCGTAATCCCAACTCGTGGAGAGCAATAGTTAATCGTGTCTTTAATTTTCTCCCGAATTGTACTACAAGTCGGGGCTACCTTCTGCTGATAAAGCTTGTACACAAAACGCCTAATCACCCTGTATCAAAACTATTTAATATCCTTCTCCGTTCCGGTTTTGTTTTTGAGACTACCCATATACATTTTTTGTTGTATCTATCATAGACTTGATGGTATGAATTGAAAACCCAAATAGCTTTGGCAGTTCGTTAATTCACCCTACATAAACTAATAAATGTTTTCCCACTATCCCTCTGAAGTTTAAAGAACTTGTATACATTTCCTGGTACAGACTCCATGTCGTGTACCATGGTTATGGCTACGCAAGTGTAATGTAACATGCATCATGGGAGCAGTGTTGAATGTTCTCCACATGATTTTTTGGTGTGGATTAGATGTTTATGAAGACTACATTACATTGTATTATGATTATAACGGAGTCACGTGCAAATATTTCTATAGTCCGTTTTAGACTGCCATCATTGGACTTTCGTTTTCGTTCAAACTTTCCTCCGGTAAACTTGAATTGTCGATAGGACTCCTTGTGACTGAAATACTTCAAACCACAGGTAGGTCAATCGGTAGTTACTCAGTAGGCAGAATTGTAAACATAGTATATTCATCATTTTAGTTTTGGTTAAACTTGTAAACTATCGCCGGTGAGCAATCAGATGATTTAAATCCGGAGTCCATGATGAATTAAAAGTACTGTAAGTCCCTATGGTCTCTATTATGGTGATCTAACTTCAGTTTCTCGCGATCTATAGCTCTTTTTTGTTGTATATTGTGTAGTTGACCAATAAGTTATTCTTTTAGATGTTCTCAACTAGTTTTTTATCGAATCTGTGATAATCTATTTATTATTCTATCGATGACAGGAGTTTGTTCAGTCTAAATAAATTCTTCACGATATGGCTGAAATATTTGACGACTACCTCACTGAAACGTTCTCATGGACGCCTGTAGACCCTTACACGACGATCAGAGCTGTCCAGATGAAACCTATCTATAGTTTACTCTCCTAGTCTTGTCTTCTGAAGCTCAGATGATGCCTACATCCAGCTAGGCATGCCTGACAGTGACGTGGAAGCCAAATCTTGTGTTTCGATTAACATTTAAATGTCTGGCAACTTCCTTTAGCACCATTCCTGTTTGCAGCATACCGTTTTTCAGCAAGCCGTGGCATTGCGTAAGCGTTATTTAATGGTTAAACAAAAGTATTTTATAATCACCTGATAGCTAAACAATCATTGTGTGCTGGACATCACGTGTATGACTACCATGCTCCCAACAAACGCACAAACATTCAAATTGTACAGCGTGCATTAACATGTATTCAAGGATAACCTAAATAGGTAACTACAGCTCTTGAACTTTATTTCACTCTTGAACGGACTCTGCAAAGGAACACATTCGCGCAAATAGCGTAAAAAATGAAACATCACATAATATACTCTTTAAAAAACGAAATGCAAAACGGATGTTTTGGCCATAAAACAAAATTAGCCGACCAAGAGGTGCAAAATGAAAAGGTTTAATGTGTTTTAGTGTCAGTGACAAATTTCCCGCATCAACATGATCACAACCAGGACATGCAAACTATTAGGGCCATGGAGCTGGACGTACTGCACGTGCAGCAGCACTATGAACGTTATCAATGTGCAGGGTTTTTGATTGCCTGGCATCTGCGTCAATCGAACAGTGGCAGTTCAACAACATGCCAAGATTTACAGAAGTGCAGAGAAACAACGTCATAGGCCGCTTGCAGGCAGGGGAATACAGATCATCTGTAGCCAGGGTTTTCAATGTAGCGCCAAGCACCATCAAAAGGCTATTGGATCGGTTTCAACAGCATTTGGTCAACACGTGATCGGCTAAGGTCGGGGCGACCAAGAGTAACCATCCCTGCCCAAGATCGCTACATCAGACTGCGCCACCTACGTGAAAGGACGACCACAGCAACCTCAACCGCATCCCAATTACCCGGACGGCGCAGAATCTCCGACCAGACTTTACGAAACCGTTTAGGAGCAGCAGGTCTACGAGCAAGACGTCAACAACGGCTGCATTGGTTTCGTCAACACAGGGTATGGCCTCAACTGCGATGGAGAGATGTCTGGTTCAGCAACGAATCAAGATTTCCCTTCCGTCGAGGGTATAGAAGAGCAAGGGTCTACAGACGTCGGGGAGAACGTTACGCCGGAAACTGCGTACAGGAAGTGGACAGGTTTGGTGGGGTAGAGTTATGATGTGGGCGGCTATCCCTCCTCATGGCAGGACAGGTTTGGTCCATATCCAAGGCAATCTTACGGCTCAACGATACATCAACGAAACTCTCCTACCACACGTCCTCCCAATTGCAGCTAACGGCAACGGTGTATTCAAGCAGGACACCGCTCGACCGCATACAGCACAGATCACAAGACCTTGTCTACACAACAACAACGTTGATGTTCTCCCCTAGCCCTAGTAGGTTCCTCGTATAAATGTATTTTCCTGTCTTACAGGTATTTGTTTTGTTGACATAGGTTATAATGTCACCATGAATGTCTTATATTCGGCGGGTCTCCCGTAGTCTTCGTTTGTTTCTTGTTAAACGCTGCACTCAGCAATATTCCAGTTATATGACGGCGGTCTTTATATAATCGAGTCTGGACCAGACAATCCAGTGATTGACATCATGCACATCGATCCACGCAATTGTGATATCATGACATGCATCAACCAAGTCAGCAAGCTTGACCACCCGATCTCGTTAGTCGCCTCTTCTGACAAGCAGAGTCACCATTTGTAGGAAAGCATGGGTTTGCTTAAGACCTATTCTACCCCAGGTCTTCACGGGTCCTGTACTATTCACAACATGTACCATGACATATTCCAAGTCATTTTTTTCTCATAAAACAACGGTAGGTCTTGTTGTCTAAAACAGAAGACACCAATTATATGATAAGTAATTTATATGTGACATATATCTTTATCCACGTCAAGATAAGCGTCAAAATAATCAATGCCTTTGCACTGTAGAGTGGACGCCTATCTGTCGCATGTGGCCTATAAACGTAATCTTGGTATTCAAAGATGTCTAATCAGCGTGCGCAGTAGATTCTACAGCTGACTTTTCACATAAATGACCTCGTATGACAAGTTTGTCACAGACATTGTGGAACAACTCTATTGTTAAGTATGTTGTATGTTGCTCTGGCAACCCTTCTCTTTGCAGGTAATGACACATTTGGCTTAATATAGTGCAGTATGTTTATGAACCCTGTGCATATCTTGCAAATTGCGTAACTGGTTTTTTTTCATTCACCACTGCTTCATATGAAATGTATATGTCATTTTCGAGCCATTGTTTTCCTCTTGTCAATGTATGCATATGTATGAGATCACAGAGTCAAATAATTGGGAATATTATACTATAACTGTGATACCATGTGTTTGTAGGTTCCAATGCTGCCCTCCAGTTTGCCTCCTACTACCAGGACCATATGGTTCTACAGAGAGGTCCTCAACAGGCTGTCATATGGGGACATGCCACAAACATAGGGGACACTGTCACAGTTGCCATTGCTGGTCACGGCTCCGTCACGGGTACGGTCACCAAAGATGCTGCAGGACATGGAACATGGAAGGTGAAGCTTCCGGCTATGACAGTCAAGGGTCCTTACACCGTGTCTGCCAAATCAAGTGAGGGGACAGTGACGATCAAGGATGTCCTTTTCGGGGATGTTTGGCTTTGTGGAGGACAAAGTAATATGGGTTTTCCAGCTGGACATGTAAGTTGAATCTATTATATAATGATTACAACTGCTTGGCGGTACAGAAATGAGTGACAACCAAGCGAAGTTCAATATCAAGTCGACTCAGTTTTTCAAGGAGAAAAATCTGAACGACCATTGCATCGAGTTTATGTGCAGTGTGTTGAGAAGATCAGCAATCCTGCAGAGTCCTTCGCTTGGATGAAGTCGTCTGGTCTGAAAAGTGAACAGAAGGTTTTCTGTTTGCTGCTTAGGACCAGTCACTTCTCACTCGAAACCGTCAATGTGGTATTTTGCATCAAAATATAAATATGAAATGTAGATTATGCAATGAATTTAATGAGACTGCCCAATACATTGTCAGTGGATGCCCAGCTTTGGCACAAACACAGTATCTTAAGCGACATGATGGTGTAGCTCGATCATTTTGTTACCGTCTTCGACATGCTTGTGCTTTTGAAACAGAGGTCCATCCATGGTACGACCCGCAATGTGTAGATGCGTCATGGAAAATGATAAATACAAAAGTCTTTGGAATAGGCCCGTTCACAGCCTTAGTATCCAGTGGAATCATTTATATAATTGAATATTCTGTCCCTTTTGACACTATTGCGATTGACAAGATTCAGGAAAAACATGGCAAATATGCGGACCTCGCTTTCGAAATGTCACACTTGCATCCCAAGTACCAAGTTGTCCGACTCCCCATTGTTCTCGGTGCGTTAGGTTTGGTACCTCCCAGTCTGTTGCCTGACATTGGGAGAGTACCCGGGTTTGCTACCAGGAATACAGCCCTTCTGACAATCTGGGTGATGCAGAAGCCTGCAGTGTTGGGAGTCTTCACATTCTCCGAAAAGTCCTGGCTTGGTTTGACTAGGCAGCGGTTCCTTGGAGAAGTCCCATTTGCTGTCTGGGCTGCGTGTAGTGGGGGCAAGGGCCCTGAGCTGATGATGAGGATCACGCAAACCATCTTTTCTGCATTTACTTTTAAGGGAGGGGATTTTTGGTACGTTTATTGCCGCTGATATGTTTTATGCGCAAAAGTAGGATGGTCACACTCACCTTCTACTAATTGACCAACCAACAATGTTTGAAGAGAATTTACTTGAGGTCGCCTACTCACCACAGTCCTCTTGGGTGGAGTGAGAGGGTCGGGCTTCGAGCTGCTTTGAATATCTTGACCATTAGTACCAATACGCAAGCTTCTCACATTTAACTTGCAGAAAGCCATTACTGTTTTCAGTGCGTACATAAGCAATTGAATGTCATCACTACAACACGGCAGTTTCTAAAACTGTATACTTATATTTTCGGGGGTGAGCAGACTAACGTATTGCACGAACATATCAAGAGTGTCCATGCTAAATACGTTTCCTCACAAGCACAAATGCATCGCTCCCTGACACTGATTTATGCGTCTTCAAAGTTCCTCTTCTATCCAATATAGGTACTAAATGCGACTGCTGAATTAGAAGCATCACTAAAGTATGTCGACATCAGGGTCATGCGAGTACGAGACGTTCAGTCGACATCGCCTCTCACAGAATTTCAAGCAAATGGAATATATACAAAGTGGACACAACCAACAAAAGGTATTCAACCAGTATTAATTCTTTGAAAGGATTCCACTATACTTCATCCACTGACAATAGGTTTGTTCCATCACAATCACATCATACATTTACTTATCAACCCTATTTTATTTGAATAACAATAGAATCAATTATCCTACACAGTCGCTATCAACTCATTCTCTGCTGTCTGCTGGTTCTTCGGCGAGTATCTATACCCCGAGAGAAAGTATCCTATTGGTTTGATCGAGTCACAGTGGGGAGGAACGCCTATCGAAGCCTGGTCTTCTCCAGATGCACTATCAGCTTGTTCTCATCATACAAAACGGTAACATTTACATATATTTCTTATAAACTGAACAACAAAAGTTCCTGTGACACTGAATAAGATTTAATGCAATGTTATGTTTTTTACCAAATCTGAAACAATTTAGGTTTGCAACAGATAGAAGACTCCTGTAAGTGCTCAAATAGTTTAACTTGCCATACTGACTTCAGAAAATGCGTGATTTCATAAAAAAACACACATGAATATGCCAAAATGTCAATTTACAAATCAATAGCGTGTGTGTCCACCTCTGGTTGCGATGCAAGCAATACATCTTCGTCTCATTGAATGGACCAGGCGTCGCACAAAGTCCTGTGGGATATCTGTCCTTATATGCTGGAGCATGTTTCGAAGTTCCTGGAGTGTCTGTGGAACACGTGGTTGACGTCGAAGGCGCCGTTCCATCTCATCCCACATGTGCTCGATTGGTGAGAGATCAGGGGAGCCAGCCGGCCAGGGGATGACATTCACGTTGTTTTGTTGAAGAGAATCGTGAACAATTCGAGCAATATGAGGCCGGTGTGACATTGAAAGTGGACCCGCGTTGAAAAGTGACCCGGGAGTCAGTATTCAACGTTGAAAATATACCCGGTCTCAGTCAACAGTTGTAAAGTGACCCTGTCAGCTAACCAAGTCGTTAAATAGTGACCCGGGCCTCGCGTTGAAAAATTACTCCGTTGTATTATGACTTGTGGTTTATTCTGCTTACCAGAAGACTTCGTTATCTTTGGCAACATGTCTAAATTGGTGCAAATATTAATCAGTGAGATCGGGGTGAGGGTTGGAGGTGACACATATTTAAACATGTGTTAACGTATACGTATACAAATTGCCATGTTTCCTGGCGTTAGAACTGTCCAAAAAGGTGTGTGCATGTACAGCTGTTTTGAGTGCCCAGTGACTATCTGTGCGTACGAAGGCACGTGTGTTATGTTTGTTTGATTTGGTTTTACGTGGCGGCTTTAGATAGTATTTCATCCATAACGCAAAGGTGGATACAATTAAATGGGGCACCAGTCTTCGGACTGAACGAAAGTGGCCCGGGCGGGTGCATGTGTGTTAGAGCAAGTATGTGGATGCAGGGTAGTATTTATAGAGACTTCGTCAAGAGGTCTAAACTACACGCAAGCGCGTGCGTGTTCATGAACACACATCTATCTGGGGCGGTCGGGTAGCCTAGTGGTTAAAGCGTTCGCTCGTCACGCCGAAGACCCGGGTTCGATTCCCGACATGGGTACAATGTGTGAAGCCCATTTCTGGTGTCCCCCGCCGTGATATTGCTGGAATATTGCTAAAAGCGGCGTAAAACCAAACTCACTCACTCACTCACTCACATCTATCTATCTATCTATCGAGAGAGAGAGAGTGAGAGGAAGAGAGAGAGAGAGAGAGAGAGAGAGAGAGAGACCGAACCTCTGTTCAAAAGAACTGGTGTTTCATCATTTTAAAGATTCTTCTTTCCTTGAAAAGTTCTAAATTGTTGGTCCTCCAAGTTACCTAAAACATCTGCATGTATATGTATACCTTTCTCCGGAATATATTTACTGAAAGTAAAAAAATTGAAGTTCTTCGATGCATTTGTCACATGAAATATTAAAACAATTTATTATGCTGTCAAGAACATATGTAGGCTCATCCGATTTCTTCGCGTCATCAGAAAATGTTCTCAGAAACATATATCCTCAGAATTCAAGTGTAGGAAGCGTATTAATGTCACGGTGGAAAATTTCTGCAAACATCTACGTTGATGATAATCCTAGTAAATGATACTTTCATATACAGATAATACTTTCATCTACTTAGGTTGTACTTTCATATACGTCTAGAAGCCGTAAATAGAAAGGAGTACACCGAAAACGTGCCCAACCTGAAACGTCCCCACGCATAAAATGTTCATTGTGGTCTTAGGAATAGCGTTCAATGATTATTTTTTCGAAGTGTTAACATGATGCTAAGTATATTTCAGTGCAATAATATATAAATGTTGTAATCTTCCGTCATTGTGATAAAATTATATTGATGCAAATATATATTGCGTTGGCACGCAAGTTGGTATATTTACATACAAACTTCAACCCCATAATATTTCAGATATGATATCCAACGTAACAAAGGAATAAACAATATTGTGAGAAGTTAGTATCAATAAGACACTAACATTAAAAGCACCATTCGCAATCGTCAGCGCCGATTTGATGCGTGGGGACGTTTTCGGTTGGGGACGTTTTCGGTCGAACTCAAAAGAAACCATTAATCTAAAGCATGGCAAAGGTCTCAAAGGACAAACTGCAAGTGTTACCAGCTAACAAAAGGGCGTCCCCCACAACGTTGCAAGAACGTTACTTTGTTTAAGCAAAGTGGCATCCAACGTTACCCTTAAACGTGACGCTGTCGTAATATTGCTGCAACGTATTAAAGCAGCCAATTAGTCTGCAACATACCACGAACGTTGCACAGACGTTGCATGGTTCTACAGGAACGTTCTCGTAACATTACTGGGAGTCGACATAGTAACCAAATAGTAACCTACGTATGCAACGTTGCCTGGACCCCCTGTTTTAACTGGGTTATTAGCATCTCTGTTGGAAGGATGGATCATATTATCATCATCGAATTAGGAATAACAACGGTTTATGCAAGGCGGGTGAAGCAAATCAGAAATGCATCGTTTTGCATTATAACCCCAGAAGTTTCTGATCACATATGTTACAATGACCACTACCATCATTTGCATCGTGAAACAAAACATGACAATGCTGTTACACTTTACACAATTCCTATAAAAGCCTGTTTTAAACGTGAAAAGTGGTGTGCACGATTAAATGAAAAGAAACAAAACCCGCACTATTTCAAAAACTGTATGTACAATGAATTTTGGAAGTTATCAAATGTTTTGAGCCTTAAACACTTGTAATAAGTAGAAAACGACGAGCATTCTCTACGTTATTAAGGGACTCTATACAATACAATGGAGAATACCCAAATACTAGTACATACATGTACCTGTTCTAGACAAGACAACGCACCAGTACACGCCAGCTGGGTTGAGATGGATGCTGTTCGAGAATGTGGGTTCAAATTGTAACCTGCAGATCTTGCCCCCCCCCCCCCCCCCCTGATTTCCACTTGTTCCCTAAATTGACAAAGCACCTGCGGGGTTGAACATTTGAGGACGAAAACAATTGATTGTTGGACTTCTTTATATCGGGCATTAATGATTGGAACACCAGATGGAACAAGTGTGTGAAATAGGAAGGGGACTATGTTGAAAAATAATTGTAACTTGAACCAGAATTTCAACTTTAAGTAAGTGAAGTTTTTGATATCCCCTCGTAAAAGCACTTTGTTTATTAATTAAATCTCAACAAAAATGAAGATTAAAAGGTAGCTGGACCTATACAGACACTGTACTTGAATACTCACGTTTTACTGTTGAAAGGTAATGCCTGGGCCATGACGACGCAAAAACGATAGAACAATAGGGCCGATGATCTCGTCGCGGTAGCGCTGTCCATTGAGATTTCCCTCTACCACTATCAAACGGGTCCTCTGTCTTGCTGTAATCCCACCCCATACCATAACGCTGCCGCCCCCGAACCGTCAGTGAATAGAACTTGTCCCCACTGCATGACCGTCCAGCGTAGACGCTGTATGCACCACTGTAGACTTGCTTGACGGGTGGTTTCCTGTCAAAATGGGACGTATGGTGGGTCTTCTGATGACAATCCCTGCACATGTGAGGCGACGACGTACGGTTTGTGAAGATATTCGTCGAAGGGCAGGGATGCTTCTTGCAGTCATTGTTGCTGACTGGCATCGATTTCGTAGGTGTGTTGTTCGAATCCAGTTTTCTTGTCGATAATTGGTTACGCGTGGCCTGCCACTCTAAGGATGGTCTCTGACTGCTTTCGTCTGTTGCCAACGTTGCCATAAACACCAAATGGTGTTTCTGTGGACGTTAAATTGTCTTGCAACATCACGTTGACTCGATCCTGCTTCAAGCATACCAATGGCTCGCAGACGCTCATTTTCGGACAGGCGTGCGTTTTTTGCATGGAATGCATGCTTTTCTGTAGCAGTTGCGTTTTTGTGACTTGATTCCATACATGTACTACAATATTAAAAACCAAACTTTACTTGTTTGAAAAATACACCAATATGTTGGTGTCACGGGAACTTTTGTTGTTGAGTATATGTTTATTATTCATTTTACTTATTTTAGCTGGGTTTACTCACCCATGTTTAAATCATTAGAATGTGCACATGTGTTTACAGAATGCAATGTGAACACATGGACGTTCAAAAGAAACACATTTTCAATTCGTTTACAGAGGCCCACATGCAGCCTCTGTTCTCTGGAATCCAATGATCAACCCTCTCCTTGACGTTACCATATATGGAGCCATCTGGTACCAAGGTATACACATCTTACAAGCATTTGAATATTATATAGCATAATATTCATTTATCTTTGATGAACCAATATAAATGTTGTATGTGTTTATTGACTTTCCTACTATCTGGTTTGTTGGATGTGGCGAAATCAAAGACGATGTTGTCCTTGTTGAGCAATGCAGTGGCAAAGTAATTACAACGGTACACAAAGCACTGGGATCTACTAATGCATGGCCATATTGATACATTGTGAAAAATGTTCTTCTCTAACCAAGTTAATATACTACGGGGTCGATGCCGTTCAAATATCAACAGAGATGTTAGTAGCTGTAGTCCAATTATCTGTGTGACAACTGCAGTCTAACACGAACTTTATGGCAATTTCCAAGGGGTACAATGCTTTCTTTTCGGGGAAACAGGTCCTTGACGATGGCCCTAAATCTCTTCAGTCTAAATAATATGAGTATTGAGCAGAGTGAGTCTCACAGTGAATTGCTTTGGCAACGATAACAATTCGGGGCCACACCATCATCTAACAGATGGCTCAACAGAATGATGATGCCGCGACATATTTTGTTTCTCAATTAATGTTACGTGTTATTCCCATATTCTTTTTGCAGACCCATAGTTGACACATCTTATCAGTTGTATGTGATTACGTCCCAACATGTACATGTAAATATCATTAACATAACATTAATGCATCGGGTGCAAAATGTCCGTTACATGTTGAAATTACGCTGGCCAGGCTGACGCTGGTTCGTACATTCTGTTCCAGGTGAAGCTAATGCCGGCAACGCTGACAAGTATTCATGCCAGTTCAAGGCAATGATCAACGACTGGCGACAGAAGTTCCATAAGGCCTCAATGGGAGAAACAAGCGCTACCTTCCCATTTGGGTTCGTCCAGGTGCGTCAGTGTTTGTATCGACATCAGAGATTTTTGGATAGGTGTATGCAGAAGAAACTGAAATTCTGAAGATGCCAATCACATTCTGTGAATGTAATTTGTTTACTGAGTGGAATTGTTGATTTTTAGCTGGCTGGTAATCATCACAGTACTACATCTGTCGGAGGTTTCCCTGGACTAAGATGGGCCCAGACGGCTAACCACGGCACCGTTCCTAATCAGGATTTGCAGAACGTCTTCATGGCGGTTGCTATGGATCTTCCAGACTACCATTCGCCATACGGAACGTGCGTAACAGCTTGGTATCTGCTTTCGGTGGTATATGACGATGGTAGAAAATAATGGGCAGAAGATAAAAATTAGTTTTATAATTCTGTTAATGTAGAAATATTTTGATGGCCAGTATCGTTCGCTCTTACCTTCTATGTTACCTGAAAGTCAGTAATTGGAGTATGTGTTGCAATCTGATTGGTTCAGAAAGGTTTATAAAAAAGATTTGAAATCCTGTAAATCTTTCGAAATTTTCACTGCGTAGTCAGAAGTAGTTAATCAACTACTAAACTAACAAATCTGATGACACATAATGTTTATATCCTTAACTGAACTTTTGGTTGATTGTTTGTCCTCGAGACCCAATGCGACAAAATTGTCATTTTAAAGTATATGCTGTATGTGTTGTACTCTTGAGTGGATCAATATCGACCTTTAAGTTCTATTCAACATCAGCATCCATCCCCGGTACAAGCAAGATGTTGCTAGAAGACTGGTCCAGGCCGCACGAGGGGTGGCTTACAAGGACGCCGGAGTAATGTACCAGGGTCCGTTTCCTAAGACTGTAGCAGACAATAGAGAACGTCACACAATGAGCGTCATGTACAACTATGGTCCCATAATGGTCAACTCGAACAATGGATTTGAGGTAGGCTGCCCAATTTAAATCAATGTTGCATAACACTGTTTGGCATAAACGTGGATTTGAAGGTTACACTTATTACATCATTCTTCGTCAAATCCATACACACCAAGACCAGATGTAATTATTCGTCATAAATTAGAAGTGTTGAAGCTACTACGTGAAGTATTGCTCCGACCGTCAGACCGACCAAACTTGGTAAATAACAACTACTTTTCCTGTTCTAGATGCTACTTTCATTTCGCAGGCTATCAGATAAAGTTTATGAATTTGTAGGTATGTTGCTCAACTGCTGCAAAGTGTGGTACTCACGATGCTTGGGTTGCGGCACCGATCCATTCCCACCAAGCCAATGAAGTAGTCCTCTCTACCACAGCATGTACTCACAATGTAGTTGGTTTGCGATACGCCTGGAGAGAGAGCCCTTGTGACTACAAGAAGTGCGCCATATATGGGAAGGATACGTCACTTCCGGCTCCCCCATTCATTCATACAGAGAATTTCGGAGCTGGGATTATAATTGGTTAATAAATCTGATAATGATTGAAACTTGCTTTTGTTCATAAATGTGTTCTGGCCAAATCGGGATAGGTTTAGTACGGAATAGTTAATGTTTTCTTCTACTAAATACTGTGTTGCCATGTCAGGAGGGACCTCTCTTTGTGACTTGACGATGGTTGAGATACATTTGCTTTTAATGTTGTGATCTACATGTGGCTTCAGAGATACAGTTGATTTTAACTGTGTGTTCTATACGAAACTATCATAGGTATTGAAACCGTCACTTCAGATACACACACCATATGCGCTCAAAACGTTATAGTGAGTGAATTGGGTCTTAACGCCGATGTGAACAGTATTACAGTAATATCACGGCGTGTCAGCTTTATGTAGGAGGTAAGCCCGAAGTGATGTAGGTCTTTGGTGAAACGCCCGAGCACAGGTATGTTCCTGACAAACCAAGAAACATACCAGTGATTGATATCATGAGCATCGATCCACGCAATTGGGATCGATGGCATGCATCAACCAAATCAGCGAGCCTGACCACCCGATCCCGTAAGTCGCCTCTTACGACAAACATAGTCGCCTTTTACCGCAAGCATGGGTTGCTGAAGACCTATTCTATCCTGCTACGAAGTTGGAGGGGTCAAAGGAATATGTGCTGTTTGCCTTTCCATTCCGATGTCATGTAGATGATAAATGTGAAACTATTAGACCATTTTGGTACATGTTTGGTATGTTTTCTAATCATGCAACCTCTAAAGTTTAACACAATGTATGACTGATTCAAAACACTTTTTAAAGCATAGTCTGGAATGAAAGTCGCCAATTTGAAACTAGTGCCACAATGCTTAAGAAAGCTGCTTTCTTAGTGGCTAATGTTGACTTCCTGTTAGTAATTTCATTGGTCGGTCAAAGTTCGCGAAAGGTCGTTCTGACGTGACCTGTAATGGGATGTCCTCAGCGGTAGCGAGAACTTGTATCCGATTTTATGAGATTTAGGTAAACTAAGCATGTGATTTATCCTGTTTTGTTTATTTAAAGCAGTAATTGTTTATTGTTAAGCAAGTTTATCTCTGCAGCCGTTGAAATATGCAGCGTCTCGACGACTCGTCTCGCATCAAAACACGGGGCTGTGTACTCGCGGGCAGATGACCACGGAGTACGCTGATCACTGTGTCGGATTAATGAGACTGATTAATGAGTGATTTCGGTAATTCATTGCAAATTAGGTATGTACTAAAAGAGGACTCCGCAAGAAAGTTCTTGACTTCAAGAAACTTCAGGTACTTGACTTCAAACAATAACAAAGCGATCACCCAGATCACCAGAAATAGTACCTTAGCCAACACCTTTATCACAGTAAAACCAGAAGTAACTTAGTGTAAGTTCAAAACTGTCCCATAATTAGCTACTGGCGAAAGAAAAGTTTCAACCTAACCATCCAGTAACAGAACGACCCGTAAAAGGTCTAGAGATTGCTGGCGATGATGGTTACTCTTGATTTCTTAAAGGACACGCGCGGACCTCTTGAGACTACACCCACCACCAGCTAGCAGGGAAAAGTGTATAGCCGAGTGCCCCAACACAATTGTGCTTTCTAAAGTTGGGAAAACACGAATAGCAAACTAACTATAAAATCAGTGAGTGAGTTCGGTTTAACGCCGCTTTAACACTATTCCAGTTATATCGCGGCGTGTCAGCCCACGGTGAAACCCACGAGCACGGGTATGGTGCTGACAAACCTAGAAACATACTCGGGGCGAACCGGGATTCGAATCCACAATCATAGGTTTCTGGCGTGCCCAAGGGACGCATCTCTGCACAGCGAATTGCGGCGCCTTACACGACTGCCCCACTTCAAACGTAATGTGTAAAACACAACTTTCGTACCCGTATCAAATACATCACCACAATACATCACCACCATTGCTGAGTGCGGCGTTAAACAACGGACAGACATCACCACCGAAAAAACATTTCTTGTTTGTTTCATTTTTATCAAACGTCAAACATTGGTGTATACTTTCTTTTGCCCAGCAGTTTAATTGAATATATAGAATAATAGCCAAATTACAATTCTATAATGTATACGTCATAATGATCTTCGACCTAACACCTGAACGTATTAAGTCTGTTTGTTGTTTTACGCCGCACTCAGCATTGTTCCATCTTTATGAAGGCGGTCTGTAAATAATCGAGTCTGGACCTGACAATCTAGTGATTGATATCATGAGCATCGATCTACGCATTTGGGATACGATGACATACGATGACATGCATCAACCAAGTTAGCAACCCTGCCTCTCACGACAAGCGTAGTTGCCTGTAATGGCAAGCATGGGGTGCTCAAGACCTATTCTAACCCAGATCTTCACGGGTCCCGAAAAGTAATAAGTAGACTGGTACAGTCAATATTCTATGTCTGACATATCCTTTCGGTTACTTTATGTAACACGTTTTGTGTAATTTAAAATCAAAGTTTGTGTTCCTTGAATGATGATGATAGATTATGATGCCAGAATGATTGTTTTTGTAATCGAGAATAGGTAAAACAGCTTGTTACTCCGATCACGTTTTGAATCATGAAGTATTATATTTTCATAATAGTTGCCCCTTTTCTTGATAATATTATAATTACATTTATTTTCAATACACAGTAAATCGGGATTTGTTTCTATTACTGAATATTAATTTCACATTTTTAATCAGTATTTTGATTATCTCTCTTTTTAAATGGTGAGGTGAGGTGAAATGGGGTTTAACGTCGCGTCCAAGATTATTGCACTTATATAGCGACGTGCATGCATGTTTGTGTGTGTGTGTGTGGCTGCTTGTACTAGTCCGGACTGATGCCGATGTATAGTGCTAACCCACTGAGATACCATGCCGCAGTTTAACATGAATATCCCACTCAGACACAGTATACTGACTCCGAGCCGACCAGTCCTTGTTTTAGCCCCTTTAGCGCCAGACAGGGTAACAAGAAGTACCATCTTTTAACGTCTTTTGGTATGACGCGGCCGGGGATCGAACCCCGGACCTTCTGCTCTCCGGACGGACGCTCTACCACTAGACCACGAAGGCGGTCTCTTTTTAAGTGAATGACCAAGTATTAGTACTAGTGATACTATGTCGACATTTCTTAAATTGTATCATTCAAAGAGCTTCTCAACGTTCCCGCGATCGATACACACATGAATATGTACGTAAATTAAGCAACATTAGCTGTGTATTATATCTCCATTCTATCATAATATATACCCCGCACTGGTCACAAGCAACACGAATACCTTATCACGGTGACTCGGCAGTAGGCCTACAAACGGGCGGGGCAGCTATAACTGCAATCCCTACAATAACGATGTTAGGCAAGGTGTTTAGTGTGTTGTAAGTGATCCAATATAGCAGGTGGTCAAACAATCAGGCTCGTGTCACGTTTGAAGCAACTTGGCCCGGCCTATAAATTAACGTAAAACTTTACACAAAGAAAAGTAAACTCTTTCTGGACTGCATGATTTCGGGATGAGACGAATGACTCCCGTATAGAACACATACACAAGAATGTGCGTGTATATATTTGCCCCCAGGAGAAGCATTTCTAACGCAAAGCGCCCAAAATGAAACCGCACGCGCAGGGCGCATGTCAAACGGCTTTCTCTAATGGGCGACACTATTCCGCATAAAACAATCACTACTTTTTCATTTGTTGCAGAATATGAATCGCTTTTTAACAAAATCCAGGTTCTTCGATTAAAAATACATATGAAAACGCATAATGCATTCTGACCATGATAATCCCAGGCTTGTCGCCTCGCCATGTTGCTGACGATATTTGAAACGGTCATGAAACGACGAATACTCAGATCACTGAATGGTCCTAATACCAGAAAACGCTAAAGCCCTTCGGGAGTAACATTCTTTTTTTTGTCAAGGGACCAAATTCCAAACAGGCGGACGCAACAAATAGTTCAGATCGACAGAAGTGAGGTTTCGCTTCCGGAACACACTTAGGCGCCTGTGGGCGGTGGGGTAGCCTAGTGGTTAAAGCGTTCGCTCGTCACGCCGAAGACCTGGGTTCGATTCCCCACATGGGTATGGTGTGAAGCCCATTTCTGGTGTACCCTGCAGTGATATTGCTGGAATATTGCTAAAAGCGACGTTAAACCATACGCACTCACTCACTTAGGCCTCTGTGTGTCAATCGGAACATATGGAGATGACTTAGACAAAGGCTCAGTCTATGAAAATATGGAATTTTGATAGAAACAAGCAACTCCATATAAATTGAAAAGGAGCTCCCTTGAGCTGGGAGATCATGAACCTGTGGAAAATCTAGACTTGCTATATTTATGGCTATAGCATTACAGTAATAGCAGATGGGAAAATTATAATATGGGATTGTGAGACAGACTAGTATATGTGTATCGGAAAGAATAGCCCTGTCGTTTCAAGGGGTCGTCATTCCCTATGGCAAATTAATAACGCCACGTACAATCTACCACACGCGGCATCACAATAGAATAAACAAAACAAGCACTTCGTTGAAGCGACAGCCCTGACGCTTATGGGCGTGGATTTCACTTACGTAATATTTGTGAATGTAGGCTGACTGGATACCACTCGTTGAGTCGGGTAGTGTGTCGGTTATTTTTACCCCCCACCGACAGTCAGCTTTTCCATCTGACTCACATCAAGAGACGACCATGGCGTACGTACACGCCCTGCTGGCTCTGCTGCTGACGGCCTCATCATGTAAGTGTTGTCAGCTACCCTCCAAGGGTGATTTATTTAATTCTAATGACAGCTGAACAAGGGTGATACTTCTATGCACATACAATGCGACGTTTCGGTGTAGATACTAACAACGTTATCAATGCAAGAAATGTGAAGGTTACATGCATGTGGATCATTGATGTTAATACAAGGTTGTATGATGATAGATGGATGTTTACACAACAGATAAGATTGAAGTACATGTATAAAGCCTGATGATAACAGTGAGTGAGTTTGATTTTACGCCGCTTATAGCAATATTCCAGCAACATCACGGCGGGGGACACCAGAAATGGGCTTCACTCATTGTACCTATGTGGGGAATCGAACCCGGGTCTTCGGCGTGAGCGAACGCTTTAACCACTTGGCTACCCAACAACCCCCTGATGATAATAATGAGAGGGAGTTTTCATCGCTTTTGGAATGCGGCTTGACCTGAAAAGGCTTCTGCTCTCATTTTCTGTGGAAAGACCTTGTTTGTCAATATCAGTATGAATGGTGGGTCATCGCATTGTCGTCAAAAACATGGTTCAGGATGTAAAACAAGAAACGAAATTGTTCATATTGTTTTAAAAATACAAGTGTTGACTTAATATTGTGGAGAAAATATTTAATTATAAATTTAAACTGACAAACTAAGCGTTTGATGGACGTATCAAAAGATGTCTTGTAATATGCCACACGCTAGTACGCTATGACAATGTTAAAACATGCAGACACCCGTCAAATATAACGAATATTGTAAGATCGGATGGAAAAGACCACATGTGAACAGAATTGTGAACAGAATTCGTCAATCACAATCAACATACACGTGTAGTGAAGGATGTCAGGGGATTGTTGAATAGGTTGTAATAAAAATGCCATGTCATGATTCACAAAGAAGAGCTATGCACATATTCATATGCACCCTTCTGTCATGAACGGGGTCGTCCCCGTTTGTTTGAAATGCCGACAGTTAGTCCGCATGTTGTGATGGCCCCGTTTTCTCGAAACAAACTTAAGTTGATTCATTTATTATGCCCTGCTACGATTTGGTTGGTTGGTCTGTTGTTTTACGCCGCACTCAGCAATATTCCAGCTATATGACGGAGGTCTGTAAATAATCGAGCGTGGATCAAACAATCCAGTGATTGACATCATGAGCATCGGTCCACACAATTGGGACCGATGACAGTAAGTGAGTGAGTGATTGCATGGATGAGTTGGGTTTAACGCCGATATTGTATATAGGTATAAGGTGGTCGATTTTGTTGGTTTGTTTGTTGTTTAACGCCACACTCAGCAATATTCCAACTCTATGACAGCGGTCAGTAAATTATCGAGTCTGGACCAGACAATCACGTGATTGATATCATGAGCATCGATCCACGCAATTGGGATACGATGACATGCATCAACCAAGTCAGCAAATCTGACCACCCGATCCCGTTAGTCGCCTCTTGCGACAAGCATTGGTTGCTGAAGACAAGGTGGAAATGCTCACTTATAACGAACTTCATATTAACATAACTCATGCATGAAGGATTCGAACACGATACCGAGACCGGGAGAAAATCAGTTAGCCAAGAGTTAATGATTTGGGATTAATCAATGTTATAAAGGCGTTTCAGCTTGATGTAGTAGAAAGCTCGAAGTGATGCAGGTCTCAGACATGTAGCGCTTCAGAGAAACCCACGAGCACAGGTGTGGTGCTGACAAACCAAGAAGACCCGTGAAGATTCCGGGGTAGAATAGGTCTTCAGCAACCCATGCTTGCCGCAAAAAAGGTGACTATGCTTGTCGAAAAGGCGACTAACGGGATCGGGTGGTCAGGCTCGCTGACTTGGTTGATACATGTCATCAATCCCAATTGCGTGGATCGATGCTCATGATATCAATCACTAGATTGTCTGGTCCAGACTCGATTATTTACAGACCGCCGTCATATAGCTGGAATATTGCTGAGTGCGGCGTTAAACAACAAACCAACCAACCAACCAAGAAACAATCAGGCGGCGAACTGCAGCTCCTGAGACGGCCTGGCCAGCTTTGCCCAAGTTCCCCTGGACGAAATATTGAAGTGGCGTGGCATGGGGTTTACCGTCGCGTTCAAGATTATTGCACTTTTCTACGTAAGCTGTGCACAAATATTCTTCTGCACGCATACGTTGGTATTCATCGAGGATGTTACGATAGGTTAAAATCTGTATCGAAATGCCCTTTGCGCCGTGTGCTACTCAATTACGTACGTTTAAAGGGTAAACAGTCTCATAAGAGTTCAGTCCAACCTAATTCGTTACGTGATAAGTTCTTATATAACAACAACTAACCTAAAAGTCCACAAGCATTGCGAAATACCCGCGCATGACTCACCGTGACTCGGACGTTTTGCGTTTGCTCTGTCACGAGCTCGGCTATATTGACATATTTTAGAAATAGCATGCACCAAGATCACTGTGCATCAGGTGATTCTGTTTACATAACTTGTCAGTTTAATCAGTAACCAACAATTTGACATAATTCTGAGAAAAGTATTATGTTCATTCGTTCGGTGCATTTTAGATTTAGGGCAAACCACGTTTAGCATTTAATTAGATGGTGAACAGATTATTCATTTTGCACCAGTAAGGCAGGCATTTGAATATCGATAAAAAGGTAACACAGATTTATAATTTTTTTATCCCGCAAATACTTTCATATTGTTGATACCACGAGAAGAGAACGGTTGTGTTGGCGTTGTTGACGCTGTTATTTCTTTCGATTGCTGGAATAAAAACCCAATTGTCCCCGAGTGATGGGTTTGAGGGAGACTTACACTCAGCCAAAGTAATGTGGACCAATGATATTTGCTCTTGCAATCCGATCCCTGTGCACGTTCATGGGAATTCTGTATTTGCTCGTCGACAAATTGGAGACGCATGTTTGTTTAAGCAGTAAACTGACACTGAGCCCTTGTAATTATGTAAACATACATGTCCTAGGTAAATATATATATATTTCACGAAATGTCTAATACACCGTTCACATGCAAAACATTTACTCACGTTATTAATTTTGCACTTATGTAACTATACATACGTGTCTGTAAGTAAATGTACTATGCGTTCACATGAAAATTAACTAAGGTGTATGATAAAGTATGTAAATGGTGTAAGGTACACATTAGTCTGGTCACGACTTTCAACTTGTATATAGGTTGTTTTCCAATCAAAGTCGAGTGAGAAGAGAGTCACAATACAAAAAATCTTCGCATGAGGCAACATATGTTTGATTTAATCTGTCAACAACTTTTTTCCTCCCCGAAACCCAACGAAAACACTGTCCTGCCGGCTCTGGATGACTTAAAGTTGGTATTGCTGTAAACTATGGTGGCCGAGAGGGGACATCGCTTTCTCGCCGTCAGTTACGGCCTCGAAAAAGCGATAACACGAGACGAGAAAGCGATATGTCTGGTCTCGTGTTATCGCTTTCTCGCGGTAAAGCAATATCCTCTCTTGACCACTTTGGGGGTCGCATGCAGTTAAAGACCCGCGAAGATCATGGGTAGAATAGGTCTTCAGAAACCCACACTTGCCGTAAAAGGCGACTATGCCTGTCGTAAGAAGCGACTAACGGGATTGGGTGGTCAGGCTCGCTGACTTGGTTGATGCATGTCATCGTATCCCAATTGCGTAGATCGATGCTCATGATGTCAATCACTGAATTGTCTAGTCCAGACACGATTATTTACAGACCGCCGTCATATAGCTGGAATGTTGGTGAGTGCGGCAACAAACAAACAAACAAACAAACAGCATGCAGTTATAATACAATGGCCAATATCTAGTCTTTGGACAGGTTTATCACTTCTAATATTCTTCGCCCTGCAGATGTTAACGCCCAGAATGCCTGCAGCGTACGGCTTGACGCGGCGTGTGTGGCGGCCGTGAGGTCCCTCTACACCAACACCTCGGCCTTCTGGTTTGGGACGAGGTACGCGACGGACTGCCCACCTGGCTCGGGGAGCCCTGTGTGTACGAATAACTCACCATCCCGAACCTCCCTCCTCACTCGACTGATGGGGGACGGTGCCACCGACTCCAGGGGGCTAGCCTTCGTCCTCAACGTCACGTACCCCATTACTCTTCCAGGTAAGCGGCACCTTCACTACGGCTTTTTCCCTTTAAGTTTACGAATTCAGGTAGAAGCACATTTAATTTGGCAGATTCGAATCACATATGTTAAGAAAATTATTGGTTTATACAAGTTTTGTTTTGTTTTGTTTGTTTGTTGTTTAACGTCGCACTGAGCAATATTCCATCTATATGACGGCGGTCTATAAATAATCGAGTCTGGGCCAGACAATCCAGTGATTTACATCAAGCGCATCGATCTACGCAATCGGGATCGGACCCGTGAAGATCCGGGGTAGAATAGGTCTTCAGCAACCAATGCTTGCCGTAAAAGGCGACTATGCTTGTCATAAAAGGCGACTAACGGGATCGGGTGGTCAGCCTCGCTGACTTGGTTGAAGCATGTCACTTTACGATATCCAGGATGAAATCCGTCTCCGTTTGATTCTCACTTTTTCTTTACCTTAGACAAAGGGAGGTAACTATAATATGATGGTTCTTAGCAGCGAACGCTAAAATGTGTGAGCCAGAGTACGACAGTTTGTGTTCTCGTAGGTATATGATTGCAGGTGCTAACAGGGGGCGCAGGCCTATAATTAGGGTTTACGTCAATAATCTGCACGAAAAATAATGTTAGATCAACAACACACTGCCCTTCACACATAGTCTATGTCGTATATTTTATTTTCAGCTGATGGATCTGACCGTGAGTACATCCCTCCTGGCCTCCTCCAATACATACTTATACATTCACATATGGGACCCCCTTTTACTGATTATTAGCTAATTAACAAATTTGATTTTAATATAATTTAAGAAAATGAATTTTTAAATGTAATCAGCATAATTTTGTAATATCTTAACCTGTAATTATTACATTAAAAACGAATACAAATCAGAAGTATTTTTTAAATTAAAACATCGTTGTATGTATTTACTGGGGTGTCATTCGGTCATAAGTGTCTTTGTTAAACAACAGGAATATACAACGGCTGTGGGAGGATAGTGTACGCGCCTTTGACCAGACCACAAAATTTCGTCGTCGACCCCCTCGCCAACACCGTCTATCCCCCTTACGACCTGCGCGAGGAACCGGAAGTGACGTGGCCAGCGGAGGAAAACGCCCTCTACACTGTTATTATGTTTGACCCTGCCCCGTTCTACGTGCATGCATTATACGTCAATGTCGCCGGCGGCAGACTACAGAATGGAGACGTGGGTGACGTTTTCTCTATTCAATACAAACTGCCGGAATTTCAGGCAAACGAAAGTACATGTATAACCTTTAAAATTAGACATGATCCCAAAATTACAAACCTTATCAAAACGTTACTGGGCTGAAACAGTCGCCGAAAAGCTGCCAACTTTAGCCCCAAAACAAAAGCATGATTACATATCAAATACATCACCATCGAATAGCCGTTTCTTTTTTGTTTCTAATTTAGCTACCATTAAACATGGGTGTAAACTTTCCTTTCCCCTGCAGTTTATATACTTAATTGACACTTAACACGAGATTTCGCCCGAAACATAACGTGCAGTTTGATTTCCACACTTTTTAATTATTTCTTCCTTTCATAAAGCCCAAGTCACTCTGAGGTGATACAGGTGACCCATTCATCAAAAGAATTTGCTTGCAAAGTCGCGTCCTAGTATCCGTTGATCCATGGATTTAATCCCAGCTAGATTAATATATCGCATGGCTTGCCAGCTCCATACCCTTCCCGTAGGTTTCATCAAAGTTGTAAAATATCTCTATAAACTATATCTACAGAGAAGTGTTGGTAGTTCTATCACGTGAAACGCCCGGGAGGAAAACTAACTACGTTGGGATGTGATGACACGCAATCAACCCGTCATGAAGCCGAACCTCCTGATCCAATTAAAATCTCCTCTTATAATCATAGGTGGACTGACATTAAGTCCCAGAAATAAAGTTATCTTATTTAAAAAAATATATCTACAAAATAAAACAATAAAAATCCAAAATGGAGCCCAGAACAATCCTTAAAGGAATCTAGACTTGCCACATCATTCTAGACTTGAATTGGACTCCTTTTTAAAGTTCTCTCAAGGGTCTGGGAGACCGACTAAAGCATAGGTTGTGGGGGTTCTATTGTAACCCGCACGGGATACATCCGGATGGATAGTGTTGCAGCGTTACACTGATCGCGCTACACAGAGATCGGCAGCCTCACGTGTTTCCGTATCATGAAATACGTGTATCTCCATAGTAAGGAATTCGGCGCCAAACAGGAAATTAAAAAAAAGAAGAAAACAACTTAAATTTAAATCATTTAAACTAATTGAAGCAAAAATATTATCCAGTGTTTCATATATTCATACTCTGATAAGTACAGCCTTAAGCCATTCACTCCCATAGCTACGTGTGTCACCAGATCAATCACCCTTATCACTAACTTAGCCGAGAATTTCATTAGCTGATTTGATTGATGCATGCCATCGATCCCAATTGCGTGGATCGATGCTCATGAAGTCCACCACTCGATTATTTACAGACCGCCGTCATATAGATGGAATGTTGCTGAGTGCGGCGTTAAACAAACAAACAAACAAACAACAAACATTAGCTCATTAGCTAGATAAAAACAACCAATCACTTACATCGCGGATGGGAAGTCCTGTCGTATTTGAAACGGCATGCAAACGTCGAGTATAATTTGATTGGATGTCTATATTTGGCGTGGAATCGTATTGAAAACAAAGATGTTGGCAAATGGGCTCACCCAGGTTGGATGCTTTCATACCTCTGTGAATGTTTCGCCCAGACCAGTTCGCACCCAGGGACGATTCCAAACATGGTTAAGGTCTTGACGCCAACTTGAAAAATAAATATGGCTATATCTCTTTACGCCCCGTTACCTGCAGTGCTAGTTACTTGCAAAAACCGAAAGTTGAAACTTATAGTCCGGTTTTGTTTTCAATCAGTAATAAGCTTAACATATTTATCAGGACAATTCACAAACGAAAGAAAGCAAACGGAAGGTGCTGCTCTCTTCCAGACACCAGGGGAAATCCAGGGCAGAATAAGTCATCCCTTCCTTGTCTATTGAGGCTACACATGAGTACAAGGAAGATATCTATATGTGACCTAGAAAAATATCTCTTCGTGCCCTATAGCCTTGATCCTTGCTAATGCTATCCACCACTTGTATAGATGACAGCGTACGACCTAAACCAATACTCACTCTAACAACTCCAGACCCGTGAAGATCCAGGGTAGAATAGGTCTTCAACAACCCATGCTTGCCGTAAAAGGCGACTTTGTTTGCCGTAAGAGGCGACGAACGGGATCGGGTGATCAGGCACGCTGACGTGGTTGATGCATGTCATCGTATCCCAATTGCGTGTATCTATGCTCATGATGTCAATCACTGGATTGTCTGGTCCAGGCTCGATTATTTACAGACTGCCGTCATGTAGCTGGAATATTACTGAGTGCGGCGTTAAACAACAAACAACCTAACAACTCCAATTTTTTCAAAAGGTGTTGTCGCTATGATCAAGATACTAAAAACCTCTTACTGGTAGTGAAGGTAGTCATCAAGCGTTCATTCCACGCGCTGCTTAATCCCCAAAAGAACATGACATCATCGTGCTATTTTAACGTCACTTGATTTTTCTCATCTACACATGTTATAATAACCAAAACGTATTTGAAGAAAAACCTGAATACGTCACAGTGGAATCCCCTTTTGGAATTCCACTGTGACGTATTTACGTCACGTGTTACTTTAGGTCTTGAGCCTTGGGTATCGTTCAATGACTACCTTTAATAGTAACCTATGGGTACTTCGTTCCAGACGATATTACCCTACTCTGGTCCTGGAAACCCCGTGGATCGGGACAACCCGTACGTCTGGCTCGTGTTTAAGCAACAGAGAGCACTGAACGCCTCCCTGATCCCCCGCGTCCGAATCCCGGTCTACGTGGAAGACCTTGTATCTCAGCTGGAGCTCTCAAGTAAGAATAACATTTAAGGAGATTATTTACTCTTGATTTTCGATTATAAAATATCATTTTAACATCACGAAGCATGCTGCATCTGTCACCCTGTGCCACAGTTACATGTCTTTAGTTGACACACCCGAAGATGCGTGATTTAAAGTTTACTTGGTATGAATCGAATTTTAATACGAAACAATTTAAGATCCCGAGCTGTTATTAACTTAATTGGTTGGATACAATGAGGTCTTACTTTGTCTTTTTGTCAACAATATCAGATGCTCTTTTTTAAAGCATGAGTGACAGAAATATATTTTCAGCACTTTACTTAAATAATCGCCTCACATGCAGCGATTTTAGTAATATTGTCTTGGCAGAATACTTAATTATTTGAAGCGGAAATAAACATCACTCACTCCGTGGCATTCAGATATTCAGAACTGTGCACCAGGGCGGTGGTGTGGCTTAGTGGTTCAACATCTCGCTCAGCACGACGTAATCCCGGGTTGGATTCCCCACTCGAGTACACTGTTTAAAGCCGTGTTATTTCTATAAGCGTCGTAAAACAATATTCACTGCAGAGCTTCAGGTGAGCTGTATCTGCGTAAAATACGCACAACACACCATAAGCCAATTAAGTTTGAGTTGTGTACGTAGAAGTACGAATGAAAAAACAACTGCACTACTGTAACAAGCCCATACGTAATTACCTTATGTAAACCTTTCAGCCTGCGTGTCCGTGTGTCTTTGCAGATCTCTGTTTACTGATCGAGTGCAGGCATCACGAGTACATGCAACATGCAACATGCAACAAAGTGCTGGATCTCGCTTTATATAACTTAAACATGCATCTCTAGATCTGTTGTGATCTTGTGCGATATGTGACACACGTGGGGCATCACATGGACAGATGCTGAAACAGCTTTTGAAGCAAAACATGCAACATGCAACAAAGTGCTGGATCTCGCTTTATATAACTTAAACATGCATCTCTAGATCTGTTGTGATCTTGTGCGATATGTGACACACGTGGGGCATCACATGGACAGATGCTGAAACAGCTTTTGAAGCAAAACTTGTTTTAAAAGGGTCACTCATTGGTTAAAAAATACCCAAAAGACGGGACCCAATGTGAATACCTAAACAAAAACTATCAATACCCAACGTGAATGATAACATGTGGGTAAAATACTGATTGGCTCAAACATTTATCTGGAGCTCAGAACACACTCTATTGTGCACCAACCTCGACTTGTAAAGGCTAGGATGCTACATACTCACATACTTGTTCATGGTTACAGCCCAGTCGTATGGCATCAGCGTGGTCATGACCAACACGGATGAGTTCACCGCTGTCTTCATCCGGTCAGTTAATTTCATGAATAGATGTCCAGTCTTTTATGGGCAGTGTAAGTATGGTCATAATTACTCAAAATAGTAAAAGGTAAAAATATTCTATACCGTTTAATTGTTTCCATTCATTATGGAATGATACATGCCGTGCACTATGATCTGCAACCAACATAGCAGTGTACTATGAAGATCCGGGTTAGAATAGGTCTTCAGCAACCCATGTTTGCCGTGAAAGGCGACTATGCTTGTCGTAAAAGGCGACTAACGGGATCCGGTGGTCAGGCTCGCTGACTTTGTTGAAGCATGTCATCGTTTCCCAATTGCGTGGATCGATGCTCATGATATCAATCACTGGATTGTCTGGTCCAGACGCGAGTATTTACAGACCGCCGTCATATAGCTGGAATATTGGTGAGTGAGGCAAACAAACAAACATCAACCAACCATGACGGACCATAAGCTCCTCAGGAGTCGTATCCCCAAGCTTTAGAAACAATGAGTATAAAGTGCAAAATATCTATTATTAGAGATTATGATTTTATGCTTTTAAAGATCAACATTGTCATCTGGGAAATTTTCTTATTTAAAACGAGAAGAGCTTGTACATCATTTATCCATAACAACATCCGCTTTTCCAACAATCTTTGTAAACAAATGTTGCTAAATATTGTTCCCACGTATATGTTTATGCATTTATTTAGCAGTTATTTTCATAAAATGCTGCAGTTTTAGCAATATAGCGTTGATGACAAGTACTGTATCAGTTTAACATGAATACCCCACTCAGACACAGCATACTGACTGCGAGACGACCAGTCCTTGTTTTAGCCCCTTAATGCCGAGCGCCAGACAGGGTAACAACAAGTACAATCTTTTAACGTATTTTGGTATGACGCGTATGAAACTCTATAGAAGGTTACCCTCTTATCTCAAGTTTTCTACCGGGTACCCATTCATGCTTTACCCACGTCTATATAGCCGTAAACGCTTGCCCTAAGCAAACCATACACAAGACAGTAATAACACTGTCTAGATCTATAGTCTGGGTATGGGCAACATCCCTTTTTGAAGATTCTAAAGCGGAAAAAATATTACCGAAATTGGTTGATAAGAGCGTTTTATCATAGGGTTGTATGCCTTCGCGTAATTTTATCAACGATGGGCACACATCCCTTAAAATATTCACTTAAAATTAAAATGAATAAATTTTAACAATATCTTTATCATCTAGGGTTGAGCAGCTACATTCAGAAAAGAGGTGGGCTCCCGTCACTTCCGACGCGTCTTGATCTCAGTGTATCCGTTGACGTCATCTTTACGGCCCCTGCTATAACGTACACATCGTGCGGACTAGTGTACGAGGGAAGGTTGGTACTCTCATGTCTCTCCTTTGTAACACATGCATGCGGAATAGTGTATCACAAAAAGTGGGTATTCTCATGTCCCCTCTATAACGTACACATCGTTCGGAGGGTGTCTGGTCCGTATTCGATTATTCACAGACTGCCGTCATATAGCTTGGATATTGCGTGCGCCGTTAAACAACAAACAAACAAACATCATGCGGAATAGTGTATCATAGAAGGTGGCTTTAACTCAGTGGAAATGGCATTTTCTTGTGGTCATGTAAATACAATGAATAGCGTACTGCTCCTGTCATACCGTTTGATGATAAAACAGAATGAATAAAACTGCGTGCTAACAATGCCACGTTCAGTGCTGATGTGGTAAGAAATATACGTTCCCATCCTTTTGCACTGCCAGTCTTAATAGCATGTAGGGGTTCTCTGTTACAGCCCGGTGAACGTCACTGTAGATTATCGGAACATGGATCTATTACGCACCGTGGAGACTCGGAACTCCCCCCAAGTCAGCCTGGTTCCCCTTGTGATCAGAGGTCAACCCCCCTCAGTCACACTGAAAGGTGAGTGAACTCAAACCACCACCCATTCGGGGGTGGCGAGGGTGTGGTGGGAAATCTTTCTGAAGATGATTTTGCACACCGAACATCGTGACCGAAGAAATCTAACAGAAAATCAGTGAAAATAATAAACTGACGGGCAAAAGAAAAAGAGAGTATACACTTGAAAATTGGATCAGACTAAAAACAAACGTTATCAATACATCAGTAGGCTAAAAACAGTCGCCGAAACAATGCAAACGTTAGGTCCAAAACATAACTGTGATATCCGAAATAAACGGCTTTCTGTTTGCTGCTCAGGACCACTCACGTCCCACTCGATACCGTTAATGTGAGATGTTGCATCAAAATGTAAATATGACATGTAGATCCTATAATGATTGTAATGAGGTTGCCCAACACATAGTCAGTGGATGCCCAGCTTTGGCACAGACACAGTATCTTAAGTGACATGATGGCTTGGCTCGATCATTTTATTACCGTCTTCGCCATGCTTGTGGTTTTGACTCAGAGGTCTATATATGTAGAATATGTAGAGGGCGTCATGGAAAATGATAAATACAAAATTCTTTGGAATAGTCCCGTATACAGCCTCAGACGTATTCAGGCCAACAAACCTGATCTTGTCCTTTTTGATAAATCCAATGAAATTATTATCATTGATATTTCCGTCCCTTTTGACAAGATGTGGAAAAACATGACAAATATTGCAGACCTATGATTTAATAGCTTGTAAATATTCTTCACATACAAATAACGTTTAGAAATTAGCATAAAATGACACCTTTGAACTGTTCAATAAGTCGCCGTGCCAGAGCTGCTGATAATGGTCTTTTAGAAGAAAGTTTTCACGAATAGATTTTTGTTGCCACAAACGTGCGAAATCCATACCTCGCCAAAACCTGACTTAAAAAGATAGTTTATTAACTTTGTTACCCAGTTTACATGACCTTGTTTATTATACAACATAACATGTAACATTTCCTCGGTAAACGACAATAAATTTAACCAATTAGTTACACAACGAATGACTGCTAAAATCTGGACAGGGTTCTTTCACATTCACCAAGCACTGTATTATTTGATGTCGACATCTTTAGCTTAAAAATTATTGCAGGCGAACCATTGAATCTTATCCAATTGTTTTGTTTCTCCGACGCCCCAAATCTCCGACCCTACAAAAGTACTGGCATTATTTTAGAATCAAACAGTTAAAAGAAAAAGTGTTATGAATATTGCTCCAATGTGTGTATGTTTCTCACGACAGTAACAATTATAATTTTAGCTTGAATAGCAATGATATCAGAGGATTCAAACCAAGTTAATTTGTTGCTAAAGAACAAACCTAAATAAGTGTTACCTGTAACAACCTCAACAGCATTACCATCGCAGCACTACGTTTCCGAGCGAGATAAACCACCTCCATTTTTTAACACAACGATTTTGTTTTGGAAACATTTATTGATCTTTTCCAGGTATTACAGTACTTTTGTAGCATATTTAACTTCTTTTGAAGGCTAATCGCCGTATCACAACAAATATTAAATCATCATCAAATAGAAGTATAAATATATGAACAAGAGCAGAATGTAACTGAACACCAAATGACCATTCTGCTTCTATTTCTACAACCAACCGATTGATTAAAAACAATAAAATAGGAATGGGCTTAGCATGCAACCTTGTCTTACTCCCATGGATCAAAAAAAAATACAGGACATATTATTATATGACCTCACATAACCTGAACTCTTTTATAAAATATGACTGCAACATCTTCCCCATTTTTGAGTGAGTGAGTATGGTTTCACGCTGCCTTTAGCAATATTCCAGAAATATCAAGATGGGGGACACTAGAAATGGGCTTCACTTATTGTACTCATGTGGGTAATCAACCGGGCCTTCAGATTTTTTTGAAAGCATTGATATTGTCTAATATGTCAATTCTTGTGATTCTACAATATCTGCTGTCATTTCTCAAAGTGGCATTCATTAAGGCCAGTGTCATCTCGGTTATCTATATTATCGTCAACAAGAAAACAACACTGTCATAATCCTCCGCCATGAGGCACATTAGAATTCTGTTTGTTCATACAGTAGTGAATATGAACTATAAAAATGAGTCCTTTTAAACCTTAAGAAGATACTTGGGTCGCCTTATGTCATCTGAAAAAAAAATATCAGTGCAATTATTAAGGCCCCTTCTCTGGAAAAAATAATTTATGGCATAAATTCTTGACCTCAGTCTTGATAAGTATTTCTTAGATTAGCTAACTTCAGTAGTTTCTGAGAAAATTGTCACCATTGCAGAGACACTATGCACCTTGTAAAATAACATGGATCAAAGTCCGTAACTGTGTATGCTCAAAATCCAAAAATATGTAGCAGGGGAAGTCATTCTGAAAAGAAAATAATTTCCAAGAAAAGCATGCAAACTTGTATTCATGTAACGTCAGTAGTTTCTGAGAAAACTTCCCGATTGCTGACACCATGCACTGAGTTGAAAAACACGGATCAAGGGCCATAAATCTGTAGAAAAATAATTTGTCAAGTATCTCTCAGAAAATCATGCAAACTTGCATTCATGTAACGTTCCTGAGAAAACTTGTCCCCAGTTCACGCAGCATATGCTTTAAGTTGGTTGGTTTATTGATTGAATTGAAGACAGTCAAGCAGGACAAGCTTGACCGTGATTCTTTCATGACAAGGGATATGGCACGAAGGATCCTCGCCTTTCAATAAATATTCATGTGTAAATCTACTTGTTTATTCTGCAATTCAATAATTTCAAGTAAAGAGCAAGTTTACATGACATACATTTAATAACCTGGTGTTACGAAAGAGAATCTGAAAAAATATGAATTGTTTATGTTTATATTGGTTATAGATATATTTTAGAGCTGTCAAATGGTGTTTGCTTCTGCTGTGAATATGGAACTGTTATCTGGTAATCTTGAAGATATTGTTCTGGATCTAATCAAACTGACACTAGCAACTGTGACACCATCCTTGGATCCATCTGTAAATATAGATTTATAAGTGTCATGTGTGTTTCTTAATTGATTGAATTATTGTATATAAATTAGCGGGTTTGTGTGATTTCTTTTAGTTAAGTTAATGTAGATCTGCATTTTGCCTAACCATTTGCCAAGGAGGTAAAGACAACATTTGGATGGGAGCTACATTTTGAAGCTTATTTTCAGCAGCAGAAAGTGCAGATATGATTCTAATACCAAGTGGTGGAATAAGAAATGCTTTCTTTTTGTTAACATCAACATAAAGTGGATTAAATACTCAATCAAAAGCTGGATTTGAACGATTGGGAAATTATGTCGTGGGATAGTGTAAGGATAATTTCAGACGGCGTTGCTAAAGAGATGGTTCATCCGCTTCCACATACAGATTATGAAAAACGTTTAGGATGATTATATAGTAATCGCGAGAGGGTGCGTTTCCTTTTTACCTATATACAGTATATACGAATGCTTTTCATTTCAGACAAGCAGTACACCCTAATGATGCTCGACATTAACCCCGAGCTGGGAAAGACCAAACAGAACTCCATCATTCATTGGATGGTCGTCAACATCCGGGGTACTGACATCAGTTCCGGTGAAGAGGTGTATGACTGGTTAATGCCGTTGACACCAACGTTGAATCGGCTCTACCTGTTTGCCTTGTTTGAACAGACGGCGCATGTCAGCACCGCAACGGCGAGGAGTTACGTTGGAGCCAACTGTCCTTCTTTCATGGTATTCCGGTACGATAAAATGAGCAATAATACCATTTATTATATACTTCAGTGTGAAAGACTGAGTTTTCTGAAGTTGAGAAAAGTGATATTTTCATTGCAGTGAACATAACACTTGATATTTTACTGCAGTGAACATAACACCTGATATTTCACTGCAGTGAACATAACACGTTGACGGAACTATATATATACTTTTGGTGTAGTTGTCTGCAGGAAGATTAAATTATTTCATTACAAATGTAAAACCTTCAAGCGTAAATTCTCCCTACATAACACATGGGCTACGCCACTCGTGAAAAATGCTCCTTTCCCCCCGTCACTCGGTGAGAGAAACATGATATTTCACTCGACACATGAAATATCCTCTATCATCACCCAGAGGGTCGGAAATAGGTTCCGTGTGCGTGCGTTTGAGACTCTCTCTCTCTCTCTCTCTCTCTCTCTCTCTCTCTCTCTCTCTCTGTGAGTGTGTGTGTGTGTGTTACGCCGCACTCAGCAATATTCAAGTCCGTATTATTTGCAGACCGAAGTGATACACCTGGAATATTGATGGGTACGGCGTAAAACAACATTCACTCACTATATTCATCACGATTATCCTACCATGTATTTCCATTCGTGAGTGAGTTAAAATGTATAGTCTCTATTGCTATTAGTGTTACTACCATTGTGTTAAGAGAAAGAAAGAGTCATTTTAGGGTGGGGTGATAAGACAGTTCCAAGCCTTTATATGAAACGACGAATCAAAGGGCTTAAAGATCCCTTAATAATCTTTGTTTGTTTGTTGTTGAACGCCGCACTCAGCAATATTTCAGTTATATGACGGCGGTCTGTAAATAATCGAGTCTGGACCAGACAATGTTGTGACTGACATCTTGAGCTTCGATCTACGCAATTGGGATACGATGACATGCATCAACCAAGTCATCGCGCCTGACCACCTGATCTCGTCAGTCGCCTTTCACGGCAAGCAAGGGTTGGTGAAGACCAATTCTACCCCGGATCTTCACGGGTTCCTTTAATAATGTATTTGGACTGGTCCGTATGCTAGCTGTATCACCTGTGGTCCTATTCATTGAAAATCTTTCCAGGCTGGTATCTCTTTTGAGGGGAAGTAGGTTTGCCACTGGGTAAAGGGTTTGTTTGTCACGCCGAAGCCCCGGTATTGATTCCCCATAAACGTACAATATATGAAGCCAACGCACTCACTACCCCCCATGGGATAGTGGGCACACTTAAACTGCAGGAAGGGCTCATTACTTTGTGAAACCTCACTGACTCTTATTATTTAAGACGGTGTTACAGTTTAACAGTTTTATCAAAATTTGACCCCTAATATCATTAAAATCAGATATTTTCTCCCATACGAATCCTGTCTACGTGAAGATCTGACGACGCCTGGAAGGACGAACACTTGGAGTGACGCTTTTAACAGTATTCGAGTTATATCACGGCGTGTCAGCTTAATGGGGGAGGAAAGCCCGAAGTGATGCAGGTCTTAGACGTTTACCACTTCTGTGACACCCACGAGCACAGTCTAAATGAATGCTAGGTGGATTAATATTCCTTAGCCAATCAAATGTCAGCTTTACAAAGCCGTTCGGCTTCATCTTTTTGCCACATCGATTGGGAAAAGACGATTTCTGTAAAAGTCCATTTCAACCCCAATAGTACACAATAATGTAGGGTGTATATGCCATGGCGCTTAGAAACGACAGGATGCACTATTTATTCACAACAATATAATGGCGCTCCCTGGAGTTTCTGCTTTCCTTGTAATTTCAGTTCTACTTTGAGACACAGAAATCAGACAAGTTAGTTTGAATCTTTCGCAGACTCGAGAATTTAGAGAAGTTAGAAGCCTCGATGTTGATTTGCTAATTAGAGAGTTCATCTGAGATCATGCAAAGAGGTATCATGTAGGAGTAATGAGATTGACCCCGCAGAGCTCCAGATAAGCTGCGTATCTGCGTAACATACGCATCAGAAATGCAGAAATACGCAGTAAAATCAAATCAAAGTGTATCAAATACGCAACGAACATTACAGATACGCTATAAAATAAAAGTAACCCTGCGTATTCGATTAGCAAATCAGTAACTTATTTTGAAATTATAAACGGGCATTCCGTCAACCTTGCCAAAGTCCACGATGACAGTTACATCATGATCATTTGCCATCACACTTTCTTGTGGAAGTATCGTGGTATTTTGAGTCCTATAAAGCTCTCGAACCCACACGAAACCAGTTTGCAGGGCCTTGATGAATAGTGTTTTTAAATATTTAACTTAAATACCCACATGTGTAAAAACTAGTGCGTAACAGAAATTTGAATACCTAGATAGAATTACTGATACCCAAAGATTTTTAAATGCATGGGTAAAATACCCACAACACCAAAAGCTTATCTGGAGCTCTGGACCCTCCTTAATATTAAAACGGGTAAACGGTGTGGTGTTATGTCCCCAAACAGCCAGGATCTGCTGGTTGCGGTTTCACATTTGGATTGGACATGAATACTATCCTTGGTCTCTCATGCTGTGATCGTGGGTTCTACCAAAAGTTGTACACGGCCTGAGTCTCTGGCCTTCCTCCCACGGCTCGCATAAATACTGTTCAACTCAGTGGTTATGTAGACAAAGTCACGCCAAAAGACTGCTTTATATCATTCAGGCCGCTTCCGTGGTTGATGATTCAATTCCATGGCGTTGTCATACAAAACCAAACGTTAGAAGATCTCACTTGTTATCCCGCCTGGCGCTCTGCATTAATGATAAGAGAATATAACAAGTTTTGGTCGTTAAAAAACGTTAAAAGATAGTCCTTGTCGTTATCCTGCCTGGCGCTCGTCATTATGGTGATAAAACAAGAACTGGTCAGCTCATAGTCAGTATACTGTGTCTGAGTGGGGTGTCTATGTTAAACTGGTATCACATTTGTGCGAACACTAAAACAAACGACACAAGTCAGAACTAGTAGAAATAACACATAGACAACACGTCCCTTTGTAAGTGCAATGACCTTGAACGCGACGTTAAACTCCGTTTCACCTCACTGCATTTAATGATTTTCAAAACTCTGCTATCTACAGGTGCAACTTTAGAGCTGGCGACTACATCCGTGACAACAACCTCTCCCTCGTGGGTCTACGACATCTCAGAGTCATCCCCGACACCTACCAACAGTATATGTCGTACGCCGTGTTCAAGTTCAACATCATGGCCCAAAGTTGCTGGGGGCGCACTGAGAACGCTCCACCTTGCTCCTCTTCCCAGAAGATTATAGTTGGGTAAAATCCTATCTGAACACTGGGTTTAAGTGGGGAACTGTGTATCTCTACAACCTTGCGTGTTTCATAAACGAGGCCAGCGAATGATTTCCGTTATCTTTACCACTGAACACCCCGGTTCAACAAACTCTTCTGGATGTTGCTCTTGAAATAAAGAATAGCGAGTACATTTCGTTTCGCCAATCATTCTCCACTAACAGGCGCCATTTATAATAGTTCATGTCACGCAGACGTTACAATATGAACATATTAAATTCATATATGAATAGTGGTTCTTGTAACACGTAGTATTGGGTTGGGTTCAGGGAAAGTGATGATAACTTCAAAGACTATCCTGGTCTTATCCTGTTACATCAAACTGTTATGTCGCCAGCTGTTGAACAGATTGGTTGGTTGGTTGTTTAACGCCGCACTCAGCAATATTCCAGCTATATGACGGCGGTCTGTAAATAATCGAGTCTGGACCAGACAATCCAGTGATTGATATCATGAGCATCGATCCACGCAATTGGGATACGATGACATGCATCAACCAAGTCAGCGAGCCTGACCACCCGATCCCGTTAGTCGCCTTTTACGACAAGCATAGTCACCTTTTACGGCAAGCATGGGTTGCTGAAGACCTATTCTACCCCGGAATCTTCACGGGTCCCACGCAATTGGGATCGATGACATGCATCAACCAAGTCAGCGAGCCTGACCACCCGATCCCGATCGTCGCCTTTTACGACAGGCATCGTCGCCTTTTACGACAAGCATCGTCGCCTTCAACGGCAAGCATGTTTTTTTTAACTGTTTGGTATGAGTACAGTCTCAAATCAACAGCCAGAAGCTAACGAGGAAAAGGAGTCAGAGAGCAAAATTCTTCACACAGGGGAGGCACTTCTGAGAATTGACCAGAACATGACAGAAACGTATAAGTTCATATAGAATTTGGGGATAAACATTATGTTCACTTACGGCAAACAGGTTCTGTGCAAAAAAGGGTCAGATGTTGTCAATGATCTGCATTGATTTTCAGATGAAAGAACATACACAAAACTCTTTTTGTTAAATGCTGCAAGATAGGGTCATGATAAGATTTTGTTGTTATTGCCCTGGCTATTGCATTGTTTGACAAAATAGATGGATTGCACCTCTAGACACCTTTTTGAACTGGCAAACAATTCAGATATTTCCTGTTCATTGTCAGACTCCTTGGACCTGAGGAACCTCTTCACTTTCAGCTTTTCATGACATTACTGACTGGGATCATACATCTTTCTGCGGGGAAAGGGCAAATGACCGCGTGGAAAACACTGAATGTGTATGATGATGGGACAGACGCTTTCAATCTCGTTGGTGATGTACCAGCAGAACAGGATGGGAAGAACATGATGCAAGTCATTCAGTGTTTTGTGGTCTTCATGCTTTGTTCATGCCAGTGTAGATGAGGCACACAAGGAATTATTCACTAAGAAAGGCAGAGCCATTGATTCCATTCCTCCTACACTATCTGCTTTGTACCAACATGTCCCAAAAGCTGTATTGCAAGCTAGCCACTGTTGTGGACGAAGTCTGGAAGCCGATACAGACCTTTCCATACCAACTGGAGAAGGGTAATATCTGTACCACTTTGGATATGAGCCTTTGTGGACTACACTACCACAAGTCACGCCAAGAGCGCCTGAGATGTAGTTGTAAGTAGTCTGAGATGGGGTGCAGAGCAAGGTGTGACTGTGTTGTGCAACTTTAAATAAGTTCACCACTTTGAGAATGTGCGGCGACTGTGATCACATTTAATTGTTCCTAGCCAACGAAATCATTAGCCATTTACAACATACTTCAATGACTACAACATTTATTCTTTACATGTTCTGTATTCACCAAATGGCCTTAATTGACCTTAATGAAGTTTGTCTTAAAGATATGTCGAAGAAGAAAGAAATGTAAATATTTTTATTAAAAGAAATTCACACTTTAGATTACCTAAATCAAGTCTATTGCGATAGTTATTTACATTTCAGATGTAGTGTTGGGTATTAACATTCCAAATGTTTGTTTTGCATTATATATTTAGGTTGTGGGTCATGTTCACACGAGATATACTAGAATTTCATTTCTCCATGGCGGCCATATGGGAGTTTTTGGGTGACGCCATATCTAATAATATCTGGAATGTCATTACCTACAACTTATTCAAGTTTCCTGCTTTTGTCACTAAGTGCACAACTGACCCTATATCCGTCACGAAACGGCTGCACTAATAGACATACGATTGTGGCAGCGCTAAGATCGGTTTGCTGAACGGGGTACTGGGCACCATTAGCCAATGCTCGCAAGAGTTTGCAAGAGCTAACCAAAACGAAAAGTGGCTACATCACGGAGTGTCAGCTTAAAGTTGAAGCGCAGTAGAGCATAGACGTTTGCTAATTTGCCGGGCAATCGTACACATTCATGTTTGATAGTGGCGAAAAATGACACAAACTAGAAATGGTTATGTGATGCTGACGTATTTGAAACAAGGTGTAGTTGTGTTTTTGACGAAACAGTTTTCTCTGTTTCGGCTACTGTTTTCAGCCTGTGGCTAGTAACATTTACATTTTTGGGGTCATATCCTATTCTCAAGGCTATACTTTCAATTGCCCAGTGGAATATATATTGGATACTTGCGGATGAACCTTAAAAAATTAAAACGCATTTTTACCTAAGCCATCATACTCCGCGTATGAGGGGGCGGCCGGGTAGCCTTGTGGTTAAAGCGTTCGCTCGTCACGCTGAAGACCCTGGTTCGATTCCCGACATGGGTACAATGTGTGAAGCCCATTTCTGGTGTCCCCCGCCGTGATATTGCTGGAATATTGCTAAAAGCGTTTATTTAAAGCCTGTAATAAATTATTACAAAAACAATATCATTCAAGGGTTTTTTTTAAAATGAGAATGACACATGTTGTACTGTCATAATCAAGTTGGTCAGATGTTCATATCTCAATTTGCCTCAATCTCAATGTTACATGTTTGAAAAGTTAACTGACAATGATATAAATATAAAACAAATATGTTGAGGTGAGGAGTTTTTCTGGCCTCAGAGTGGGTGTGCCGCAATATATACCTGAAATAGTTGTTCTGTAACAACATGACGCAGGGATTCCATCTCTTGGCTGTTTTTGTCTAGCCATGGTCGTTCTCTATCCTCATGGGGGTTGATGGAGGCATGAAAGCACTTTCCTTCTGTGTGTCCTGCAAAATTTGACAGGACTGAGCCAGATTTCCTGTAAACAAGAAAAACTATCTTAAGATCACTGTATTCACAATCTCATACAATTATGTAACTTATGAATTTGTAATTTTAAAGGACATCTACCAAGGGAACACATTAAGAAGATACTTACTTTCGCAAACCTCAGTACTCCACCAGAAGTGATTCAAGGAAGCAATTCACGTTAGACGGGTTTGCTGACAATGCAACAATTTGATTTCAAAACAAAGTGTTACTATATCCCTTTCAACCTAAACGAGGAAGCTTGGAGAATAAAAAACATATTTGTAAAATCATAGGTGGTGAGGTGAAATGGGGTTTAACGTCGCGTCCAAGATTATTGCACTTATATAGCGACGTGCATGTACGTGTGTGTGTTTGTGTGGCTGCTTGTACTAGTCCGGACTGATGCCGATTTATAGTGCTTGCTCACGGAGATACCATGCCGCAGTTTAACATGAATACCCCACTCAGACACAGTATACCAACCAAGTAAGCGAGCCTGACCAACCGATCCCGTTAGTCACATCTTACGACAAGCATTGCACGGGTTGCTTAAGAAATAAGGATGAATCAATGAACTTGTTCAATCCAACAGCCTTAGGATCACGTCTAGCATCAGCTTCTTCAAGACAGATAATATCTTCATCAGAATACCGTTAAAATCATTTTGACTGCCGCTTCCACAGATAACCAGAATAGGTCTTCGGCAACCCAGGCTTGTCGTTAAAGGCGACTAACGGGATCGGGTGGTCAGGCTCGCTGACTTGGTTGATGTACGTCATCGTATTCCACTGGATTGTCTGGTCCAGACTCGATAATATACAGACCGCCGTCATATAGCTGGAATATTGCTGTGTGCGGCGTTAAACAACAAACAAATAAAATCTACGCTTAGACTGGTTAGTCCAGCCAACATATAACTTCATAATTCCAGCAAGGGTGGAAACTGACGTTCGCTTGTTGCTTAATGGGAATGGCGTGTAGCCGAAGAATCTTATCCGTGTAACGTTGTGCCGTAAAATTCCCCAGAAGTTGCACCACGTCTGTTCTACCAGTGTAGAAAATGGCTGCCCCCATCATCACACTAACAATCCCAATTCATGTAGAAATAATTTTAACCTGTCAGATATATTTACAACACCCTGTCAGATATATTTACAACACCCTGTCAGATATATTTACAACACCCTGTCAGATATATTTACCACCTTTGAGTTTCTCTTTTCTTGCAGTATAATTGAGGCTGGACGAGGCAAACACGTGGTCGACAGCATAAACAGCGATCTGCGCTGCCGGGTACAATGACACATAATCAGCCGGGTACCATGACACATAATCAGCCACCCGATGGGGGGGGGGGGGGGTAGCCTAGTGGTTAAAGCGTAAAGCGTTCGCTCGTCACGCCGAAGACCCGGGTTCGAGTCCCGACATGGGTACAATGTGTGAAGCCCATTTCTGGTGTCCCCCGTCGTGATATTGCTAGAATATTGCTAAAAACGGCATAACACCACACTCACTCACTCATGATCTTATGACAAGCCTGGGAGGGATACTGGGGAGTTATTACACTCTTGAAACCCCACAGCGAACCTGGCCAAATGTAACACCGTATACCTTATCACGATGACTCGGCAGCAGGCTATGTCTTCAATCTCTTTTTTGGCAACGTGTTTAGTGTGTTGTTAAGTGATTGAATTTTTTTCTTCAAATTCTCTCGTAGCGCGTCTGTCTGAAAGAATAACACTGTCGTTTCACCGGGACCACCATTCCCTAATGATATACTAATAACGTCATACCCACCCACCCAACATCACACTTATGGGCGTGGATTTCACTGGCGCAATCGTTATCAATGTAGGTTGATTGGATACCACCAGTTCAGTGGGGTAGTATGTAGGGTATATATACCCTCTTGTCATTGTAATCTGACATCAAGAGACGACCATGGCGTACGTACCCGCCCTGTTGGCTCTGCTGTTGACGGCAACGTCATGTAAGTGTTGTCAGCTATTCTCCAAGGGCGATTTATTTAATTATAATGACAGCTGTTTCTTTATTGGATGAGTGAGTTGGTTTAACATTACGTTACATTAGTTACACGGTACATCCGACCAGGACAGGTATTAGATCTTCCATTTTAAGGAAAGTCGTAAAGTTAGGGTCATTCTCTTCGAGGATCTGGGATTCGAAATCACCAATCAAAATTAGGCTTACCTAAGCATATGCAACGATACTGGGGTACATAAAAAAGTACGCGAATAAGGATTATGAGACCGGGAAGTATATTGTATAAATAAACACTCATACTAAGCTATGCAGAACAGTTTTTTGAGAGTCGGAAACACGGGCACGTTTAAGGTAAAATTTTCGGTATGTTCTCACTTTGCGTTATGGGTTTTGCTTCATGTGGATTGCAATTGGCTGGGTTTCTTTACGCCAGTATTGTTTCATTGTTTGCGAAGCCGTTCATATCTGGTTGGAATTCTTAGGGACCATCAATATTGCTTGCCGCTAATAAATTTGTCCTCGTTTTATATCTAAATTTAATTTAGTATCATCAGAGGCTGGTTAGGCTGATCATCAGATCAGGGCCCTTGCATACAACGTAAAGATAAACCGTTCGTAGAATTATGGGTTGTGCATTTGCACAAGTGTATCTAATTTCTACATTTTTTTGCATAATGATCTATTATTGCATCTGTTTTACTTGATAAAACTGCACGTTCAGAATGACCTGAGAATTCCTGGCTCAGACACAAATATAAGGAAAAAGTATGATTGGTTAATTCAATGGGAACCGTCCAGGTTTGGCATCTTGGATTATTTAGTGTAGTATTTCTTTGTTTCAATGAAACACTCCCTGGTATTTTGGCCAGGCCGTTTGAACACATGTGCGCTGGCCCAAAACCTATATAGGATAGAAACCAGTACATGTGATATTTCCTGAAAGAGTAATTCTTTGTCAATTAATAAGAAGATCAATCATGTCATTTTAGAAGGTGTTTTTTCATAATATTGGCGGACCTTCGGTGTGTTTATTATTGACTATATTGGTAAGTGACTGGCGTATATGGAGGTGCAGGGTGCCCCTGACAGTTCACGTTGTGGCGACCGTTGAAGATCCGGGGTAGAATAAGTCTTCAGCAGCCCGTGTTTGCCGTAAATGGCGACTATGCGTGTCGTAAGCGGCAACGAACGGGATCGGGTGGTCAGGCTCGCTGACCTGGTTGATGCAAGTCATCGCATCCCATTTGCGTTGATCGATGCTCATGTTGTCAATCACTGGATTGTCTCTTCAAGACTCGATTACATACAGACCGCCTCATATAGCTGGCATATTTCTGAGTGCGGCGTTAAACAACAAACAAACAAACATAACGTTATGGCTGGTAAGTTGTTGTAACAAAAGACCGTTATGATACCAATATTTCTCCCTGTGACCAGATTGTCAATAGCGTATACAGCCACCTCGTACTCCTACACCTCATGGACCGCCTCCGTGGTCGTTTGGTAGATCGTCCGCCCGGAGAGCGGAAGGTCCGGGGTTCGATCCCCAGCCGCGTCATACCAAAAGACGTTAAAAGATGGTACTTGTTGTTACCCTGTCTGGCGCTCGGCCTTAAGGGGCTAAAACAGGACAGGTCGGGTCGGAGTCAGTATCCTGTGTCTGGAGTGGGGTATTTATGTTAAACTGCGGCATGGTATCTCAGTGTGCTAGCACTATAAATCGGCATCAGTCCGGACTAGTACAAGCAGCCACATACACACACATACACGTGCGTGCACGTCGCTATATAAGTGCAATAATCTTGGACGCGACGTTAAACCCAATTTCACCTCACCTTCTACACCTCATGCCTTGACGTCTGATTTCTCGGTTCTTTCGGTGTAATGCAGGTACCAGTTCTTGTAGACTGGCTACTGTAGAGTTCGGCTTCTGTATCTTGCGCCCCATGAAGTCCAAGATGTCTTCCAGGGCCTGAAGGGATTATCGTGAAGGCATTCTTCTGGGGGAACTCTGTTACCTGTCGAGAACGTTGTGGTCTCGCGTTGTCGTCCAGGTGGTCTGAGTTGGTAACCAGATGGACCTTATGAAAATGCGGCACATAGTTTGGATCTAGTATTTGACGCCGGTACCTGTGACGCATCTGATTCCACTGCACAGTGGTGGGTGCGTTTAGAATCATTTATTAAAAATTCCATTGTAAACAAACAACATAATGTATCAATCTTTTTCGATCTAGAGAAGGCATATGATACAACGTGGAAACATGGTATTTTAAAAGATTTGCATGAATTTGGATTGAGGGGCAGATTACCTCAGTTCATATGTCAATTTTTAAACAACAGACAATTTCAAGTACGAGTGGGCTGTACCGTGTGCTGCCTCAAGGCAGCATACTATCAGTCACACTTTTCAGCATCAAAATTAATCTCACTAAAGTATTAAACAATAGGGGGCACGGGTGGCCCAGTCGTCTAAGGCGCCGCGATTCGCTGTGCAGAGTTACGTCCCTTGGGCACGCCAGATACCTATGATTGTGGATTTGAATCCCGTTTCGCCCCGATTATATTTCTAGGTTTGTCAGCACCATACCCGTGCTCGTGGGTTTCTCCGAAGTGCTAAACGTCTGAGACCTGCATCACTTCGGGCTTTCCTCCAACTTTAAGCTGACACGCCGCGATATAGCTGGAAAACTGTTAAAAGCAGCGTTAAACCGAACTCACTCACTCACTATTAAACAATTAAACAATAGCGTTGATGGTTCTCTTTTGTGGACGATTCTAACATTTCTTGTCGTGGTAAGAAAATGAATACAATAGAAAGACAGCTACAGTCGTGGTAAGAATATGAATACAATAGAAAGACAGCTACAGCTCTGTCTTAACAAAATTAAAAATATGGCGAAAGAAAACGGCTTCAAATTCTCAAAATCCAAACCAAACTGTATTCACTTTTGTCATAAATACAAACCACATTGGGATCCAGATTTACTTTTAGATGGTACTCCTATCAAGAGAGAAGAGGAGGCCAAATTCCTGGGCCTAATATTTGACCGTCATATCACATTCTTACCACACATCAAATATCAAAAGGCAAAGTGCCTGGACTATAGTTCCCTTGTCAATGGTGGAGCCTGCAAATGCAATTTAGAAAAAATTGACACTGTACACCATCAAGGTCTAAGACTCTGTCTTGGAGCTTTTAGGACCTCTCCCGTGGACAGCTTGTATGTGGGGGCCTATGAACCTTCACTCGAACAGTGCCGCATTAAACTTTCACTGCAATATATAATTAAACTGCACTCAAATAAATCAAATCCAGCATACAATTGCGTTTTCCACCATCAGTATGAAAACCTGTTTCGAAATCTGTCAAACCTGGTTCCATCATTTGGAATCAGAATTCTACCACACATCACTGCAGCTAAAACAGATCTAAATATAATATCACCTTCTCAACTTCTGTCGTATTCGCCACAGTCGGTTTACCCACGAAATTCTAAAGACAGATGAGGACGAACCTCCTAAGTGTATCCCTTGTGATGAAAGGTTCACCGTCAAGCTTATATTGCTTGACTGTGTGGACTTGGCAATCGCAAGGGATTCACATTATAAAAGTGTAAATCTCAAAGATCTCTTTTCCCGTGTCAGCGGGCATCTCATTATCAGCTATTTGAAATAAATTTGTCTGTATAATACACTGTACATATGTATGTGACTAATTAAATGCTTGTTTTTAAATTTGCTGTGATGCTATTATCAACTGACATTATTGAAGGCTCTGTCCCGGGGGTTAAATTATTGTAAAATTATCGTCCTCCTGTGTGACTCTTAATCCTATCATAATCGATGTAACTATCGTCAACCAGTGTTTTGAAGCCAACTCATTGCTGAGTATTTTTACTATTGGCTTGTATTGTGCACAACCACCAGTAGCTAAAGTGATGACGTAAATCCTGCTGGGGTATCATGCAGGAAGCCGTGGTACTGTAAGTCCCTATGATCCCCAGCGAGGTGGCCTAGCTATGGTTACTGGTGGCCTATAGCCCGTGTTTTAAAACTGTAAAAAATAATATTGTTATGCTCAAATATGTTGCATGAGTTGTTTTTTAAATATACATTTGCATAAATAACTCAATTGTGATTAAATTAACTTGGTCTCGTCGCTATATGGATGAAATAATGCCGATGCGACGTTAAATTTTAACTCACTCACTCACTCCACTGCACAGTGGCCATGGCCGGTTTGCAATCATTGTACAAGCAACCCCACGACCCTGTATTCTCCAAAAGGGACGAATGTTCAGGGTTATATGCCGTGTTTCCTTGCCACCAGACCCGAACATGCTGTCTGCGACACACAAATAGAACCTCACATCCGACCAAAAGATCTTCCCCCATGTCCTTAGGTTCCAGCCACGTCAAACTCCAGGCCAAATTGCGTTCACGTTCTGACAGCTCATGACGCTTGATCATGCTTGAACCTGCTGATTAAAGTTGGTTCTTCAATGTCGATTATGACAATTCCCTGTGCTTCATCCAGTATCCTTTCAAATGGTAACCTCCCTTTTGTCAGACATCCCATTTGTCAGACAGCTTATACCAGGATTAGTCAAGGTTGGTTTGTCAAGCAATAGTTACCTGTTTACCTTTCATTAAAGTGGAACAGACCAGAAAACACACATTTTGAGAATTTACAGGATTGGTAATTATGCCCTTATAGTCATGAAATCATACCAGAAATCACACTTTTTGAAGTATTCATTACATTATTGCAATATTGCTATATACACAATACACACTGATCACAGTTCAGTACAATGGCTGTTTTCAGCTCAGCTTTAGCAAATGATCAACAGCATCCAAGAATTCAAGAGGTGTCTTCTGACCACTGAACAGCTTCTCTTTGAGACGCACAAGCCTTCCCTCTGACTCTCTGTAGACCTTCTTCATGGGTGGGGGAGCAGCACCAAAGTCTATCTGTGTCAGCTTGGCTTCCGACTCTCAATGCCTTGAAGCAAATCTGTACAGGTTGAGATGCTGATGTGGAAGACTGCGGCATGAAAATGTCTGCTGTTGAGAATTCACTTTCGCTCGCTCGAATGGCCGCCATCTGAAAATCTGTCTGTACGGTAGCTGGTGAGAAGGGTCGGTTGAGAGTCTGGTCTACCTCTGTTTTTACCAAAGTGAAGAATCTGGCGTATGTCGACGTTGTCGGTTGTGCAGCAGGGCGAATACAAGTGGGTACATGGTTAAACTCAGGTTATGGAGAAGTTTAATCTATTTAAATATTCTACCTAACATTGTATTTAACATTGTTTGTTAATCTTCACTGAGTTTCTTGTATTCTATATCACTGGAAAAAACTTCTCTCAATCTTTGCAAATAAAACACATGCAACCCGACGCAGATCAAAAGCAACTTATAAACACAATCATTATCTGCTTAATCTGTATCACTTAATGAGTTGGAGTAGCATACTCAGCCCACAGTTTGGGAGCAGCTCAGTAATTAGTAGGTAAGACCAGGCAGTTACACTGGTCACACTTGACTGGACTGTCTGTCAACTGGGTCGTCTGACAAATGGGACGTCTGGCAATTGGGAGTGAACCTTTCAAATAGGTGCTTGTGGCTACAGATTGTCGCCTAAGCAGTCTGAGGTCGTTACACGAGGCCGCCCAGGCCTTGAACGATCCTTTACCTCATTACTTTGCTTTCTGTGCCAATCTGCTAATAACCAAATGGTGGCAACCAACAGATTTGAAAGAGATTCCCGCATAAATGATTCCTATTATTCGCTGTCAGATAACTCTAAAGAGTTATGTTGATCACGAATTAAGACTACAGTTCAGAATATTTTCAACCTGTGCTTTGTTTTAGCAAATCGCGAGTGGCTGGTCGTCCAGTTAAAATGTTTTAACATATTTTTTCAAATAATTCAACAGCTTCAAATTACATAGAGTTAGCTTAATGAAGTGCCGAGCAAATGATAGTATACACTTGAAAATTGGATTTAATCCCATAGTTAAATACTGTATTAAAACCTAACTAGGCTGAAAACAGTCGCCGAAACACTGCAAACTTAAGGTCCAAAACACAACCATGATACCCGTGTCAAATACATCACCATCAAATAACCATTTCGTGTTTGTTTCATTTTTAGCCACCATCAAACATGGATGTTACTTTGTGTTGCCCAAGCTTATAACTAAATCCCAAGTTAGCTGTGAAGGTATATTCTTCTGAATGCAAATGGCATTTAAAACTGATCTTTTTATGTGCCGGTGTCGGTACTTGAACGTACATACACGTCGAGATTGGAATGATACGGTTGTAATCGTTTTCTTATCTGTTTTCTTTTATCGAATTCCCTTTGCGCCGGGCGCTACACAATTATGTTCATTGAAAGGTATGTGTAAAGGAGATCTTGGGCCCTGAAGCACTTATGTAACTGATTTCTTACATGACAACAACTGAAGGTCAACAGACTTGGCGAAAAACCTGCGTCATTCAGCATGACTCGGACGTTTTACGCTTGTTCTGTCAAGAGGTCTTCTAGTATTGACATAACTTGGAGAGCCGAATGCACCAAGCTTGCTGTACACAAAAGTCGTGAATCAGCTGACTCGATATGTCTTTTCAGTTTAACCAGTTACTAAATATTTGACACAAGTAAGGATAAGATATATCGATGAAAACTTCATTATTATTACAATTAGAAGCCACGTTTCGATGTAGGTTCTAAAACCATCATCAAGCAAATAAGGAAGTGTTATAACCTTCACCAAAAGGTCGGTCCTGATTGTAATAAAGAAGTTGTTCATCCATATATACTGAACAACAAAAGTTCCTGTGACATAATGCAAAGTTATGTTTTATGTTTTTTACCAACTCTGAAACAGTTTTGGTTTGCAACAGATAATAGACTCCTGTAAGTGTTCAAATGGTTTAATTTGCCATACTGACTTCAGAAAATGCGTGATTTCCTAAAAAAACCATGAACATGCCAAAATGTCAATTTACAAATCAATAGCGTGTGTGTCCACCTCTGGTTGCGATGCAAGCAACACATCTTCGTCTTATGGAAAGGACCAGGCGTCGCAGAAAGTCCTGTGGGATATCTGTCCATATCTGCTGGAACATGTTTCGAAGTTCCTGGAGTGTCTGTGGAACACATGGTCGACGTCTAAGGCGCCGATCCATCTCATCCCACATGGGCTCGCTTGGTGAGAGATCAGGGGAGCGAGCCGGACAAGGATGACATTCACGTTGTTTTGTTGAAGAGAATCCTGAACAAATCGAGCAATATGAGGCCTGACGTTGTCATGTTGAAAGGTTATGCCTGGGCCATGACGACGCAAAAACGGTGGAACAACAGGGCCGATGATCTCTTCGCGGTAGCGCTGTCCTTTGAGATTTCCCTCTACCACTATCAAACGGGTCCTCTGTCTTGCTGTAATCCCACCCCATACCATAACGATGCCGCCCCCTAACCGATCTTCTTCCATGACACAATGATTGACGTAACGTTCACCTCGACGTCGGTACATTCGAATCCGTCCATCGCTGTGGCTGAGGTGAAAACGAGACAGTGAATAGAACTTGTCCCCGCTGCATGGCCGTCCAGCGTTGACGCTGTCTGTCTACTGTAGACGTACTTGACGGCAGTTTCCTGTTAAAATGGGACGTCTGGTGGGTCTACTGGCGACAGTCCCTGCACATCTGAGGCGGCGACGTACGGTTTGTGAAGATATTCGTCGAAGGCCAGAGATGCTTCTTGCAGTCACTGCTGCTGGCTGGAACCGATTTCGTACGTGTGTTGTTCGAATCCAGTTGCCTTGTCGATTATTGGTTACGCGTGGCCTGCCACTCCGAGGATGGTCTCTGACTGCATTCGTCTGTTGCCAACGTTGCCATAAACACCAAATGGTGTTTCTGTGGACGTTAAGTTGTCTTGCAACATCACGTTGACTCGATCCTGCTTCAAGCATACCAATGGCTCGCAGACGCTCATTTTCGGACAGGCGTGGCATTTCGTTATGTTGAATAATTGCGTAATTGTGTTGTTTTTCTGAGTGGTTGTTGTCAGCACGATGCTAAACAATGCATATGGAATCCCGTTAATGCACATCTTTTTATACCCATTCTTGGGTAGTGAAATGCATGGGGCTTGCATAAAAGTCAACTTTTGCATGGAATGCATGCTTTTCTGTAGCAGTTGCGTTGTTGTTACTTGATTCCATACATGTACTACAATATTGAAAACTAAACTTTACTTGTTTGAAAAATACACTAAAATATTGGTGTCACAGGAACTTTTGTTGTTGAGTATATATTACCCATCCTCACACCTACAACTTCTAAATTCCTCTCATAGAGATTTGACACAGTTCTGAGGAACGTCATAATTATGTTCATTCGTTCGGTGCATTCTCGATTCAGAGCAAAATCATTTAATGAGTTGATACATCAAAGATTATTAATTTTGATACCTTATACGTGTATGTACTAGTACTTAAAGCAGGTGTTTTAATGTTATTTTATAAAAAGATTACGCAGATTTTCAACTGTTATATTCCGCATATACCTTCATATTGTTGATACCACGACGACAGTTGTGTTGGGAGTTGATGATACTGTTATTTATTTCTCTCGCGGGAAGGAGTTCTTTAGTTAATCGCAAACTGGGAGTGTTTGTTTGTTGTTTGTTTATTTGTTTGTTTGATGTTTAACGCCGCACTCAGAAATATTTCATCTAAATGACGGCGGTATGTAAATAATGGAGTCTGGACCAGACAATCCAGTGATTGACATTATAAACATCGATCCACGCAGTTGGGATGCGATGACATGCATCAACCAAGTCACCAAGCCTTACCACCTGATCCCGTTAGTCGCCTCTTGCGACAAGCATAGTCGCCTTTCACGGTAAGCATGGGCTGCTGAAAACCTTTTCTTTCCCGGATCATAACGGGTCAATTGGAAGTGACGCATGTTTCATCATGCAGTGTAGTGACATCGATGCTTGTTATGTTATGTTTGAGCTCGTGTATTGTGCAAATAGACGTTGCATCTATGTATGGGATTCTTGCCAGGTGACTTCGTTTGCAGTTATAATTCAGTTGCCAATATCTCGTCTTTGAACAGGTTTGTCACATGAACATTAATATTAAGATATCACTTCTAATATTCTTCGCCCTGTAGATGTTAACGCCCAGGATGCCTGCAGCGTTCGGCGTGACGCGGCGTGTGTGGCGGCCGTAAGGTCCCTCCTCACCAACCCCTCGGCCTTCTGGTATGGGACGAGGTACGCGACGGACTGCCCAGTTGGCAAAGTGAGCTCTTTGTGTAGAAATACAAAACGATCCGAAAAAACCCTCCTGTCCCGAATTTTTGGAGATGGCGCCACCGACTCCAGCGGGCTAGCCTTCATCATTAAAGTCCAGTACAGCCCTACTCTTCCAGGTAAGCGACACCTTCACTATGACGGCGTTTTCCCATTCATTCTACGAATTCAGAAGGAAATAAACTCAATTTTGTAGATTCGAATCACATATTGTGAGAACATGATTGTTTTATACATGTAGTGATACGGCTTGGGACATCGATATCCTGGATGGAATCCTACTCCGTTTGATTCCAACTAACACATGACCTTAGATGAAGAGAGGAAACAATAATGTGAGGCCGACGAAGACACTCTTGTGTTTTATTACATGTATGTATATAGTGGCAGGTGCTAGCACAGGTGACACAGGCCTATTTAGAATTGACATCAATACTCTGCGCGCAAAATAGTGTCAGATCAACAATTTACAACACATACTATATGTCATTTATGTTATTTTCAGCTGATGGATCTGACCGTGAGTATATCCCATATGCCCAACTCCTATACATATTCAGTCACAGTTATTATTTCACATTACTATTTATCAGCTATTTTATTGTATCTACAATTTATTTATTAATAACACTAATTCGATTTTAAGATAACAGTAAATGAATTAATGCTATTTGAATAATTTTGTGCTAACTTAAAATACATTACATATCAAAAATTACATATAATGTTTACATATACATATATATTATATATAAATACATATAAATTGTGATATAACAAAATCACAAGTAATTTTAAAATAAATTGGTTTGAGTGATGTCAATCATTCATTTTATATTAATTATGATCACGATGGTGATGGTGATGAAGTATAATAATTACGCGCTATTTTCCATACATAAAATGTATGCGCAAAGTGCTACACAACAGTGATGTAAATAATGCAATTTACAATATTTGCATTATTTACAAGAGGTAGGAGATTGAATGTTAACAGATCGTGAACCACCTTACAGATGCAACATATTGTAAGCGCAGTAATAGTAATTTGGTAATTTGGTAATTTGGTACTATGTGAAGCATTCACTGGCTTGAAACGTCGTAGTACTTTCGGATTTAATCACTTTCTTAAAATTGTTCAAGAATGGTGGCAGTGAAGTTAGCGAGAGTTCATTCAAGAGAATTGCCGATTTCACGTTCCTGATGGCGATAGTAGGTGTTTGTGATTTTATGTCTTTTTATAATTCATCTGGTGCTAATTGTGTAGCAATATGATAACCCTTTTATAAATGTTGCAAAACATGGTGAAATCGCACCGACAATCATATTTTGACGTTTCATATTTGATCTTCAAAATAACTTAAAAGTGACAAATCAAGCGTTTCTTTCATTTGATTGTACAGTAAACTACGGTTATAACGAACTCAAAGGGACCACTAATTTTAGTTCGTTATAACCGCAGTTCGTTATAAGCATACATACAGCATATATACATCAAATGGACTGGATCAAAACACATTTGGTTATATCCTTCTGTTCGTTATAAGCGTCTTTGTTATAAACGTAGTTTAATGTATGACATTCGGTCATAAGTACGCGCCTGTCTTTGTTAACAACAGGAACATACAGCGGCTGTGGAAGGATTGTGGACGTACCGGTGAAAGGACCACACGATTTCGTCGTCGACCCCCTCGGCAAGTACGTCTATCCCCCTTACGACCTGCGCGAGGAGCCGCTAGTGACGTGGCAAGCGGAGAAGAACGCCCTCTACACTGTCATTATGTACGACCCCGCCCCGTTCTACGTGCATGCGTTATACGTCAACGTCGCCGGCGGCATACTACAGAAAGGAGACGTGGGTGACGTTTTCTCTATACAAGACAAACTGCCGGAATGTCAGGGAAAGAAAAATACATGTATAACCTTGAAAATTAGATTTGACCCAAACATTACAAACGTTATCAAAGCGTTACTAGGCTGAAAATAGGCGCCAAAACACTGCAAACGTAAGTTCCAAAACACAAATACATCACCATCGAATAACCATTTCTTGTTTCATATATCGCCGACATCAAACATGGGTGTACACTTTATCTAGGCCTGTATGTTTATACGTAACTGAAAATCTCAGAATGCACCATGACATAACATAAATTTTGATTTTAACACGTTTTATGTATTTCTTCTTTTTTTAAAAATAAACATATGAAGATTCAGTCTCTAATCGGCAAGGGGGCACAGTTGTCCCAGTCATCTAACGTATTTGCCTGCAAAGTTGCGTCACTTATTATAAGTCAAGCCGGTGTCTGTTGAGTCATGGTTCGAATCCCAGATTCGACCTGATGATGGTGCATGATTTCTCAACACCATACTCTTCCCGTGTGGGGGCGGTCGGGTAGCCTAGTGGTTAAAGCGTTCGCTCGTCACGCCGAAGACCCGGGTTCAATTCCCGACATGGGTACAATGTGTGAAGCCCATTTCTGGTGTCCGTGATATTGCTGGAATATTGCTAAAAGCGGCGTAAAACCATACTCACTCACCCACTTCCCGTGTGTTTCACGAAAGTTATAACATATCTCGATGAATCGTCCGGGTGCGGAAGATGACGTCGTGTTCGCATGTTTGTTTATTGTTTACACGTCAAATTTTCAGCTATATCACGGAATCGTGTATTTAATCCACTCCCTCTTACAACTCCAAATATTTCTCAAGGCGTTTTCGCTATTATCTGGTATCCAAAGACCATCGTCATAGGGCTGGAATATTGCTGAGTGCGGCGTTCAACAACAAACAAACGAACAATCCCCAAGTATTCCAAAAGGCGTTGTCGCTATCATCAGGTTACTTACAACCTCTAACTGGTATTAAAGGAAACCGAAAGAGTATGACATCAGCGTGCTATTTTTAGCGTTACTGGAGTTTTCCAAACATACGCTCCAATAATTAGCACGTGGGTGTTGAAAAACCTAAATAGGTCACACTGGAGTTCCCACAAGGGAATTTCACTGTGACGTATACAGGTCACGTGTTACTTTAGATCTTAGTCTGGGGTATCGCTCCATGAGATCCTTGAATAATAACCTATAGATACTTCGTTCCAGACTGTAATTAACTACTTTGGGCCTGGGAACCCGGTGGATCGGGACAACCCCTACATCTGGCTCGTGTTTAAGCAACAGAAATCAGTGGACGCCTCAAAGATTGCCTCCGCCCGCAACAACATCTACATCAAGAACCTTGTATCTCAGCTGGGTCTCTCAAGTAAGAATTACGTTTAGGAAGATTAGTTACACTTTATTTTCCGATTATAAGGGGGCACGGGTGGCCCTGTCGTCTAAGGTGCCGCGATTCGCTGTGCAGAGTTGCATCCCTTGGGCACGCCAGAAACCTATGATTGTGGGTTGGAATCCCGGTTTGCTCCGATTATGTTTCTAGGTTTGTCAGCACAATACCCGTGCTCGTGGGTTTCACCGAAGTGGTAAACGTCTGAGACCTGCATTACTTCGGGCTTTCCTCCCACATTAAGCTGACACGCCGAGTAGTAACTGGAATACTGTTAAAAGCGACGTAAAACCCATCTCACTAACTCACTCACTCACTCCGAATACAGAATATCATCAAGGACCGTGCTAAATCTGTCAGCTTGTGCAACAGTCACATGTCTTTAGTTTATACGCGAAGATGCGTGATTTTACAGTTAACTTCGTATAAATCGTATTTTGAGAAAAATACGGTTAAAACGAAATAATTTAAGGTGCCGAGCTGTTGTAAACTTAATTGGTTTGGTCTCAATGAGTTTTTATTTAGTTTTCTGTCCACAATATAGATTATTTTATTTCAAACCAGAAGTAATGTATTTTGCACACGTTATTTAAAGAATATCGCCTCACATGTAACGATTTTGTTAAAATTTTCTTGGCAGAAAACTGATTTTTTGTTTGAGGCCGCATCAAACATTACTCACTCTCTAGCCTTTTTCCGACATTTAGAACTGTGCACCAGGTAGGTGACTCATCCAAGTGGTTCAAGCTTTTGTTTTTCGCAACGTAATGATGTTCGACTGATGTAATATTGCTAATAGCGTTGTAAAAGAATACTCTATGTAGATCTCCAGATACAAATACGAATGTAACAACAATGTTTCTTTGTTTTGTTTGTTTGTTGTTTAACGCCGCACGCAGTATTATTCCAGCTATATGACGGCGGTCTGTAAATAATCGACTATGGACCAGACAATCCAGTGATTGACATCACGAGCATCGATCCACGAAACTGGGATACGATGACATGCATCAACCAAGTCAGCGAGTCTGATCACCCGATCCCGTTAGTCGCATAGTCACCTTTTACGGCAAGCATAGTCAAAACGATGTACATAATTACCTAATGTATCATTTTCAGCTTGCGTTCCTGTATGTTTTTACAGATCGTTATTTACTGAGCGAACACATGCAAAAAAGTGCAAGGCCTCACTTGATTGTAACTTAAACATGAAACACTGTTGTGGGATACACTTGGGGGATCAGATGGACAGATGCAAAATACAAGTCACCAGCAACAGCTTCTTTAAGCACAATTATCAGCCATTGATTTAAAACTACCCAATTGACTGGACCAAAGAGATTACCTGAAGGAAGACTTCAATACTCTTAAGCTCAAACACTTACCCGGAGCCTAGGACTCACTCTCTATTGTTCACACATATTGTGTTAAAGCTATACATATACCTATTGTTCATGGTTACAGCCAAGGCGTATGGCATCAACATTATCATGACCAACACGGATGAGTACACCGCAGCCTTTATCCGGTCGGTTAATTTCCTGAACAGATGTCCAGTCTATTATGGGAAGTGTAAGTTGTACAAAAAATATATAATTATTATCCATAAAAAGTTTCAATTATGGTCCTAAATACTCCAAATAGTTAATGGTAAATATTCTATTCTGTTGAATTGATTCGATTCATTATGGAATGACACATGCAGTGTATGAAAATCTGCAATCCATCATGACGGACCAGTAGCTCTCCAAGAGTCGTATCCTCAGGCTTCACACAACGAAGGGTATACGAGTGTGAGTGTTTGAGCATGGAGCTCGGATCAATATTTAAACACTACGTTTTAATGCTTATAAAGATTAAGCAATGTTGTCAGCTGAGAAATTCCCAAATTGTAACAAAAAGAGCTTGTACATTATTTATTCAAAAACACATCCGCCTTTTAAACAATCCCTGAAAACATGTTGCTGAATATTGTTCCCACTGATTTACCTATGTATCTACATATTTTTCAATATAGATTTTACGACATAAGCTGCAACACTTTGGGAATAATCTGTAATATTTTCAGTTTGCTTACCATTGGTATTCATGTTTGTCCTCTTAGTTTATGTTGCCTGCTGTCTCAGTTTGATAATGTAAAGCGAATTCCTGTAAAGTTAAACTGATAAAGTAGTGTCTTGTGTTTAAAACCTACTAGCTGGCGAAATGGGATGATAAGTTCATTCTCAGCTCCCTGAGGAGTTTACAAGCTAGGCTGTCTATGAGGCGCTAGGAGGTTGACATTACCATCTCATCCATGTATCCTACCGGGTACCCATTCACTGATGTACCCATATCTACATCTAGCAGCAAACGATTGCCCTAAAAACACAATAATGTGTTAACTTCACACAGAAGACACTAATAATACTGTGTAGATCTATAGACTGGGAATGGGACAAATACCTCTTTGATAGATTCCTGATGCGGATGAAATATTACCAATATTAGTTGAGCGTTTTGTCATAGGTTGTATGCATTCTCGTTATCATGTCAACGATGGGCACATATTCCTTTAAATATTCACTTAAAAAAGAAATGATCAAATTGTCATAATATGTTTATCATCAAGATTTGAGCAGCTACATCCAGAAAAGAGGTGGGCTCCCGTCACTTCCGGCGCGTCTTGATCTCAGTGTATCCGTTGACGTCAACTTCCAGGCCCCCCCGATAACGTACACAGCGTGCGGAAAACAGTATCACCAAGGGTGGGTACTCTCATGACCCCGCTATAACGTACATATCGTGCGGAATAGTGTATGAAGTGGGTTCTCTCATGACCCCGCTATAACGTACATATCGTGCGGAATAGTGTATGAAGTGGGTTCTCCCATATCTCGTCTAACGTACACACGGTGCGGAAAGGTTTATCACGGAAGGCGGGCACTTTCATATCCCCGCTATAACACATATCATGCGGACAAGTGTATCACAGAAGTTGGCTTTAATTTATTCCCCGTTCACATGCGCCTCTATACATACGTGTGTATATGTGCATACGTGTGTAGAAATACATACGTGAGTTTATGTATCATGTTTATTGCTCATGTGTGTATGTTTACACTAGGAGATAATTTGCATAATGTCTGAAGCAGGTGTAAATGTAAATTTGCACTTTGTCTATATGTTGCAATGTGAACGTTTAGGTCAACATAAGAGGATGATCTAATTAATATCTGTTCTTTTGCCAACACCAAACAAATTGTCAACAGTTGCCAACCTTTATGCGTATATACAGAGTTGATTGGACGGTGTTTTCTTTTGGTGTCAATGCGTCAAAACTTTGTGTACAAATTAAATCAAACACATGTTGCTTCGCGCGAAAATTGTCGGTGAAGTAACTCTCTTCTCATTCAACTTTGATTGAAAAAGAACCTGTTTTGTGTTGTAGGTCATGAACAAACTGTATATGTGTGCTCTACACAATTTACATACTTTTTTCACACACCTAAGTTGATTTTCACATAAACGCATTGTAAGTTTACATATACGTACGTATGTAAAGTTACACATGTGTAAAATTACTTACGTCAGCAAATGTTCTGCATGTGAAGTGGAAAGATTATTTTTATTCAGCATCAAAATCTTTGTATTAGATATAATTATTTTTCAGTGGTATTTTGGAATAGCATATTGAACCTGACACCATGACACTAAACAATGACACTATCAGTGCTGATTGGGGACGAAATATACCTTCCTATCTTTTTGCAATGGAAGTCTTAATAGCATGCTGGGTTTCGGACTTGCGGTGAAGATGAGGACTTTTTTGTTCCAGGCGAGTTAACGTCACTTTAGATTATCGGAACACGGGTGACGTACCCTCCGTGGAGACTCGGATCTCCCCCAAAGTCAGTCTGGTTCCCCTTGACATCAGCGGTCAACCCCCCTCCGTCACACTGAAAGGTGAGTGGACTCACATTGGGGGTGGCGAGGTTGTGGTCTGGAATGTTTCTGAAGATAATAGGTTTTGCGCACAAAAATGTGCCGAACACATCTAGCAAACGTTCAGAGTATAACTGCCGGGCAAACGAAAATATACACTGACAAATTTGAATTGACCAAAAAATTGCAAACGTTACCAAAAAATTGCAAACGTTACCAAAAAATTACTAAGCTAAAAAACACTGCAAACTTAAGGTCCAAAAAAACTATGATATCCGTGTCAAATGTGTAACCATCGAATAACCATTTTTTGTTCGTTTCATTCTTAGCCAAACATGAGTGTGTTCCGTCTTTCGTCCGGCAGTTTATGTATTTTGTGTGTTTGCTTTTTTATCAAACTGATCAAGGTATATGTTGCCTTGACGGATATGATTCGCAGGAAGCATGAATGTTCACTTTGACTTGATACATTTCATCAAACAAAGAAAAGAAGGACACACAAGCGATTTCCTTATATTAGTCTGTTTTATCTCAGTATACATATAGTTGAAGATGTGTTTTTTTGTTTTCAGACAAGCAGTACACCTTGTTGATGCTAGACCTGACCCCCGAACTGGGGAAGACAAAACAGGACACCTACCTTCATTGGATGGTCGTCAACATCCGGGGTACTGACATCACTTCCGGTGATGAGGTGTATGATTGGAAAATGCCCATGACGTCAAATTTGAATGAGCTCTTCCTGTTTGCCTTGTTCGAGCAGAGTAAACAAGTCAGCACCTCAAAAGCGAGGACTTACGATGGAAACAACTGTTTCAGGTACGTTAAATCAGAAATAATACCATCATTACCAAGTGTTTATTCCTGGTCAGAAATCGCTCCTCTCTCTGTGTGTGTGTGTGTGTGTGTGTGTGTGTGTGTGTGTGTGTGTGTGTGTGTGTGTGTGTGTGATAAGCTATAAATAGTTGTCTGGACCAGATAATCCTATGATTGACTTTATGAGAAACGACCCACGGTACATAGACGCGCCATCAAACTAGTCATCAAACCTGACTATCCGATCCATTGAGTCGCCTTTTACGATTATTCCCATTGACCAATTCTTACCCAGAATCCCATCGGGTTCCCAATTTAGTCACCTCGAACAACTAGCAATTGAGTGCTTAGGACATATTCTACCCCGGATTCCCATGGGTACTCCATGCTAAAATAAGTAGAAAGAAATGAACATCGGGTGGTTTGGCTGTGTGTTTGACACGATGTACGGACGGCGTGCTTTCAACCCCTGTTTGCCTTTCGAAGCCTTTTCAAAGCTTTGATATGAAGTGAGGAACCCTGTGGTTATAACATCCTTTGTCAATGTACTTCGACTTGTCTGGATGCTGGCTATATCATCTGACTGGTACTCACATATTTCATTTGATGAGCAGTAGGAGTGTCACGTGGTAAAGGGTTAGCTCGTCACGCCGAAGGCCCGAGTACAAGGGTTCAATATGTACATTGCTGGCGGAGGAGACACCAAGTCACTGACTCATCCCAATGGTATAGATGACATAATTAAAGTTGCAGGAACTATTCTTTATTTAGTGAAACCTCACTGACGCGTAATGTTATTTGAGACGATGTTACAGTTTGACCACTGCATAATTATTTTATATTGGTCATAATTTCAATCACGTAAAAATCCCACGTTACTCCCATGCGCTACCTGTTTGTGTGACGATCTGGCGACATCTCCTTAGAAGGTCACTCTCCATTAGTGAACTATTAGCGAACTTTGACAGCCCATCCAGCTTTCTAAAACCATTCCGCTTCATCTATTTGAAATCTCGATTCAGAAATGTCGAATTCAGGAAAATGAAAACAGCCGTAGAACACACTTATCCTCTCGAGTGTAACACTAATAATATCGGGTGTCGATGCCATGACGCTCAGAAACGACAGGATGTATTGACAATACACAACAATCTAATGGCTCCCCCTTCTATTTCTGCATTCGGAACATGTAGTTTTAGTTCTACTTCGAGACACAGAAATCAGACACGCTCACTCATTTCGAGAATTTAGAAGCATCGATTCTGATTGGAAAGCAATTGGGAAGTTCACCTGAGATCGCATCGGAGTAATGAGAATGACCCTGCTTAACAAGAAAACGTTCTGTAACGGTCAGGATCTGCTACAGCTTTTTCAAGTTCTTTATTTGATATGAATATATATTATCCTTGGTCTTTCATGCCGTGGGGTCTACCAAAGCTGTACAGGTGTACAGCCTCAGTCACCGGGCCTTCCTCTCACGGTACTCCGTCATATAGCATAAATACTTTAAACACACTCATTGGTCATGTTGACAAGTTTACACCAAAAGATATCATTAGATCATTCAGGCCGCTTCTGTGGTCTGCTGCATAGAGCGTCTGTCCGGAGAGCGGAAGGTTGGCCAGGGTGGTTCGATACCCTGGCCAAAAAAGACGTTAAAAGATTGCACTTGTTACCCTAGTACAAATACCACACACACACACACACACGCACACGCACACGCGCACACGCGCTCACGCACACACGCACACACACAAAACATTATATATATATATATATATATATATATATATATATCTATATATCTGTGCAATAATCTTGAACGCCACGTTAAACCCCAATTTCACCTCATCACACAACATTCAATGACATTCACAGCTCTGTTACGTACAGGTGCAGGTTTCGGGCCGGCGACTTCATCCGTGACAACAACCTCTCCCTCGTCGGCCTACGACGTATCACAGTCGTCCCCGACACCTACCAACAGTACTTGGCGGCCAAGACTGACACCACGAACCAAGTGTGCAAGCACTCGCCACCTATTATTGGGTGAAATTATATCTGAACGATGGGTTCAGTGAGGACCTATATGTGTCTCTACAAATTTGTGTGCTTTATAAACGAAGTCAGTTAATCATTTCCCTTATCTTTGTCACCGAACCCTCCGGTTTAAAAACTTTTCTGGAATTTGCTCTTGAATAAAGAATAGCAAGTAATTTTCGTATCATTGTGTGTGGCAGTTTCCCGACAACGGTATGTTAAATCTCATTACAATCAGATACCACAGCACCAAAGATCTGTGGATTTCCCACTACAGGTCACGTCAGAGCGAGCTTTCGCGAAGACTGACAGACCAATGTTTGTTGTTTAACGCCAACTTCAGCAATATTCCAGCTATATGACGGCGGTCTGTAAATAGTCAAGTATAGACCAGACAATCCAGTGATTGACATCATGAGCATCAATCTTCGCAACTGACATCCATCAACCAAGTCAGCGAGCCTAACCACGCGATCCCGTAAGTCGTCTCTTACGAAAACCATAGTCGCCTTTTATGGCAAGCACGGGTTGCTGAAATCCTATTTTTCACGGAAATTGACTTTACAGGAAGACGACATTAACCAATCAGAAAGCAGCTTCTTCCGAGCTTTGTGGCATGCGTTCAGAATGGCTACTTCTATTCCAGATTGCGCTTTGATAACTATTTTGACAAATTTCTCTAAATTTGAAAACTGAACAAAAGAACATTCTAGAATGTCAAATAGATGACCAATATTGTATTACAGTATTTCCATTGGCTGTGGTAAGTCTCTTCCATTTCAAAGGTTTATCCCATTGAAATCATTGTTTAGAAAACGCTTTCGGCCTGTCATTTTCGCGATTTCGTAAGCGACACTCTGATTGGTCCGATGCAGGGGACACCAGAAATAGGCTTCACACATTGTACTCATATACGGAATCGAAACAGGTCCGTCGGCGTGACGAGTGAACACTTTATCCTCTAGGCAACGTCTCCGCCCCGTTACGAAAAAAGCGTTAGATATTGTGAATGAGTTTGGTTTAGCGCCGCTTTTAACATTATTCCAGTTATATCATGTAAGCTTATTTTGGGAGATCTTACACGTTAACATCTTTGGTGAAACCAACGAGCACGGGTATGGTGCTGACAAACCTCGAAACATAATCGGGGCGAACTGGGATTCGAACCCACAATCATTGGTTTCTGGCGTAGCTTTGAGGAACGGGACACTTTGCAGACCAGGTTATTACCAGCCAATGCTCGCACAAGCTTGCAAGTGCTAACTAAACGATGTGTGGGTACATCACAGTGTGCCAGTTAATTGTGGAAATGATGCCGCGCCAGTTGAACCGTTGCTTATCACCCAATGCGATACCTACACACCAGAAGCACGCTTGTCAAACTTCTGTGTTTAATGGCGGACGTTACAGAGGCCGGGCAAGGGAGATAACTCCGGAGACTTGCCATTATAATAACCACAAACAATAATGATGGCGCAGGTCATAGATGTTTACTAACCTGCCGGGCAAAACAAAGTATGCACACGTTTGATGGTTGCTGAAAATGAAACAAACAAGAAATGGTTATTCGATGGTTATGTACTTGATAGGTATATCACACTTGTGTTTTGGAACTTGCATTGTTTCGGTGACTCTTTTTAGCCAAGTAACGTTTATGCAACGTTTGGTTTTGTCAATTCCAATTTTCAAGTTAATACTTCCTTTTTCCTGGGCGTTTACATTTATTGAAACAAACGAGTACTGGTACGTACCAAGAATTGTAAGCGTAATAATTTGGGATTCGAACCCACAACCATCTGACCATAAGGCTAAGGGATGCCGACCTCATGTCAGCTTACCGAGTTTCTGTGCTTATATGCTTTCAATGCCTGTCATATGTTCGAGTGAGGTATTATGGTGTAACAAGCTGCCTGAGTATATACAGCGCCATATTTTGTTCGGTGATTCCGTAATTCAGATCGATAACCCACTCAAAACACTGGACTGTACCAATGCCGCTTCACTCAGTATATTTGCTAACACCAAAGAGTTCGCGTTTTATTTAGTCATGGTAGAATGGAGATAAACATACTGTGTTTTCAATGTAGAGCGAGGTTATCTGTAGATTTAACCGCGCGTTCGGTTGCAAATCCAATTTAGCGCGGTTAAATCTACAGGTAACCTAGCTCTACATTGAAAACACAGTATGTTTATCTCCTAAGTCTAATTATTCAAAATATCAAGGTCGACGCTTCACACACTGAACAATGTATGCAATCTTATTATTTTTGTAGGATTAACGGAAATAGCAGAAACAGTATATGAATAGTTGCAGCTGATTAAAGAGCGTGTGATTTCAGTGTTCATTCTGCGAATATTATGAATTTTTATCTTTCGGACATTTATGTAGGAAAATTGATATTTGCAACAAAATCGCAACCATTTTTTCAGTTTAGTTGCCCTTTCAGGATATCTATTTTTCTCTGCAGTCCTATTACTGTCTATCATCAGCAAACATTAATCACCATAACAATAAAATATCTATAAATTCTTGAAAGACAAATGTACCTCTTACACCGGAATCCTGAATCATACTTTCTAGTTCCACATATAAGAGAGAAAAAAGAGGGTGCTCAACACACATCCCTGATTGACACCATTCAGTGTTTTAAAAAGATTTGATATAGAACGACAAACATATTTTGCTGCAGACTGTACTTTTGAATACATATCTTGCATGAAAAAAATAGTTTACTATGTACACCATTTTCTGACATGAAGTACCTCAATACATTTTATTTACACAATCAAATACTTTTCTTACGTCTACAAACAAACAGTAAAATCTGCTGTGTATCGTGCTTAAAGCCGGCTTGTGATTCAGGATTTTTTATACAGAAGGCAAACTACGCGAAAAACTACACAATATACCTTGCGCGGTTTCAGCTCTAGCGACAGGGTCATCTTAAGTGTTTAAATAAATATTCAGAGACAGATTTCCTTAGTCATGACAGAGTTTATAACCTATCAATATAACGAACACCGTTTTTGCACTAAAGTTAGAAAGTAAATGTTGAAACTTCGCAAGGGCATAACTCTGTTGTTACACTAGTGACATTAAATTGTTGTATATCTTAAAGTACCTTAAAGGTAGTTATCGAGTGCTTATCCCAAGCGCTGCTTAATCCCCGTACTATAGGCTTACATTCTAGTGCAATGTGTTACATCACTGGCATTTTCCTAACTGTAGCCATAACACACAATGTCGTGTGCAGAAAGGGAACTACTTTTTTTACGTACTTACGTCACGTGTCAGTTAAGGTCTTCAACTTTTGGCTACCTTGAGCTTCACCACAAAACTGTTTCTTTGTTGACAACGCTTTAAACAGATGGGGTGTGAATCTCTTACTACTGATGTAAGATCTAATGACAGGTTTATAATCACTGCATGGTATATGAAGTGGTGTCACAGATTTGTCGAGTGCTGCTTTTGCAGCAGCATCAGCCATTGTATTACCCATAATTCTAACATGGCTTGGTAACCAACAAAAGACGATGTCGTATTGGCCAGTAGCAAGGTTATTATGTAGTTCTATGATGTCGAGTAAAATTAGATGCTGACACGAAGTATTTTTAATAGCCTGAAGACAGGAGAGAGAGTCTGAAAATATTATGAATTCCTTATGTTTAGTCTGTTTATTAATATATTCTAAAGCAGTTAAAATAGCCTTTCATTCAGCTGTAAAAATGGTTGAGTTTTCAGGTAATCGAGTTGATAAAGTTCTGGATCCAATGATAGAGGCGCTGGCAACAGCATCACCATCCTTGGATCCATCAGTAAAAATAGATTTGTAAGTATCATATTCACTTCTTAACTGATTATATTTTTGGTGATATTGTAGTTGATTATTGTAGTTGATTAGTGTCAGATTTTTTAAGTTTAGATAAGGTAAGATCCACCTGTGGCTTTACCAACTGCCAAGGAGGAGAAGAAAGTAGGCGAAAAGGAGCTATATTTTCGAGTTTAATATTTGCAGCATTTATAAAAGGTTTAATTCTTATTCCGAGAGGCGGAATAAGAGATGACTTCTTACTGTACAGATCCTCATAAAGAGGATTAAATACACAATTTTATGCAGTGTTAGACTGATTAGAATATAATTGTGTGATGTACTGCAGAGATAGTTTAATACGGCGTTGTTTAAGTGATGGCTCATCGGCCTCAACATATAGATTGTCAATGGGAGAGGTTCTGAAAGATCCAAGGCAAAGCCTCAGACCCTGGTCATGTATGGGATCGAGTAATTTAAGGTTGCTTTTACAGGCTCCGCCATAGATGATGGAGCCATAATCGAGCTTAACACGGACAAGTGATCTATATAAGTGAAGGAAAGTCGTTTGATCTCCTCCCCACTTGGAATTAGAAACAACCTTTAATAAGTCTAGTACCTTCAGACATTTAGCTTTCAAATATTTAATATGTGGTAAAAACGTAAGGTGATGATCAAAAATTGTTCCTAAAAATTTAGCTTCTTTTACGACTTTAATTGGAGTTCCAGCTAGATGTAAATCTGGGTCCTCATGTGGTTTATATTTTTGACAGAAATGAATGCAATTAGTTTTAGATTTAGAAAACTTAAAGCCGTCGGCTCTGCCCTAACATTAGTATTTGCAATTGTCTCTCGATCGTGTGCATATTTTTACCTCGACATGATACATTAAAATCGTCAACAAACATAGACCCGTCAACAGAGTCATTTAAAACCTTAGCTAAACTATTAATTTTTATGCTAAACAACGTTACCGATAATATGCTACCTTGAGGGACACCTTGATCTTGATCGTAAAAATCAGACATGGTTGATCCCACACGAACCTGGAAATTTCTATCTGTTAAAAACTGATCTACAAAATGAGGCAAACGCCCTCTCAAACCCATGTCATAAAGATCTTTTAAAATTCCATGTTTCCAGGTGATATCATACGCTTTTTCTAAATCGAAAAATATTGATACCGCATGATGTTTATTAATTAAAGCATTTTTCACAAATGTTTCCAGTCTAACCAAATGGTCAAATGTACTTCTATTTTTTTCTAAAACCACATTGAATATTTGTTAAAAGATTATTGGTTTCTAATTGTTTCCGCACCGTGCATTGAAATCACCACACGGTTAGAGACGACCCATATTTTGATA